TTAAGGATTTGAATATTAGGATACACATTATAAAAGGAATCCCTCCTGTAAACTCTATAGAGACAACACATAACATCAATACACTTATATATGATATATAATATCAAAGGAAAATTCTATCAATATCTCACTGCTCAATGCTTAAACTATTAAGGAAATTATATAGCAAATTCAAAATCTGTGAAATCTACTAAGTAATCCAACAAAAGGCAAATAACATTAATATATAAGCTATACTAATATTCGAATCCTTCAAATAAATCTTAATAGGAGCTTATAAACTATAGAGAATGTTTTTATAGCTTGCAATAAAGCTCAATATCGATCTTATTATGATTTAAGAATTATAAATTATTAAATATAAAATCGATTATTCAAACTCGAGATTAATTATACACTCCAATTTCATATAAACACTTCCAAAATTCAATCCTAATCTCTGGTTATGTATTCTACTATACACTTTAAAAACTCTTCAGGCTATAATTCATCTAGCTTCCGATTCTTTAATAGATTCCGATATACAAATCTTTAGATATCAAAACAAAAATAAAACCTTTTAAATTATTAATATATATAATAAAGTCGATCAAATCAAAAAGAAAGGTTTCACAATCGAAAGATATCTATATAATATATCTATCTTACAAGAAACCATCCTATTAGGCGACTTCAATACTCATCATTCTTGGTGAGATCCTTTTTCGAAGAAAAGCAAAAACACTAATCAATTAGCTGAATAATTTGAAGATCAGAATCTCATTCTTTTCAATAAACCTAAAATCAATATCTTTTATCAAACTAATTTTCTTAATCCAAGCATCCTTGATTTTATACTAGCGTTAGAGGGAATCTCTTCTCAAATTCAAAACTAGCAAATACTCCTAAATATAAAGTCTGATCATTCAAAAATACTATTCGAATTAAAAGGAAAAGAAACCCCAAATACTCCTAATACAGAATTGATAGTTAAATATAATATCAAACTAGTGAATTGAGAAAAATTCGAATCAATACTCAAATCAAAATCCTTACATTCCTTTATTCTTTTTATTTTAGATTTAATCACTTCAACTAAAAAGAATTCATTAAATTTTTTAAAAAATAAAAACAATTACTATTTAATTCTAAATCAAACAGCAAGCGAATTTATTAGAATCATTCAAAAAGTAATAGAAAAATATATATCTAAAATTGTTTTAATTAAAAGAGCTAAATCATAATAATCATTTGAATTAAAAAATCTTCAAAAGAATTAGGAAAAGTAAAGCAATTAATTGAATCAAATTTAGAGGATTTTAACTTTAAGGAAGAATATCGAATTGTTAGAAACAAATATTTTTAAGTGATTAAAATAGCAAAAAGAATTATTAAAACGAATTTCTAGAAAAGGAGGATATACAAACCATATTCAAAGTAATAGTCTACACTAAAGATTATTAAGATCAAAGAATACCGGATATTTCAACAAAAAGCTTGTTTGAAGAAAAGTGTTCCGCTTTTAGATTGACTCTATTTCCATCTCCTTCTATTATTACAAAACCATAATGGGAAGGATACAAACAATCCAAAAAATGGGAATGGCCTAATCTTTTTCAAATCGAATTAAATAATACCTGCTTAGTTAAGATATAAGAAAAAACTCTTGGTTTAAATAAAATCACTTAAAAGATTATTATAAAAGTTTATAAAGTTATTCTACAAACCTTTTTTACTTTTTTTAGCAAACTTATTAATCTAGAATATCATTCTCAATGCTGAAAACAAGCTACTAAGACTATTTTAAAGAAAGCTTCAAAACCAGATTATTCAATTCCAAAAGCATATAGAATTATTGTATTATTAAATTGTCTTGAAAAAATAAGCGAAAGGATTCTAACCCAGCGATTAGAATATTTAGCGGAAACTACTCACCTCCTATATAAAAGTCAAATGGGAGGTTGGTAAAAGAAATTAGTAATTGATACTGCATTTCTATTAACTATAGAAATCGAAAGAAACAAACAAACCAATAAGAAAACCTCAATATTATTTATAAATATAAAAGGAGCCTTCAATTACATCTTGAAAAATCGATTATTAGATATTTATAAGAAATTAAAACTATCTACAAATCTTATAGTCTGGATAGCCTCATTTCTTTAATAAAAACAATTAAAACTATTTTTTAATAATCAAACCGAATTTTTCAAGCCAATTTCGATTGGAATACTATAAGGCAATTCAATCTCTCCAATTCTTCTTCTTATATATATTAGAGATCTTTTTTTATTCAATTCAATAAAATTCCTCTTTTATATTGATAATATTGCTTTAATTACCAATTTTTCTATATAGAAAAAGAATATCAAATCTTTAGAAAAAGCTACAAAATAAATCTACAAACTCAGCTTAAAAAATACTATTCAATTCGATTTAGCAAAAACTAAATTAATACACTTCTTATTATCTAATTTAACAAAAAACTACCTAATTACATTACTCAATTCAAAAACAATTATACTCCAATCTCTAATCAGATGATTGGGAATATAATTCGATCCGAGCCTCAAATTTGATTAATATATTAATATTCGAATTATACAAGCCAAAGGAGCATTCTATTGAATGGTTTGATTAGCTAATATCGAAAAGGGTTTTAGTTCTAAAGCCTTTAGACAGCTATATAGCATATATGATTAGTATAGCTGATTACGGATTAGTGATTTGGTGGAAAGGCTAAACGCAATTCAAGAATATAATACAATCACTTCAAAACCTAGTTTTTCGAAAGATATTAGGAGTTTTCATATATGCAACACACTGCGCTGCACTAGAACACATACAAAAGCTACCCTTACAGGATAAAGCAGCTCTCAATCAAAACATTATATAAAAGATCGGAAAGCGCGCACGGAGGCGCTCAGAGGATCGGAGACAAAAGCGCAAGCGCGCTAGCTATCGCTTGGGAGGCTACTGAGGGTATTGAGACCTCATTTTTAGGAGAGGGGGATCATGTAAATTAGAGATTATCCCGCAGTTAGCCCAACCGTAATGCCCCCTGGGAGGCTCGCCTATACGGCCCGGTTGAAAATTACTAATAATAATAATAATAATAATAATTAGGAGTTTTCAAAACTGTTCTAATTCTTTCAATGAAAGTAGAAGCAGGCCTAAAAACCCTCAAAAATTCGATTAGATTCGAATATTAGATAATACATATTCCATTTAGCTAAACTTACAACAAATCATTTAATCAATATCGAAAAAGTATTATTAATTCAATATCAAGCCAATTTGGATGTGATCCCTATTCTTCGAAAAAAACGATATAAATCTACTCAACTGGATAGAATAAGGGAATCGACAAACCAGGACTTCAATCCTTTCTTACTCGAAAAGATCATTTATTTTAACTTTTTTTATAGAAAAGAGAAACTCTTTTTTGAGTTAATATTAACAATTTATCAAAAGAAGATGCTGTTATTCTTTACAATATTGTTTTTCAAATATAGAGATAAGGATATTACCTATATTTATATTGATACTTTTTTTATTGAGAAGGGAATTAATATTGGGGTAGGTATAATAGCTATATAGTTAAATAATCGAATTCTATATTAAGAGCGAAGTAATATTAATACTAATCAATTGATATATAATGAAGAGCTTTTTGGAATTATAAGAGCTATCGAATATACTAGTTCAATTGCTTATACTAATCAAAAGTTCAAAATCTATTCGGATAATCAAACTAGTTTATACCACTTAAAAACTCCTTTAAATCATTTAGAACAAACCAATCAGATAAAAGCAATCAAGGTAGCAGAAATCATCAAAACAAAAGGAGCTGAAATCTTGTTAAATTGGGTTTCTGGATATATTTTAGTTGAAGGAAATGAGCTAGCAGATAAACTAGTTAAAGAAGCAATTATAATACAACCCATCTCGAATGAAACAAGCTTTGGACTATTAGGTATGATTGTCAAAGAATATACCTCAAATCAATAACTTGATACTTTTAATCAATACAAACTCAGATCAAACTAATCCCTATCAACTTACTCAAAGCTATTTCCATAGAAAATAGATTCCAAAATCAAACTATTAAGCAAAACTATTCGAAATACTACTAGTGTATTTTTTCAATTCAAATTAGATTACGGATATATTAAATCCTACTTATATCGTTTCAAACTCATTAATAACAAATGTATATACAGCAATATTGAGGCATCACAACATCTTCTTACCAGCTATCCTATATATAAAACAGAAAGAAAAGAAATCTTTAAGAAAATCCCATTATCCAAAATCATTATATAATTCTTATTGTATATAAAGATAGGTATCGAATTAACTATCAAATTTATTAATATCATTAAAATCACTATAAAAGCATAGCATCTAGCAAAAACTCTTAAACAAGAAGTAATAAAAAAAGAAGTAGTAATAAAAAAAAAGAGAGGAAAAAAGAATGAAGAAGAAGTAGTTGAGGAAATAAAAGAAGGGTTTGACCTTCTTATAATTTCTTAAGTTTCAAAATTTTCTTATTATATGTAATACATATAATAAGCAGACATTGTTCCCCAGCATTTGTTTTCACTTCCCCAATTAGATTATATCCAATATTGTAAATTAAAAAGTTACCCGTTAGGCCCTTAGGGCCTAGTCGTCCTATATAGTCTTGGACTGAAGATGGACGTTAATAAAATCAAATCAAAAAAAACTCCGTACCTCTGCTGTTATTTCGCCGTGAATTATCTGTATACATAGCTACTTTATTACAAATTGTAAAACACGTAAAGCTTATTCTCATTGGATGTAATCTATGAGGCTGTCATATCAGTTCATGTGCTAAAATTGCCGTAAAACCTGATCGGCAAAATCGTCACTTTGTCAGCCATTTTTTAATTTTCTAAAACACCCCCGACGAGGTAGCCATAATAAACTCATTAACCACAACTCGCGATCCAAGAACAAAATTTGCGCACTCCATCAAAAATTCTGAAAACGATAGGATGAACAACTCGAATTCCATTCAGAAGCCAAATGTAGCTGTTGAACCCTTCAGTGATTCGAGAGTATCAAATGGAGTGGATTTGACCGGCCTCAAGAGAAAATCCCGTGCAGAAGGCTCAGAAGATGCGGATTTTGGAGAAGAGACCATGAGCGAGGGAAAACAAGAAGAAAGGTCGACCATTCGACAAGCCATTCATCTTCAGTTCCAGAAGGCGATCAGGAAAGCAATCTTGGCACTTTTCCTCATGGTGAAGCCTCATCCTGCGATTCTGCAAGCAATTTCTAACGACAAATCCGCACTTATGCAAGTTGAGACTGGCAAAAGAGAGGTCGCAGAAGCAAATCTAGGACAAGTCGACTACGCTCCAATGATAGATGTTGCGGAGAGTAATACTTAGAGGGATAAAGATAATGAGGAAGAAGAGAGAGCTACTCCGTCTATAATCCAGCGAAGTATGTCTATCTTCTCAAAAATCACCTACACTCTAACTGAAAATATAGAAACATCGAAAACTGTGGCAGAGTCTACATCCTTCCTCCCAAACGAAGTCGTAGTCAAGATCTTCGAAGCCATCTTGCGATTGCCACGAGAGCCCGACACACCGCCAACTTCGAATCAAGACTCAAAATCAACTTTAAATTCGACAGAAGATGAGGACGATAGTCATTGGGATATGTATACAAATGGCGAAATGTCATACAACCTTGGAAGAAAGGAGTTTGGGATAGATAACGATGGAATCATTGAGGCTATTTGTTTTGCTCTTACATGTCCTAGATATTGGATTGTCTTCCGCGATCTCTGGTGTTATTCAGATACCAACAAGATCGTCAAAGACTTCGGGCTATCGATGCCACAGGAGCTTGTTCTCGCACCTCTTCTAGAAACATGGATGGGTGAAAAGTACCGTCGTTCAAACCTCCTCACTATAAATCCTGCATGGTCTATAGAGATAGGCGAGGATGGATCTCAAGGATACATCAACATGTTTCTTTCAAGAAGTGTCTATGGCCAGGGGGATAATGAACGTGATCTGCAAAAGGAGCAGTCTTTATGGGACAGGTACAAGGCTAGGTCTCAAATACTAGATTGCAGTGAAGGTGATAACTTGGAGTATTTTGTATTTAGTGGACAGTCTCCGGAATATTATCCTAAAATCCCGCTGCCGAGTCCTTTCAGAATGGGTAGCAGCTGGTATCTAAAAGCAGCCAAACAGTATCGGGATACGTTCATAAATTGGCAATTCACATATTCCGATTATGATTTTGTGCCGGATTTTGAGGACAACGGTAAGGACATTGGTCCCCTGAGCTGTGCAATGCAACGTTCTTGGGAATCATTTCGAAAATCAGCAATCTTCGAATGGGTCGAAAGGATTCAGTCTCCTAGGGATCGTCCCTTGACTCAAGTCCAAGATGAGTCACTTCAAGTTGCAACTGATATACTTGAGCTTCATCGGGATGTTACACAATTCGATATGATAGTTGATTTTTACGAATTTGGGTACAAAGTTGGATGGGAAGAAATCTCTGGGCCTTTCCCAACAGATAATTGGGAAACGTACGCATATGACGCTATGTGTTCTACAGTCTTTTATGGGCATGATTTGTGGGAGCCGGAACTTCCTCTCTACTAGTAGTCAACTTAGCAATATAGGTACAACTGATTATATATCCAAAATTGAATCTCACAATCTCCGTAATGTGCGTGAAATTGTTATATACGTATGATATCGAAGATCATTATGTGGTCAAGAACTCTTCACACATATGATAATCGAGATTCATTTAGCTTTAAATCTCTTGCAATGCATATACAAGATGGCACGTTGTCTATAAGCTATTACCAAGATGCAAGAATACTTGTGACTAGATACGAGAAACCATATTCCTTCATCTGGTTGACAGTAATTCCTTAGTAGATCGTCTTGTCAACACAGTTGCCTTTGTATACGAGTACATTTGATCATGGTGGCATTGCAAGCATGTATCATCACGTCCAACAGCACATGTAGCAACGATTACAGCAAAGAGTCAATTCCCAAAAGGCGTACCCAGCAGAAAGATATCAAGACGCATTCTCTTTTCAACATCTTGTACAAACTGACGGTCTACATCATCATGTCTCCCGGGACTTAACGTTATCAGTCTCTACAATCTGGGCGAACGCCGGTATCCGGCTGCGGCTATCCAATCTCGAGAATTCGTGGTAAGTTGGTTCCGAGTTAAATTAAACAACATCGATTGACCCAAATACTGTGACGTCAAATAGGCTTGGTACACGTACAAATGCTCCTCGTTTTAAAAACGGATTCATCGATTAGCACATGCTTCAGTCCTGGCGGATCAATTTTGGGGCAAATTCAAGACGCTATAGGTGATAGGAAGGTGATTGAGTGGGGTTTGAAGAGAGTTCGGCGTTGATTGTCTCGTTCTAAGTGAGTCTAGATCCAGGATTTGTGATGAAAGAGGTATGCGAGGAATTCAAGGCATGATTTGAGTCATTTTCAGGTCAGTAGCACAAGTAGAGTTGATATATGCTCCGGAATCATGATAGTAGGTGGTGTGCAAATTAAACCTGAGTCTCTCTACAATATTACTTCTTATCTGACTGAAATTCTTTTATTCGACCCAGAGAATTCTTTCAAGCACGCCGCTGACTGTTATTGCCATGATCATTGACCAGCAAACTTGTTGTGAGGACCGCATATATTACTAAAAATTAAACAGCAAATTGTGCAAACATGTTGGTGAAAGGGGAATGATAGTGGGAAGAGTAAACAGTTTCTGCAATCCTCAAAAAGCATTTCTCTTTGCTGAATCTTTTAGGTGGTTGATTCTGCTAGAATATCTAGATTCCTTGTTGAATTTCGCTACTATACTCACTTATAGCACTTTAATGGTGCATTTGTTTATTATATGAAAAAATGTTCCTTAACGTATGGCTGACGGGCCAACCCCTCTAATTCAGGATAACATCTCGTACATCGCCGCGCGCCCCGCGTGTACGCGCAGTGATCCAATCAATGCTTGACTTAAAGTTACTTGTTTTTATGATATCAGCGATCAAACCTTACAGGATTTGAAACATCTTACCACTTACGGAACCTTTGCTGAGATAACTCACACATAGTTTTGTTCTATGGGCGGTCCGAACTGGTACCAATGTCTACTCGCTTAGCGATGACGCTGTGGTTCGGACCCAGTTTTGATTGGCCCGGATGCAACGAAAACTCACTAGCCAATTGAGGCGCAGATTTAAAGGTACCTAGGCCGGGCGTGTAATTAACAAATCCAAGCAGGGAAGGTTGATTACCGTATAAAAAAAGTTGGATATTCTCGCAACATTTGAAGTTGTATTTTTGAAACCGAAGTCTTCAAACTTTTTACATCAACATTGCAAATCTCGAAACGTTAACACCAGCAGCTTTCGCACGTCAAGAGGCAAGCCGCAGAGATCTGTGTTTAATTACCCTCTTTTTCCACAGAGTTTCAAGAATCACGGGGAAAATTTGTCTCCCAAATAATCTAAAGACCTTCAATAAATGAATCGAAACAACTACGTTACATTACAAGAACCCACTTCCAGAACTCTCCTTCCATCACCTTTCAATCGACTTCAAACATCCGCTAACTTTACGAGCGCCCCATCACAATACCTTTTCAGAGCTGGAGAGCGCAATAGAAAACAGTTCTTCGAAAAAGAAGAAGGCCTAGATGACTGGGTTCATATCATGCCAGAGTTGATCAGCGATCACGATGCTAAATTCAAATGCCATACCTCCAAGCTAGGATCTCCATTCGAGTTTGTTGAGAAGAGCTCTGTTAGATTGAAGCGTAGCAGAAAACAGCGTAGAGGTACGAGGTTTTTTCAAAACACTAGACCTGGTCGACGATTGAAGTCGACGGAAGAGCTCAAAGAATCAAAGTTGTGAGCAGGCGGGAGGCTCCATTCGAATGATGAGAGATGGCGCTGGGATGCACTTCTAGGACGAATGGGCTCAGAGTTAGCTGAGTTGTGACACCGTGAGATTAGCAGAAGTAGTTGCGCAGGATGGATAGGTAGATGTTTTACGGGTAGTTAAGCAATGATTATCAAATTTTCAGAAAGGAAAAGAGTTCATTCCAGTTAATAGGTATGAATAGAAAATCAACTTTTATTTCTTACTGACCTGGACGCCCCAGGCACAAATTCTACAACCTCCAGATAAACATAGGCTACAGGTCTTTACAAGCATCTTCACGGATAATTGACGTGATGTGAATCTTAGTATTTATGGATGTGTGTCATGTGACCTTTCAAGATACTTGTGGAATAAATTTGTGTCATCATATCATTTCACGCGATAATATCTTTTTGCAAGATTCCGAATGCTATTGATAAAACTATTGAGTTGTGTATAGTGTCACCTTTCTATGCGCTCAAAACGTGCAAAGGCCTGCTGCGTATATTAGTACGTTTATTAGTCTCCTAGAACTTTATGAAATGCTAAAAGAAGAAGCAGGAGTACCAACAAAAGGCTGTGAACATACAGTACTAGTCAACTGCTATCAGCCGAAACCCAATTTCACACCAAAAATCAGCATTTTGCTATATTTTTAAATATAAAAATCTTTATAAATAATAATTGATACTCTCAATATTTAAAAAATCTAAGAAATTTCTAATATTAAAATTTATAAGATTGAATTAAAATCTTAAAAAAGTTACTTGATTTTTGTTTATTTTACTAATAAATTTAATCATTTTGAAAATATTCTAATTTTCAATCTATATAATAAAATCAATAAAATCTAAAAAATAATTGATTTAATTTTTATCAAATTGTTATTAAAAATAAATTAATAAATGATAATAGAAAGTTATATTATATTAATAATAATAAGAAAATTTATAATTGTAAATAATGAGTTTTGGTGTGAAAATGTGTTTCGGCTGATAGCAGTTAGTACTTGCTGTATGTTCAAAATAATGATATCACAGCCTCTAAATGAAAATTACAGCGTACCTATCTGAGCTTTGTAAGATTTTACACATTACGGTTCAGCCGTAATAGCATATATCTCAAATGGACGAACGGCCTCAGAACATTGTTAAATTCTCAAGCCCAACTCGTGCTAGCGCGGCAGGTATTACAAAGCCGAAATCGGTGATGCTGATTGATAAACTGTGCCAGAGCCGTATGTGATTGAGAGAGGATTTATATAGCCTCAACGCGCCCCGAAATAAAGGGTACTCTTCGTCACATACTCGTAAACATCCAGCTCTGATGAGTCCGAAATTCATTTCGTGTCAATTCCAATCATTCAACATCACGTAAAATATCACGATCAGAGTTTCCAATTGAATGAGCGATCCTGCTTATGTTATCATCAAACTCAATCCGAATCAACAAGATATCTGATTCTCCCCCCCCCCCCCCCCCCCCCCCAATATGCCAAAACAAGTCAGAAGAAGATACCCCCGCGACCATCGCAAAAACTTAATCAGTTCTCAAGCCATCTTTCCCATTCTCTTTACCTACTCCATTCTGAGGCCAATCTTACCCCTTCTCGGAATCACTCTCTTGAAAAAAGAAAAGGTCTACTCGCCAAAGCCAAGGAGGCTCACGGACGCAAGACCAAGAGAAGACTAGCATTTAGAAGAAAGCTCGAAAGGGGAGTTGTGCTCTGCCAAATTCGTCGAGAAAATGTTAAAAAGCTTGCCATTGATAGTCAATCAAACAATTCAGCCTCGAAAAGAAGCTCCTCTGATCATAAACTTAGTTTCAGAAAGTGAGGATGCAGGCATTGAGGAACTAGAGAGCGAGGAACACGAAAGTGAGAATGAGACCAGGAGTGAAGATGGTACTGAAGAAGGTGAAGAGATAGCCAGGCCAAATTCGAGCAGTGGAAAAAACACCCGGAGTATTCCAATTGTTGCAAGCCGTTGGAGTCGGGTATATTCGTATCAGCAAAGTAGCAAAATGGCAGATGGTGAAGGAAAAAAAGAAGATCGCTCTGTTTCAATTAGAAAATATACAGCAAAAATTAAGAGCCTGCCGCTCAATAAAGACATACCTAAGAGACACAAGGGCAGTAGCACTGATTTCAGAAACGAAAAAGATCAATACAGTGAAGAGTACGATGATAGCAAGGAGGAAAAGGGTATTCGTTTTCCGCTTTTAGCATATACAGGAAATTCTCTGAACCTTCCGATCGCTAAGGGCACGGTCCCTGGACCCAAGTATGGCAGAGAACTTTCGTTGGCACTTCAACGGCTAGAAGAACACACTATTCCAAGTTCAAAGAATTCAAGACAAACACCTCATTGCGCGAATCATCATAGCAATATGAATCAAAAAGGTCAGAGATACATCCATGGAAGAAAGGTTACGCCGAAGATTCACAAAACAAACGGGAGCATTATCTCATCATCAATACCAGAACTCAAGACGAAGGAACTTTCACGCGGTAAAGACATAGTGACTCGGAGAGTCAAGCGAGGAAGAAACGGCATGCCGAAGACACCAGAAGATAGGAAAGGTAGTGGAACCGAAGAAGAGAACAAAGAAGATTCTGCAATCCTTCTCGCACAGTCACATTCAACTCCCTCTAAACACACATCACCAGCACATGCCAGCATGGCTCTAGAGCACAAGTTGAAGTCGAACGCCATGCCAAGTATTGCACAAGAACAGGAGAATAAGGGACAACCGAATTATCTCTCCCATCCATCTCCTCCTTTACTAGATGGATCAAGATCGAAGCGCCAAAAGACAGCGGCTGTCAGTTCGCGGAACGAAGTGAATAAGGACATTGATGGAGTGCTTCGAGTTGGGTCCATGAATCGACCCATCCCAGAGAAAGTTACAAATCGTCGTTCGTCTACAGAAGTTATTAGAACCAAACCAGCAAAATTTTTCACCGATCTTCCAGGGTTGGTAATTCGTCAAATCGTCGACACCGTTTGTGAGCAGGAAGGTGAAAAACTCATCTCCTCAATATGTTTCGGGCTCACTTGTAAACTTCACTGGGCTTTTTTCAAGGCCCGATGGTGTCCTCCAGGCACTGATAGGATCTACGAGGGATATCTACCAAAAGAAGACCAAGCACTTCTCGCACCTTTGCTGCAGAATTGGGTTCCAGAAAGATATCGAATGATGTCGGGCAAAGGTGGTAAAGGTGGTCCAAGCTTAGTCCCAATGTTTCTTTCAAAGAATCAATACGGGGAAGGATATACGAGAGAAGAGGGAAGATTAGAGAAAAGATATATTGCCTGTCTCTCAATCCTCGATGCTACCAATCAAGATGGTCTACAGCTAAAGCCCAGCCGCGGCTTACATGCGATGATAGATAACACGATTGATTTGCCAAGCCCGCATGGAATGGGTCATTCTTGGTACGATGCTAGTGCCTCTGAATACTTATTTCTGGTTGAGGGATGGGAATATTCAACATTGAATGGTGAAGGTCCTGGATTCAAAGCCATTTGTGAGTCGTGGCATACTTTTCAAAATACATGTTTGTGGGACTGGGTCAATGGCAAGAATTTCAATCAGTTTTGTGAAGATTGGATGGATGACGAAGGAATGAAAGGAAGGCAGAAGGTCAAACAGACTTTAATCAAGTTTGACAAGAAAGTGAAACATTTTCAGGCAAGTAACCATGATTTGGAAGATACGGTTATCGCTGGTGCTGTTGGTGCTGTTGATGAAATGGTGATGGAGGATATTATCCAGGTGTTATGAGTTCGTGATGGAAGCCATTAGACAGGTCAGTCTGAGGTATGGATAGGCATTAGATGAAATTTCAATATTATGTCATTTTTTTGGAACTGTCGCACAACCGCTGAGATATTTCCAAAAGACGATTGAATTTTACCGCCAGCCGATACCATCGTCAAAAAAGTTTTCAACTATCATGATTATCAAAACAGAACCCACAGTGTATGCCATAGCGATATCCCTAGCCCTAATTCCAACCAGCTAATAATCTTCGTCTTCATCCTCCCATAGCTTATATCCTTCCAGGAACTGCTCTTCATATGCTTCTAACTTTTGTTTCGCAGCGAAAAGCTCATATTGGCCACCATCGTTGGGCGACTCCTCCTCCGTGTAGTCCCCTACCCAGTCTTTAAAAGGGCTGGAGAAGTAATTGGTCCAGAAGCCATCCAAGGCTTCTTCCCAACGAACTCCCGATCCATACCTCCAGAGCTTTGCTCTCTGCAAGATATCATTGAGTGCTCTTTCGTTCCACTCGACACCTTCGCCGAATGGTGAGACAAGCGTTCTGTAAAGAGGGTAACCTCGACCCCCTGGTTGTGGAATTTGTAGAGTAATACGGCTGTAGTATTTGCCAGTCATAGCAGTCTCTTCGTCGCTACCTCTCTTGCCGTAAACCTGTCGTGATAGATACATCACGTTGCATTGATTGCCAACTGCCAGTGACAAGGTTTTCTTGGAGGCAATTCGGTAACTTAATCCCATCCACTTATTCAATCGTGGTGCTAATTTTATTTTAGTCAATGTTGAGAGCTTTGAGTAGTTGCGATGATGCTGTCGCTTTTTGTAGCACCAAAATGCTTTCCTGGTAAGTCCCAGGCAAATCAACGTCGCGATGTCATTCTTTTCGTAAAGCAAATTGAGAACGCGGAGAAATACTTCGTGCGGAATCACCAAGTCTGTGCCGTCATCTCTTATGAGAAAAGCTTAGCCGAGAATTAGTCTCAGATCCCTTCAATTGCAAGCGCCATGATCTCGGTGGCTTACCTTGTGCTAGGTCCCTGTGTTTTGCCTTCACTTTCAGGACTCCTCCAACAACAACTCCATCCTCTCCGGCCTCTCCTTCCAGAACAGGGATGCTGCGCCGTCGTTTCTGTTGTCTGGCTGAGGCTATTTGTTGGTCTAAAGCCCTCTTGTTATTAGGTTTAGTGGCGGACCTCAGCACCCGCCCCGAGGTAAGCGCTTGGCTCATCATATTATTAGATGGCGCCGAGCCTACTGGTAACTCTGCGTCTTGTAGAGAATGCGAGCTTGAAGTATTATTGCTCGTCATTGTCAAAATCTGGTGGTTGAAAGTTTGGTATAATTTAAGTAAACAGAAAGCAAATAGTAGTCAAGAGAAGTTTTGAGAAGTTTTATGTGTTTCAATAAAGTAGTTTGAAGACTGATATGTCCAAGAAAGTAATCTTTCAGTACACTGGCTCAACCTAATTTACCAGCTGCTGTAAAACGCTTATAGTCACAAGCGAACCCGAGGGCCGAGGGCCAAGGCCCAAAATATAATTTCTGAAGGCTATGACATAATTGAAGAGTGTAGTAAAGGCTTTTCAATTGTGATTAGAGTAAAGAGAATAGTTTTTAAATTAGTTTACCAGAAAATGGTGATGAAGTATACAAAATCACATCTTATGTACATACTAGGTTAGGGATTGAGTAAAGCCTGTCTATATCCTAGAATATATTATAACTTCAAGCTTAATTTTGTGAGTCCTTGTTAAGTGCCCTTCTGAATCGGAAGCTGTGAAGATCATATGTTATCAGTGACCATGTAACAATAGAATATAGGGATTAAAAGGCTTTGCAAAATGATGGGGGATAACAGTGTATGACACCATAATTGCTAGACTAAGAACAAGGAATAGCTAGGAAAGATTGATTGAGTTACAAATACCTACTCATATAGGCATAAGATGTGGGATAGCTATCCATTAATACTTCTGTGACATACTGGGGGCAAACTCCAGTTCGGTCGACCTTAAGTTTTACGCGAGTTTTCTTCCAATATCAAGCACTGTGCAATCAATTGTTGTTTTGATATTGCAGTTTGCATTAGAAACTTCATCAATTCTTTGAAATTCAGTGAGCCGTTGTTGGTTAAGGATAAAGATAGACCTGAAAATAAGACAGACAATCATCAAAGTGTCAAGTAGGAAAAAAACACCCCTTTCTTTCTGAACACGAATAGCAATTTTTACAGATATGCATGAATTGCCCATTTTGGTTAGCACACAGGATTAGTTGCACAATGGGAACAAACAGAACAGTCATAAGATGATCATCTTGTTTGTAATATGGCTTTGATTTTTGTCTAATGAGAAACATTTGCCAAGCTAAAATCGATGCTATGAACAACTAAACACAACACTCTACCACAACTTCAACAAACTAAACCCAAAATTATCTTTTCATCATATAAAGCCAAGATGATCCTTATTCAAAATGCAAATATCTCATATCATCCTAGGATGGAAAACATTTAGTTTTGCATGATGCTTTTCCTTTGCCTTACTTTTGCTCTTTCTGCTGACTATGCTACTCGTGGATTGTACATAGAATCTACTCTCTTCAACTCTTTTTTGACTCTCAATACCTCAGTTATAAGACTATCTTCGTTATCCTTGCTCATTGCCTATGCATGAACATTGGTTCTCTTGAAAGAGAACCAAGCTCTCTGTGTTCCCTCTCTGTCCCATCCTTTCCAGCAGACAACGACGTCATTGTAATAATCGATAGCTACAGCATCATACCATTCTTGAACCATACCGAAAGGCTTGGGCGGTCTGAGTTCACATGGAAGCTTAGAAGACCATGTAGTATAGGAGAAACATGATGCCAACCTCGCTTTACATGACACACCAAAGACCAAGTCAAATTGGTTCATTTGTCTTTTCTCGTGTTTGTAACAGTGAGCTTTGTGTAGAATTATCTTTCGGTCCGTATATCACTCAACTGATCTTGTCTCTTCCTCATCCCAATCAAGCCCATATCGATAGACTTCGCGAGACAAAAATAGCGTTTTGTCATGAGTATGGCACAGAAGATCAAAATCCAGAACGCTACTATGCCCGAGGTTTGCAATTCGCGCCACTCGATATTCGTACAGCATCCAGGATCATAGTAAAGATATGAAGCCCTTTTCTAGTGCACGGCGCCGAGTTCAAGTGTGTTTGCTGATTCCCCAAAGGGTAAACCACATGGACCAGGTTCGGTAATTATAGAAGTCAGAATGGAGACTTTGGTATCTGAAGTAGATTGAAGTCAACGACTATATCACAGATGGTTCATCTAGCATAGGTTATAAAAGTCACTATGATTTACCTACTTCGCCCATAAAGTCTTTAAGGCTACTGATTCTGGAATGATTCTCTTAGCCCTTGAGAGTGCTGACACTGTGGTCAAGAGTCTCCTGAACATCAGAAAGAGGCTTCTTTGAAGACAAGCTTTTATTGATAGCCTTGTTAACACCTTCGAGATCTTTGCGCTTTTTGACCTTCTTGGTGCGTTGTTTCGCTGCGTTTATACAACCCATCTTTCACGAAATTGGATCAAGAAAACCTTGAAAGGGATTGTTATCTCTGGAGGCGAGTTGGTGTCATATCATTTCTATTATACGTGAGCTGATATGACCCTTAAACAGGCAAGATCATTGGAGAAACGAACTCTCTACGGATTAGCCTAATAATGGGCATCTCAGCTATAAAAAGAAGGAGGCCTGCAACCAAGCTAATTTTATGTCCAACCAATGTCTAAAATCAATAACAGGATTTTTTTATCAGTCTTTTTTGTCAGTCTTTTTTAAGAAACCTGACTTTGAAGTTCGCTCGATAAATATTCAAGTCCTGATGTTAGGAATTGGTGCTGGGTGCTGTAGTAGTAAATTTTGACAACAAGCCGCTAAACTAGAATTTCTGCACCACTCCCCTCTTTCTGTATATAGGTACTCTATATAGGAATTAGTCGGCAGCTTAAAGAGCCGACTATCAGTGAATATAAATTCTCAAATAAGACCGGAAATTTGTGGCTGTATTCCCCGAGCCCAAAATCGGCCAGCCAAGGTCCACCCCCCCCCCCCCCCCCCCCCCCCGCACAAACTTTAATGTCTCAACAACAACACCAAACTTTTGAGAGGTTTCCAAAACAGTGTACAAAACATTTTCAAACAAGCTTCACATTCTAACAGCATCTATCCCCAAATAAAAATGGGAAACGAAGTATCAGCACAAAGGGTTACCTTTGGTTCACGTCCACCACACAAGCAAGTCCAACAAGAAGCCTCCCCGAATACAGATGCTCCTTCCACCAACAAACGCAAACGTGAGGATTCTGAAGAAGATCACTCAAGTGAAAATGTCAGCAAACACAGGAAATTGCACCAAAATGAGAATAGTGGTCATAGCATTCTCAATTCTGAGTCTCTGATAGTTATCCTGAAATGTGGTAAGTATTTTGACCTGTTTTTAATTTCTACTTAAATATTAACAAGATCAAAGATTCCTTATCATCACTTCAGAGGGTTTCTCAACAGAAGGACCCCATGAGAACAAAGAAAAATAGCGGTTTCACTAAAGAAGAAAACAACGCCCATGCAGTTCTGAATAGGTATGTTAAAAGAGAACTGGAATACATAAACAGGGAGAAACAAAAGTGAAGACGCTTGAGAAAGCAACGGGAAAAGGCAATGGCCTGCACACCTGGACGTGATCCAATTGGAACCCCATCTTCGGCTGATCTACAAGGTATAATCCTCACTAAATCAGTCTCTGTCTGGTTTGGTTTACTGATTACTTGTTAGCCACCACCTCGACTGTTCCTCCAAATCATTCAGTGCTTATAGCTCCTGGTACGAATTTAGATTCTAAGATCAAGGAGAAGCCCGAAATTACAGTGAAGTCCGGATTAAAAGCTTTCCCAGACGCTTCCCCAGACACGAATACATCAACAGGCTCTGCTGCCCAGATCAAGGATTAACTGATCGTGAAGTTGAAATTACCAAAAGAAATAAGTGGTTGCTTTTATTCCTATTATTACATTCTTCATTCGTTTATGATAGTTATCATAGCTAATGGACGTCTAATCATAGCTATTGGACGTCTAATCAGTTCTTGTTGAAGACAAAGTAGCTTATACCTTTCAATGGATTCAGATGTTGGATTAAAGGAGCATTAGTGGTGGACAAGAGAGTTGTAGCAGCAAGGCACATTGGTGGAACGATAATTAATAGGATATACCGAGTTTTGAATACAATTTTAGCTCTTCTATTCCATCAGTAATCTCAATGAATGTTAATTTGGATTCCCTCAGTGTTATTCAGAGAATTCCAAAGCTATTGATATGAAATTTTGAGCTTGACTTTGAGAACTCAAAATTCAGCTGTCCATGAGTCTCGAACATGCTCTGTTCCAACATAGAGTAAACTCAGTTAAATCATGCATTTAAGAACTGTGTATTTTGTTTAAACGCTGTAAACTTCTCTTGAATAAAAATGACAGGTTTTTCTTGCCATAGTTGTTCTCTTGGCATATTTCCTTATCCCCACCATGTACCTAGGTAGTTCTCCAGTTCTTTGATATAGCTCGGCTGGCTTTTAAATTTAGCCGAACCCGAGACTATTCCCGTTCCTCTTCCAGAATGTTCATCTTCAACCTCGCAATTACTAAACTACTGAATTATTCAAACAACTCTCTTCATCAATTGGTTTGATTTGGAATTGATTGAAATTCCCACAAAACCCTAATGCAATAAATGCATTCTTCGTGTCAACAAAACTCGCAACCAGCCTTTTAAGCTATCTTTCTTCTCAGCCTACACAATCAATAACACGATCACTTACTTTGTGTCTTCCGATATATGAAATAAAATCTACTAGCCACAAGCATCGGCCATGGCGCAATGTTCCACAGAGATCGATATCCATGCTCCAAGGATCGTCTATCCAAACACAGGCAAAGAATCAATCACGACAATGGCAGCAGCTACGCCCCACAGCAAACAACTCATACCACCTGAGATCATTCTCCGGCTCATCGAAGCTATGGTAGAAGCCGACGACGAGAAATTGAATCGACCTACAATAATCTGCCTCGGTCTTACCGCGCGTCTCTACTGGAACTTCCTAAAAACACAATATCCTATGCAACAGAGATCAACTACCTCATCATGTTTCCCGACTTCCTTGGAACAACCTTTTCTCGATAGATACGGCATGAGACGACTCGCGCAGGCACTGAAGACATGGATTGGACCTGACTATCGCCAGGTCTCGGAACTCTTCCTCAACGAGACGATTGGCTGCCAGATCATGTTCTTACGCCGCGAGGTGTACGGAGATGTATCTAAAGACGACTACATCCACCCTCGTGAAAAGGAATTAGCAGAGAGACTTCGACATTGGAAGGAGTTTCCATTTAAAGATTGGCCATCAAATGTACCTATCCATTCCCCAATACTGAAGACATTGTCAAATCCTTACGGAATGGGTATGCAATGGTATCCCAAAGCCGCCCGGGAACTACTCAATATAATCGACAGCTGTCAGAGATATGAAAGAAACAATGTTTCGATTGTTGGCCGTCATCCCGAAGGCATTCAGTTTTCGTTTTATCTTTCGCATCTCGATAGCATATTGTGGAAATGGGTACGTAAGAGGGACAAAAAAGATACAACAGAGTTGAAAAAGCTTAAGAGGCAAGTGAGACATTCAGATCATGTATTTGGAAGGCTATGACACTAGAATTCACTGCATGTAATGAGGGATACCGGCTATGATGTGAAGATGGAGATCAAAGATGCTGTGAGGATTCATAATAAGTCCACTAAATCACTTATTAATATCTTACTAAATAAGGGATATCTTGATGACTAATACACATATAATATGATCTTATATTATAAAATCATATTATCATATAGTTGTATAATAGTATCTCTTATCAAATTGATTTATAATGGAATAGAATGAAATGGAACTAGATGGAAGTATACAGGAAATATCGCTAAATTGATTGGTTGTACTTTCTTTTTATTATCTAAAATGATTCTATAAGATACGATTTAAATCGATCTTATTTATAAGCATAGAATATACTGGAATTTCATTATAAACTATATAAACCTAGAATATTCTTTAAAGAAAATCTAGGAAAAGCAAGCAATTCATCTCAACTCAGCCTAGCTCTTCTAAATTGACTTCAATTCAACTCTTATTCTATATATTCGATTTATCCCTCAAGCTTAAACTGACTAGATCTTCCACTATCATTATAATAATACTATTCCTTATTATTATAAAAGCTAACCTCCAAGAGATGCCAACAACACATAATGTACAGTGATAAGCACCTTATTCAAAGGAGCAGGGAATCCATTGTTATCTGGCTTGGTTTCATGGTTCAATTCTTAGATTGTGATCAGCGTGCTGGTTCGATACCTTCAGCCCTTGAAGTGCTGCTTCTTCCCCCTTCAACAATCTGCAATGCTAGCTTACGGGTTCTGCACACCATCGGGACGGATCTAGGGAGTATGGCGGGGTCTTCCTATTATCAATTGTGTTACATTGCGAAAGCTCCTGTAGGACAGGCTAGTAGAGAAATATTCTGTGTTCATTAGTTCCACAGAATGCAGTGAGAATAATTATCAGCAATATGCAATTCAAAGTTCAGAATTTATGTGCTACATGGATGGTGATGTGAAATGGATACGCTCGGAATAATCAGGAAGTGAAATCAGACACAAGCTCTTGTACCAAGCTAGTGAAACGTGCTTTTACTGTCAGTAATCTGAGCAGCCATGTGCAGTCTATTGTTACACTCTCGCATCGAACTCATAAAACTAGTCACAATCAAGGCCTTGTCTAACGTCAGAGTATCAGGAATAGCTCGCGATCTTGTATTAATTTGAATTACAAACCTTTCAAGCTGCTAATTATACATGAGCTGAGTCAACTCATGATGAAAATCTACGCCCAATGGCACTCTACCCTCAAAATGCCTGCATGTAGAACTATTAGAAGCACAGGAGAACGACAAGTCCGCCTCGTCTTTATGCACGTTCCACCTCTCTAATCCAACGGACCCCAAGACTCCTCGATATCTCTCTCAAAGTTTCTCAACACTTCTTTCATTGAAGTTTCTTTCGGGAAACAGATTGCCTTGAGAATCCAGTCCTCGCCATCATAATGCATCAGCCATTTGAAAATATTGTGATCCGGTATTTTCTGCATAACATCATCCTTGCTTGAGCCATCTTGTATGTAATGACCCCTATGTAAATTATCACAACCGTTATAAGTCCAATTCGGCTTCCTTGAATAGGGAGGATTGTATTGGCCGGATTCAGTACGTGAAACCTTATTCTGCGGAGGTGTACCACCAAACTCTTCTCCTTCGTAATGGGCCCATGCTCGCAGACTACTATGCATGTATTCTTGCCAAAGGCGCTGGCGAGCGGGATACTCTGGCGATTCTCGACCCTCGAACCAGGAACCGATTGGTTTTCCGCTGCCTTTGTCCCAATTCTGGATAATGCAAATCAACAAGGACTTAGCCATCTCTTCATACCAATCTGTCCCCTTTCTAGTTGGATCTGGAATGCGGAGACCACTGTATAATGCAGGTCTGTAGCCCGGACTGCTTAGCAGAGCTATGAAATTATTGTAGTCTTCGAATCTCTGGCACAGAGCTCGTTCTTTTGCATCTGTGTCGCCATAGACTTTGCGTGAGAGAAACCTGGTATGTTGTGGAATAAAGCTGCCGAGTCGATTGTATCCATGGTCTCTGAGCGCATGATTCGATATTGATCTCCCATCCAGTTCTTGAGAAGTGGAGCTAGCACTCTCTTTTCCTTTCTGGTAAGACGAATTCCAAATCGATGGCGATATTTTGCGACATAACGATAGTAGATACGGGCGGAAAGAGAATACACCAGATTGTCGGCATATCATGTTTCTTGTAGAGGAGATCGAGGATCTTGTAAACAATCTCAGGTGGAACAATTCGCTTTTGGTCTGGAAGAAGATCATATACTGTTAGTCACTTAAAAGTAGAAGGATAGAGATTGGAGTCTGTCTTACCGTATTGAGAAGAAGGAGCCAAATCCAAATCAGTAGAGGCTACAAGATTCTGGCCAGCGTCTACTGTCATGCTTGTCTTATTGTGGTAGTTCATATCTCCAACCTTTTGGGCGGCTACCGCGTCTTGATCAGATGTCGCGGTAACCATCTGATCCCAAATATCCATTGTGAACTGATTCATTTCTGTATGTGCTTGGCTCGATGAAATGTTACAGGGTTCTTACTTTATATTTCGAGCTTTTTGGGATATCTGAGCAAAGTTGTAGAAGAGATCTGGTTGCTGGGGTATAAACATGTGGAGAAAAAGCCCTTCGGTTATATGGTTCAACAAAGACTAGTGGTTATTTACTTGTATATGATAATTATGTGGATTTTAGAACTAGGTAGAGTAAGTACGTAGATTTCACAATGACGGAGTAACTTTAGAACATAATTTAATTGCATTTAAGAATAATTATACTAAATACTGATGAAATTCTGCTAGACTCCACTCCTTCTAAGTCTTCGTGACAAATTTCTGAGCCAAACAGAGCGAAAGTGTGCTCGATTAGTCACTGCTATGAGTTTCCCAAAATGAGATGCCCCAGGACTCATTGATATCTCTCTCAATGGCCTTCAACATATCTTTGATTGTTGCTCCCTCTTGATGACATATGGCGCGATGAAAGCTATCTCGACCATTGTAAGTCCATGGAAGGGGTGGCACCCGACGGTCATAAGCAGTTGTTACGATAAGGTCCTTAACTGACACAATAAAGCCACTGCCATCTCCCTTTCCTTTGAGCTCTGATGGTCCCCTGTGATACGCTCAGTCTCGCAAACTGCTGTGCATATACTCCAGCCAGAATTGTCGCCGCGCTTCGCACAAGCCCTGGGGGTGATGCGGTGTAGTACACACTATTCTTTCAGGGTCAAACCAACCACCAATGTCGTTGTGGCTTTCTTCATTCCATTCACCCATGATATAATCATGAATGATGAAGTGTGCCATGTCTTCGTACCAGTTGACTTTGTCGTGCAGTGGCTGTGGAAAGAATGGTGTGTGGTAAACAAAATTATACTTAAACGGCATGGTCATGTTGTAATAGTCCATATGCCGTTGTGGTAAGGCAAATTCTTGCTCCCATTTATCGCCGTATACTGCACGGGAAAGGAACAAAATGTTTGTTGGTGTCTCCCAGTATTCTGAACCAACCGTAGTTAAATTTAGGGCCGCGATGGTTTTTGGAGAGGCAACTCTGTAGTCGCCTCCAATCCAGTTCTTCAATAGAGGTGCGAGCTCCAATCTCTGGCCTAGACAAAGATTCATTTGCATACGCCATGTCGTGCCATCTTGTACCCATCCTTCTTGTTTTGCGAGGAACGCTAGATAGTCGTAAGAAATTTTGGCTGTTAGAGAGACACAAGTTAAGGTTGGGGTATCATTGGACCAATCGAGACAGTCGATGATTTGATACAATATCTCGGGTAAAATCCTTCGGGTTCCAACTATGGTACCGTCTCTCATTAGCAAAATGTAAATTGATACTCAAGCATCAGAGGGATATGCTACCTTGTTGAGATCCAGAAACTAAAGTTGTGGGAACTGTCTCTGTATCTGGTAAAGATGTTTCCAAGGCTATCTTTGTGGCATACTCTTTGGTGTTTGTTGCTCAGGCTCCGGGGTGACTCTTTGGTTTGAAGGATCCATTGTGAGCGAATTGATACCTTGTGAAATAGGATCAATGCGGTGTGCTTCTGGATTGCTGTCCATGATGTACAAAGTACGAAATCTGAGGAAATCCTAAGACAATCTGGATGTTAAATCTTTTTGTAGGTAGTTTTCGGGGTGAGAGAAAGATGCAAGTTGTAAGATGCAAGTTCTAAGTTCCAAATCTCAAGAACTTTATATACCAAGCTAACCCCAATCCACTGTACCAATCTATAAGCGAATCCGAAGCAAAAACAGTAACCGAAATTCTATATATACTAGCATAACCCAACAAATCACTTTACACATTGAAACGTTCATTCCAAACCTATCATTCATCATAACAGTTATAAAATAGAATATAGAATGTCACTTGGAGTTTGGACCTGTTCATACAGGATTTGGAACTGACAGCCCTTTGACTATCCCCTATCAATGGCCATAAGAATTGGTTTTAGTATTGCAAGAGGTCATAGCTGATACAGCATCGTGGTTTATGAAGTAAGTCAGCAAGTTAATCACTTATTAGAACATTGAACATCAAACTTGAATAGGTATCGAAAGAAAAGAAAAAGATTACCTATTTCTTGGCTGTTTATATTAGATGAATAAAGGAACTTCAATGTCCATGAGAATTGACAGTCACTTTATGAAGAAACTGTATGAAAATACGATTATGCAAATTCACTATATAACTCCCAATCTCACTAGCTATTCTCATTGTTCCTTGATTTATCCATTGATGGATCACATACAAGAGACTATTATCCGAGAATAACACATGTCCAGAGACCTGAATCTTCTTTGCACCGTTAGTCCTTTGGCATTTAAGAATTAGCAAATGCCCGGAACGTTCAGGGCATTAAATACAAGCAATGATGCAAACAAACGGGAAATGCTTGCTCGTGCCAACCTAACACAAAAACAATCAGTTTCAAATGAAGACTCATCTCAAGAAGAATTAACAAACAGAAAATAGTTTTATATTGATATCTTAATGCTCTAAAATTCATCTTTTGACTAGCACCGAATATACCCCTCTGTGATATACCTAACCCCGCAAACACCATCCTAAAATCTCGCTCTAGTTCTCAGTTATGTTCAATTCTTCAGGCAATCTTAATTAAAAAAAGCCCTACTCCTTGCTGGAATTGCAGAGAAAGGGTTGCCTCACTATATGGAAAACGGGGAGATTCAATCGGTGCATCCGAAGCACTTCTTACATTGCCATCAATATGCCGGGAAGCCAGGTACGCCAGGTGTTCGGAAAGATCAAAATCACAAAGATATCTTTCAATCGCTACCGATTGTGGAAAACCTAATTTCGTCACTTGATATCTTGGTCGGTCGGATAAAATCCCAAAAGGCTTGAAACTCTGTTTGATCATCCAAGTCAGTTGCTTTTCCGTTATTTCACACTCCAAAAGTAGAAAAATTGGCCACAAAACACGTTGTTCTTCAAATCCTTGGTATCTAGGGCAATCCGGCTTTCTTTTACAAGAATGCCCATTCGCCCTATATTTCCGATCACGTGTGAATTTATAGAAATGATCTTGCAATTGTTGTCCTGGTCCACAAGTCTTTTTGTTATTCAAAAAACGATTCGATGGATCAAAGACGTAGTTGCCACTATCGCTCCATGAGATCATGTCGGAAGACGTAAGAAGGCTCCCATCTTTATACTTCCCGGGACTGTGATGCAATGGTCCAGAGTAGGATACCTTAAATACTCTGCGAAACTTCCATTCTTTGGCCAGGACATGAGGATCAAGCCTGGATGGATTGTCAGACTTTGAGTTATTTGTTCCAAATAGCAGCCATTCCAGAATTTCAGTTGCTGCTTGATGGTGAGATTTCAGATGGTCCCTAAAGTGGTGCATTCGATCGAGAACCCGATAGTCTCTCAAAATATCTTCTCTGGTGAGAGGCGCACCACATTCAGTACAACGTTTCCAGCGAGATTCAAAGCGAAGCTTTTTGTTTCCTTTCGTATGCACTTCCAGCCGACGTCGCTGCCAGTCGGAAGGTTGCCCAAGCTCTCCTGAACATCCTGGATGCGGACGAGAATGATAATACTCTCGAGGACTTCTATATCTGATTTAGCATTAAGTAAAGACCTCCTGAAATACAACAAAGCATACCTTTGTGAGTTGAATGTGATTTTCGGAGGCTGCCTCTTGATTCTAATATTTTCCGAACTTATTTTGTGATTCGGACTATCCCTCTCTTCGCACGTACTCATCATTGACTGTCCTCAAAGGCCTTATTAGAAACATGCAGATAGTTCCAAAACGGAGTGGGAGGGTTATTTATGAAATGGGTACATATATCATCGTTAAGGGGAATTTGATAATGATGAGAGCTGAGAATAATCAACTTACCCATTTGCAACGTCGCCAAAGCTGCGCTTTCTTGGAAGACTCTCGACACCGTGTTTGTTGGCTCAGAGCGTAAAGACTCATCACCAGTAGAATATGAGTTGCTGGTGGATTCGTTTTCATAGGCTTCATGGCCAGAGTTGTTTCGTTTCATACCCTGTCGACCTCTTCGAGGGCGATTGACGTAGCTCGTAATTGAGTTCGAGCAATGTTCCTCATATTCGTAATTATACTGACCCCATCCACCTTCATTATTATCCCAGTCCAAGTAGCTATTATTTGATAGTTCGCAAGAATTGCTGCTGTTACTGTTAGTCGTAGAGTAATTGCTTTGCATAGCTGAATATGTAGGATACCTTCCTCTGCCATGTTGGTGCAAATTATCGTCATCATCATCGTCATCGTCATCATCATCGTCATTTCTTGGTGATAAGCCTGGCTCGTCCGCGGGTTTTCGTCGGGGATTGTGTAATAAGGGATTCCACTTTGAGATATCAGCACCGCTTTTGAAATGCTCGGCAACGTGATGTTTTCTCTCTTCCCAATCTTTGAAGTGGTATGTACAGAAACCACAGTACCTTGGCCATTTTGTTTTGTGATTGTATGTCCAGGCTGCAGAGGTTGTGTCAAGTCCAGGACGATGATGAACTTCGACTAGATGAGATTGAAAGTGATCAGTCTTTGCTCCTGTGAAAGTTTTTCCCTTTCTTCTTGCTTCGATGCAATTCAAGCTATGACTTCGCACTTCCTCAATTGTTGAGAATGCTAAAGAGCAGTAAGTGCAACAAGGATTTGAATCGTCGTCTGATTGTAGTTCGGCGCAGAGCATACACATATAACGCTTCTGTGGCCAATGTTTCTCGGATTCTTCGTGTCGAATCCAATCGGACTTTCTGCTTGTAGCATATGGACATCGTTCGTCTCCAGGTCCATATGTACATGAATAGGTAGGCGACAAAGGCTGAAGTGGTCTAGGTGATTCTTCATCCGATTGAAGTTCCGAATCTTGAATACTGGATGGTGCAGTAGCCTGCCTTCCAAGGTGAACATACTGTTCCTCAAATACAGAGCTCGAAACTTCCGATAGTGGCATGTCAGAAAATGAGCCATATGCTGAATCCGCCTCCAAATCTGATGCCTCTGACATTGAGGAAGAATCAGATGCATCATCTGAGCAGATAGCCTCATCTATAAGCTTCTCCAACTGAAGAAAAAAGTACTCGGACTTTTGTCTGAAGTGTCTGGACGACTTGGAATAAGATTTCAGAGCCTTCTTTGCCTTCTCGAGTGGAGCAAATGCTTGAAACAGATGCGCTCTCCGTTCCCTCGCCCTTTTCCTGATAACAGAGGCACTGGCGGCCGAATGCTTTTTGGTTTTGCCAATGCGAGCAGATCCCTTGACTCGATTCGTAGCAACGGATAAGTGGGTATTTCTGGCGGGCGTGCAGGCATTGGATTTAGATTTCGATTTATTATTCAAGCTCGACATATGGTTGAGAGGCGGTTGAACAGGGGTAATTGCTTGACATGAGTCCTGACCCCGTTCAAGTTGAGTAGCATGAAGACCATGTACGATATTAGGAGTAAACCATGTGCCCGATTCGATCGGATCATTAAAAATGCAAGATTTGGTACATCCTGCATCAGATCATCCGGATCATTTGAAGAAACGTTCGATGCACCCAAGAATCCAGGGATTGACAACCAAGAATCCGCATTCCGTGATAAGGCTGTCGGAAATGTCTGCTCCGCCGAAGGTAAAGTCATTGTGAAGGTAGTGCTTATCGAGTTTCAGTATGATAAGTGAGATTGAATGAATTAATCGGGGAATGAGTCAAACGGTGTACACACAAATGGTGATCAAGTTGGACAATAAATGGTATTATAATGGTGGTAACATCGAGGGCACACAGAAAATCGAGGGCATACAGAATAGCAAGGGCGCAAAAGCGCCCGGGCACAAGGGCGTGCATCATGACTGAGGACGACGAGGCGGACGAGGAGTATAAACCAATCAACTAGTAAGAATCTACAAAGGGAATGAATGGGTATTAACGGTGGCTTTCCTTTCGTGTGAGTACATTGATTAATCTACAATCCTCAGGATGATACCTAGTTGTGAAGTTTATGTCCATTTATGATGACTAATCTTTAGTGAGAGTGGTAGTTTGGTGGAACAAATTGGAAAATAAAGTTTAATGGTAGCGACTAGGTACATGCACGCAATAGCTGGAAGCACAAAAACATGAGCACGGAAGAGATTCTTAGGTATGGATATAACCCAATTCCTGATATTACCCGTGCAAAATTATGCTAAAAATAATGCGATGCTATGCTATAAAAAGAAAACAATGTCCAAAGACCACGATGCAGACGGGTATATGCTCAATGAAAATCCAACCTTGCGGTATACCTGTATCCAAACTCCAAGCAATGCAAAGTATGATATGCAATTTCTTCACGACACGACACAAATCAAAGTGCCCAGTGAACCTTCTTCTTCGGCTTCGGACTCTCTACAGCCTGACTGAGAACCATCGAGGGCATCTTTCCACCTTCCCTCGTTTCCTCTTCGTCCTCACCCTCCTCCTTTATAGACCTCAGGTCAGGACTAGGTTCGCGCCATGAGTGTGGTCTTCTTAAAGGCAAGCTTCGTGTCTGGCCTCGACCGCGGCCTTGTGGAGGTGTTGGCCGTGCCTTTGCTCGACCTCGGCTGGTTGTAAAATCAGAAATAGAGATTCCGAGTCCTTTGAGCTGTTGATCCATTCGGTGTGCAGCCCGTGATTCCCTTCCATTTCCATGCACTTTTGTAAAGTCTTTCAAGCTAAGAGGCATGGGAAATCCAAGCAAAATATCCTCCTCATCATCTAATGGCGCCCGCTGTAAGGACGACGGAGAAATTTCCCGGACTTCAGATTTTCCTTCATCATCGGACATGATACCGGCAGAGAAGTCATCGATATCGTCATCTGTGATCTCGTCTGGCGATGTGAGGAAATAGGAGAATGGGTCTTCATCGATCGCATCAATATCTGCGTTGTTTTCACGGAGATGAATAATGGTTGGAGGCCAGGAGTCCCGGCGCTGGAGCTCATTGAAAGGCATTGTGTGTAATTTGAGTGATAGACAGGAGATTAAAGCCTTCAATAGATCCGGCTCAAGGCCGGTCTGTGTACTTGTGGCGAATGCGGGGAACTTGGTGATCTGAACTCGAAAAGTGTTCGAATGTGGAGATTCCTGCGATTATAAAGGGCAGGAATGGGTACAGAAATCAAGGACGTATTCGGAAGGACATGTTCACTTTATAGTCAGTCATGCAGTAGAATCGCAAGAGGAACTAGTCATCCTTTTTCGTATTGCGCCTTGTTAGATAAGGGCATGTGGGAATATGTGAATCATCTTTTAGTGAGACATCACACCCACACCACGAAATTCTCCAAAATCATATAGGCAGTATTAAGAGTGTGAAGCGTGTGAAAACCTTGGAAATAACATTAAAAGGGTAATTAAGAATGCAAAGACGGAAAGAAAAGAATTCAAGTGTGACTCCTTAATGATTTAGTTTCGCGCAAAGGGCGTCTCGTTGGATGATGCTCGTGATTGTTTGGTCAATCAGAATTGTAAGCCTGTCACTTTGTCCGGTGACTAAAATCGGATTGTGAAGCCACAGGCACATTCATGGTTCAATCAAGAACTTTGAATGGTCAAAAAGAAGTAAAAGAATTACCCGGGTAATCCGCATTCTCGTTCTAATGCAGGTGTAAATGATCAAATATCGATCACCGTGGCATTAAGTATCCATAAAATCTGCACGCTGATGATTAGATTTTGAGAGGGCATTCGCATTCGTATTGTTTACGATGAAGTGGTTGGGTGATGAGGTGATGAGGTTGGGAAAGTTGCGATTTGCGAGTGCAGATACCAGTGTCAGTGCCCCTCTCGCACTAAACTCCATTTGATTTTTCGTCATGTGATGCTTTGTAGATTTTATATTCCTGCCCTCTTATTTGCCCATCCACACATTGTTGCATATCGCGTTTCTACAAATAAAGTGATTACGTATCCCGAGACTTGAGAATAGCCCCCTCATTGTCATCAAGATCGGATCATATGACCCGTAACTCAAATACCTTACTGTCTGACAAATAACCTACCTTCCTCTACCTTGGTACTTACCTATAGCTATCTACAGCTATAGCTATACTGAATTCCTCATATGCTTCTACGCACAGCGACGTGCAAAACTCCATCGGGTCATTTGATGCTGATGTGTTTTTAAGAACTATATCAACAGTTCTATCATGACATAAACTTGTTCCTGCAGCTTCAATTTTCCAATTTTTCTCATGTCTTTGGGATTACCCCTGGACTCTTGCACACGAACACATTCATCGTGGGTTGTAAGACGAAAAACACGATTACTCAATCGTCATATCACTAGGTTGAGCTTGATCAGACGTTGACAGCAAACCATTGTGGATTCAGTCATTGATTCCAAAAATACATTAACCTCTTACTCCACTCATCATAACGATATGACCCGTGAGGAGAGTTTATCTGATTTCGAAGGAGAAAGACTTGTCGTCTCCACTCCTTCCGATGATAAGAAGTCGATCTCGATTCCCATTCGAGTTCTTACTCACAACATTCGTTATGCAACGGAATCTCCATTCAAAGGAGAGGAACTTTGGTCGGTTCGATGTCCTCGATTGTGCTCCGAACTAGTGTTTAATTCCACTATCCCCGAGACTTTTATCTGTCTGCAAGAGGTTCTCCACTCTCAACTCATCGACATTCACAATGCCCTGAATGAAGGTCCTGGAAGTCAGTGGTCTCGTCTTGGAGTTGGGAGAGACGATGGCAAAGAGGCCGGAGAATATTCTCCCATCTTTTATCGTCCAGCGGTGTGGCATCTTGTTCTCTATAAAACATTCTGGCTCAGCGAGACTCCAGAGAAGCCTAGCTTTGGTTGGGATGCCGGTTCTATCAGATTACTGACTATAGGCATATTCATGCATCGCAAGACAAACGAGATTGTTATTATAATGAGTACTCACCTGGATAACGCTGGTTCTATTTCTCGACAAAAGAGTGCTGAAATTATTTTGGAGAAGGTCAATCATTACAAAAGTATTTATACTCCCGCTGCACTACTGCTTGCTGGGGATTTCAACAGTCCTCCAGACGATGGAGCCTACAAGACAATGACATCGTCAACTTCAGGTATGGCAGATGTTCGAGATCTTGTCCCTATGAAGAAACGGTACGGGAATGAAATGACGTTTACGTCGTTTGGATATGTGGACAACACACCAACTCGAATCGACTTTATTTTCTCTGCAAAAGATACGCCAGTCGAATACGGAACCTATGCGGTGTTGAGCAATCGTTATGATGATGGGGTATATCTTTCGGATCATAGAGCAGTCGTGGCTGATATTGAGGTATCTACGACTCAACCTGGGCAATGAAGTCGTAATAGCGATTCGACTACTTCTGTCATTGACTCACCATTTTCTGCAAGGTATTTGAGAAATCTGAAGGAATCGTCATCAAACCGAGTCATTCTCCAGGCACCCGAACACTTCAATGGTTCTGGTTGCCTATGATAGTATGTTTTATGTCCACCCCAGAAAATGATACTCTTATAGGAAAGGGGGAGATTACGAAAGGAACGGCTTTTTGATTGTTGAGCCTGAATTGATCTATGGGTGAAAGAGCGAAAAGGGGTGTTTATCCCATGTTCGATGATTCATGGTCTCATCATTGCTTCGTTCATGAATGTGCGATGTAAGAACAGCTATTTCGTTCCTATTTATTATACCAAATTGCCATCTTATTGATTCAAGACTTCCAACCAAATTAACTCATCAATATCTATGAGAGTACAACTTCTTCAGAAAGCTTCCCGATGCTCTCATTATACCCTTGCATTTGCGTGTTTATGTGAGATGAGGCGATTTATTTTTATCTCTATTCATATTTCCGTATATCCGGAGGTTATAAGCCACAGGGTATCCCCACCGTGATCTGACCGATCATCATTTGTCTCATTTACGAGCAACAATCAAGAATCGCGATAATGAGTCTGAAGATTAATGAACATTAGACATCAAACATCAAATGTACCCTAGCAACCATCAATAATTGTGCAATGAGGAATGCACGTGCTTGCGAAGCTTGCAGAGCAAGTAAAAATCGATGCTTCTTTGCCGATGACACTACAATATGCCAGAGGTAATCCCAATGTTTAATCTATTGTCCCCATAGGTTACAATTACTAATTACAGACAGATGCGACCAAGCCAAAAGTCGATGTGTCGTTCGAGAGAAAGCCAGACCAAGACGTGCTCGACGTACTGTACGTCCAGAGAGTAGTACAAAATTAGATGATACCGGAAGCCCATTATCATCCGCCCCCTCGCTTTCTGCTGATAACCCCTCGAAAGATGGGGTGTTTTCTCTTGATCTTCCCACAACAATATATCATGATTCAGCCAAAGACACTGAAATTCTTCAGAACCATCATAAACGGGTCTTCAAAGAAGATAAATCGCGATCGCCTAGCCCATTGAAGGGTACACTACCCGTACCATCCAAATACATCTCCGGTCGCAAACTCACATTATCCCAAGCGACACACCTCCTAGATTCCTATATTCCCAAACTTCCATTTTTCCCTTTCGTCACTCTCCCCGCAAACCCCACAATTCGGACCCTGTCCCAACAATCTCCTTTCCTGCTTTTGGCCATCCTCACCACCGCCGCTAGCCCACATCCATACCTCCACCATCAGCTAGACCAGGAGTTCCGTCGTGTGTTAAGTCTCAAATTAATCGTCGAGTCGCAAAAGTCCCTTGACTATCTTCTTGGTCTTCTAGTATATATAGCCTGGTATCCCGTGCATACCAAACCACAACACAATCCATGTCTTACTTACATGAACCTCGCCAATTCCTTGGCTTTAGACTTAGGACTCGATCAAGCAGAGCCTCAAACTGCTCTGTTTCGAGAATTTGATTTGAAGGGACTTGTGGATAGCGATGGCGCGTGGACGATGGAGGCTAGAAAAGCTTACATGGGATGTTATGTTTTGGGCTCTCAGTTAGTGACATCTCTTTGGATATAACTCTCTGTCTATATACTAACTTACAGTGAAAAGTCTTTCTAAGGGATTCAATAAACCACAAACCATGTCCTACGAGAATCTTCTTCCTAGTAATCCGAATACCTTTATTCCGTCACACATGACCACACCGGCAACAGCTATTGTGATACTTGAGCGTGTGGCTGATCGTATCAACGATGCATGGACCGCAAAGAACTATCCACAAATGGACGTCTTCAGCACCGACTTGTACGTCCAATTATTCACCTCTGAACTAGACACCTGGAAACGAAATGTACCAGAATCAATTACTTCTTCACGTGAGCTCCTTTCAACCTCCCGGAAATTAGATGTAAAGCAAAACACTAACAAACCCCAGCACTCCTCGCTCTATATTACAAACACACCCATTTCTCAATCTACGCCCACTCCCTCCGTCTTCTCCGTCGTCCCTACCGTCCCTTCGTCCCCGGAACCACAGAAGCCATTCCCTCCCCCGAACATCTCAACATCTGTCTCCGTCTCGGCGCATCCTACTTCCAACATCTTCTCTCACTCCCCACTTCAGACTACACCCATTTCAATCTGATTCACTGGTCACAACTCGTACACTCCCTCGTCGGACTCGTACGACTCACATTCGTGCTCGCACACGTGGAAAACTGGTCTGCGGAAACGACGCGCGAGAAAGTGGGGCTGAGTATGTATTTAGAAGCATTATGTTTTAGACTCAGTAGTCTTTCATCGAATTCACAAGTTTCTTCCGGTGCGGATATCGAATCTAGGGAAAGTGGGACGAGGGACGAGGGAAGTAGTAATGGAAAGAGAAAACACTATGATAAATATTTCGTGATGCATGGGATGTTGACTACGCTTAAGAAAACGTGGGAGCAGAGAGTAGAAACGATAGTTCCGAAAGCGACAGTGATTTCTAGGGGAAAATGTCCAATGTTTGATCCGGAGATGGCGCCGCTATTAGAGAACACAAATATGAATTTCGATTTTGGAGACATGGCGGCTTGGGATGATGGTTTTGGGGAGGGAATGGCGGAATGGGATGTGGATATGGGGGATATTGGGATGGGTACTTCTACCTGTACAGGTATTAAGACACCGGGAGATGGAGAGACGGGTTTAAAAACGATTAGTAGTCATGCTGGAACACCTGGGGTAATTGGAACTGGAATGTCAATGTCGGATGGAGGATTAGAGCAGCAGCGAGGTGCAGGCACACTGTATCATGATTTATGGGCAACAATGACATGTTCATGGTCCGAACAATCTCCTAGATGGCCGACACAGATGGTTCCTGAAAGCACTGGTACTAGTAGTAATGAGGCGATTTTCGGGTATCAAGTTAATGAAAGTTAGGGATGGTTTTAGCAAGAGGGACAAGCCAATAATGTCAGGGAAGTACAGAACCCTTTCAGGACTCTGAATATATGTTATTTCTTCTATAGTGTGTATCCTCTTATTCTCTATTTTTACAAAAAGTCAAGAGTACAATGGCAAATCTCAGACTAAAATTAAAAGAACAACCATACCCAATATCTACCCCCTCTCCCCTCATCTCAGGCTTTCAGATCATCAAATGAAGACGAGGTAAACCGTACCCTTGCCCAGAAATCATGAACAACCTTATCCTTCCTTACCATATTTCTCCCATTTCCCTGCAATTGTCCCCCTCTGCCACAAAAGAAGTAGAGTCCTGACTGTAAGTATCCGTCCATGAATTAAAACATCCCATCCCATCCCATACAAAATCAATCTCCATCTCCTTACCACAAAATCCATAGCTCGACCATCACCTCCTCCTTTTCCTCGACCATCACCTCCTCCTTTTCCTCCTCCCCAGCCGGATCATCACCACATCATCTTTTCACACCTCTCCCAGTTCTTAGAGAAATACAAATCTCAGTTTCTGAGCTTTTCAGTTTCTGAGCCAGCGGAGGGTGTAAAAGAGCCGGTGTCCAATTTCTTTTGAAATGCCAATGAAACATTCTAATCGCTATATACAACACATTTGACGCGAAGGCCATTCTCGGACACGCAGATTCGAGTTTATATGAATCGCAGCTATTCTAAAAGGGATATGGATTGGAATCTATTCTGATGATATGTTTCATGGAAGCGAAAGTCAGATTTTCAACATTAGATTTCACTTTTCACTTTTTGCTCTGGCAAAGTTCATTCGGCTGTAATACTAATAAACTAGCTTTGAATGAAGCCTCCACTACCGATATTAAATCATGACAATTGTTGACCATTTACATTTCATCGAATATCCATCAATTTTCCTTCGAATTCCTGTGTCTCTCTCTATCTCTCTTAAAAGATTCCTTTACTACACTTCTCTCCAACAAAGGGGTACTAGTCCCACCTTCTTCATCCTCCACCAATCTGAAATCCCATTTCGGTGGCGCTTCATTGATCCCCGGATATAAATCAACCGGCAAATAATCTCCTACATCAAATTTGAAATGATTCCTCTCCTTCACATCCGTTTCATATATCTTATTGATTTGCTCCATTGCCTTCTTGGCTATCGATCTCGCTTTCTCCTCAGCAACTGTACGGCGGTGAACTTCGAGTATGAGGCCGTCATAAGAGGAAAGATAGTTTTCATAGAAAAGTCGCATTCCCTCCAGTTCATTCATTTGTTCATTTATCTGCACCTTAGTATCTTCCCACCTAGCTCTGAAATCATGACCCGCGAGAATATATCTTGGGAGTCGCTGATATACACCCTCTAGAGTTTTGTATACGCTCGCAGTATGCTTGAATTGTTCAATGAGAAGTGAAACATAGTTAAGGATGGCATCATGTTTGGCCTCCATTTCATTTTGACGATCGTGAAGTTCCATAACCACATCTTCAACTTCTGCGGCATCTTTTTCGAGGATGGAAAACATTTCTTCGCGCTCATGTTCAGTGAGGGGTGCTTCGTTTATGTCATCGTGAGAGTTGGTCATCACACCAGAGACGGATACCGGTTCGGCGCCTGGTGGTGGATTGGAAGCCGCATTTCGGACAGCGGCATATCCTCCCTCTGTATGTCTGATTGCATTCAAGCATAGGTCGAAATGACTTGAAAGTGATGAGAGTAAGGAAGCCATTTCTTGCGCGTGCCCTTCAAGTGTATATAAGTGATTTGGTATTGGGGAACGAGACGAAGGCTTTCCTTTGCCATTCTTGAACCCCGATTTTAAGCTGCGTATATCGCTGTCAAAAGAAAGTATTGATGTACCGAACGCTGCTTCTGCTTCCTGAATCGAAAGTCAACAATGCAAACGCCCGGAAAGATTCAAAAGAAGTTCTGTTACCTTTGACTCATCGATCAACTCCTTTAGCCCATCTCGCATTTTCTCCACGCCTTGCTCATCAACAAAGTCCAATAAATTTCTAGGTTCCTCGCCCGCCGGTCGAAAAGCCGCATCCACCATTGTCGATCGTAGCTTATCCATCGTGGATACAAGACGAGCATCTGCGGCATCGAGATTTTGTAGGACATTCTGTGCATATTGTGATTAACCCTGCACATCACTGCTTTGGTTCGATGACTTACGCTGAAATCTTCCTGGCCATCACTATACACTAACTCTACAGTTTTCCTTACCTTCAACAAGGTTTTCATCTGCTCATTGATACCACTTTGTAAAAACCTGGTTTTAGCTTGCAATATGGCACTCTCCTCCAATGCATTCTTTGCCGAAGTGACGATTTCATTGGCACGCCATACTGTACTAATAGATGATAGAGAACGCTTGGAAGCAAGAAGATGCGATACTAAGGTTTCGAGAGGGATTTCCAACCCCTGATTTGAATGAGCGGGAGGTGGCGGATTTACAGTAGATATTGAGGTATGACTCTGACTTCCCGGTGCATTGGGTGAAGATGCCATAGTTAGGTTACAAACACACAGCGTTGTGGTAGATGTTAAATGTTGGTCGGCAGGATAAAGAGCAGCAATAGTAATATTTCACAATGGAAATTTGGACATCAATAAATGTTTCGACCTCGTGATAGCCAAGAATAATATATTATTTATTGATTCAATATGAATATCTATATCGTACGGCAGAGGTATATCAAAGGTGGTGGTTGGTAAATAGAATGTTATAATCTTGGAATGATAAACATCTTGAGGATATCAATTGATGATGCTGAATTGACTTGCAGCTCAGTGCAGTTCTCGGCAAGACCCGGCGCTAAAAGGAGCTATGATCCCTCACCACAACTGATCCTTCCCTGGGCCTTAAGCGACATTCATTCAGCTCAGCGCATAGTCAGATTTCATGAAATTCAATCAACTGAGATACCTTGGATTCGATGGCACAAACCTTAGGAGATAACACCTTAAGTGTCAAGCAATCGCTTTTTGCTTTCCAAGAGAGAAGAAGACCAGAACCGCTTCGTACTTAGTACTTACTTCTAGCCCAATTTCTTCACCTTATCATCCTTCAGGAACTTTCGCAATTGGTACTTCGTTTGTGTGTAACTCATTGAGAACTAATCCCATTGAACTCGCATGCATTTGGTATCAATTTCATACGAGTATCCCTCTCACGGGTCAAAAGAACAAGTTTGGAATATCAAAATTATCGGCAAGATTCCAGGCACGAGTCGAGGGGAAAGCATTCGAAGAGAAGTTCTATCGTAGGACAGACGAAGCATTATGGAATGGAAGACAAGAAGAAGCTAAGTTCGATAACCTTAAATTTCAGCCGACCGAAGTTTCAACTGCGTCAGTGAGGACGAATTTCGGGTTTGAAAACATTCTCCCTTGGAGCTCTCTACTTGATTCCGCATGCAAGCACCAGGTGGCCAAGCTTACCATGCCCAAGAGTACGAAACCAGTCCATATTGAACTGATGGTCAGGTTTCCACTGAGGACATACGTGATATCTAACACCTTTGATAAATCGCTATAGAAGCACGGCGGGGAGACTTGCAGCTTTAAATCAAGCATTAACACAATTTGCACAAAGGCTCGGGACGGGTTTTGAGTCAACCACCAATCACGTGGCTTGATCTACCTCCCTTGCATTTCAATCTTTGCCAAAAGAAAACACACGACGTTAGCACACCCTACCCAGATACTGGCAGAAATTATTGATGTTTCCGTATCTAGGCATTGTCGAGGCTGAATTATGCTTGATTATTCACCAAACTAACAAGGATCAAATCCGAAAAGGTCTCAGTACTGTCAAATACGGGCAAGTTCATCATGCAGGATCTTCACCAATCCAAAAACATGTTCTCAGCTGATTTATATATAGAACTTAAGGCTGGTTTTCTTCTTTCTAGAATCCATTATTCCATCCCTCGAAGAAATAGCAATGCGAAGATATACGAAGCAGGCATTCTATCTGGATATAGCCAGTCGTGATATATTCAATCCGGAGGCAGGAGTTACGGGACCAGGTATGCAAGCACAGAACGCATAAGTACGCACCACACAGGTAATACAACGAGCGGTCTTTAGAAAACGTGACAACCATAGAACCCGCGATCCTACGTACCCAGACAAGATGAGCAAGGTAAATTCAGAAACTTCAATTCGGGGAACGTCAAACGAAGAATGTGATTTGTTCCTTTCCAATTATTACGAGCCCACTACATCGGCCCTGGAAATCCCCTACGCCGAGGATCTTCCCTTCGGCTTCAACCTGGAGGTCGATCCCGCTTCAATATCCTTGAAGTCTCGCTCGTGTGGTTCCGGCAAGCCACAACTCCTTTATGTCGGCAGTGGCCCGAAGTCGAAATAACTCCATCTTCCAGAAAAAAAATGGTCTCACAAAGATGATTTCTTTTTTTCCTTCGGGATATCGGTTATTCATATCCGATGTTTCTACAGACAGATAGGTTTGTAGCTAGTATATTGGATGTCAATCCTAATTCAAATGTAAAGTCTCACTATCATACCTTCGCGATATCGTTTGGCGAAGAGTACTCGTAGGGATCGCAGGGCCCAGCCGCTAAATTGGTGGTTAAATCCACTGAACCACCAATTGTCATTGATGTATATCTCGATAGCTCTAGTTAGTCTGACTCGGAGAGTTACTGGTACGAGCAGTTGGGTGCATAGTTTTGGAAGATATTTCTTATTTCTCTCTAATTTCCGACATATATTCCGGGATCGATGTACTTTCACGTGTTCTGGCTGCCTTTGCAAATAAACACAGTCAGATCCTTAAGTGTGGTTTCTGAGCTCCTCAGTGAACGCCGCACGATCTCAAGACCATGACGGAAAAGTGATCAAGCTCTACTTTCAAAATTTGCAATGCTTTATTACAAGCCTGGTTATTCGTTCTACGGAACTCTAGGGCTTGAACTTCGATTTCTTCTGCAGGCACCACGATCAATCATCAAAGCTTATCAATATCTGCCGAGCATCTAGCATCATTCTGGGGTAAGGATTTAAATTTCTACTAGATACTGGTATTGCCAAGCATTCTTGGTAACCTTTGACAGACGACATGACAGCCAAAGGTGTAAGTCTCAAGCCAATGATTGACATGTTTGAATCCACAAAAATGTAAAGACATGGGTTCGCATGACCCATGAGCATCAAACAGACTTGCTCCATCAATTCGATCGTCAGTAACGACTTTTAGTGCTCTCACTTCCCCTGGTAATCTTGATATACATGCGATCCGCAGGGGAATGAATCGGTGAAGCACGAAACTGATGCCGTAAGTCTGTTCGAAAAGGCTCGATGACCATTATACTGTGCACTTATTGGCATGAAGACTCAGAACTTTGATCTTCTCCCGTGTAGACTATTCGCACGGCATAATACCGAAGCAATTTACGATGTGAATTATATGTGGAACTCAGGACTGATACTCTCACCTCAACCTCAGACATGCTTGATGTGCCGTCAATCTTTATAATTACAATTTCAGTCAGGTTTGGATGATTTTATGCCATGTCTACCTGGAGATCAATGCATACAATCGAGCATCCTGCAAGCCTATCTGATCCATCCAGGCATTGTATGAATTCAATCCCGCAAGATGCAAGTGTTGCTGATCAGCCTGATAGCCTTTCAATACTTTACTAGCTTTTTTGAATCTTTACTCGACTGAGTTGCGAAGTACTTCTATATAAATCAAGACCTCCTGTACACATCCATCTCATTCTACATCAACATTCACATCAGCATCAGATCATAGCCATCGAAGGTTCACTCTTTAATACCTTTGGTCTTGATTCTTACATTCCTTCAACATGCGGGGTCTAGCTTCTCTCGCCACTCTCCTTTTTGGGTCACTCGTTTCTGCTCAAAATAATTATTCGAACTTGCCTATAAATTTTCTGAAAACCAGCAATCCTGTCACTCCCCTTCCCCAAGGATTTCCATGGGGTAACAGGACTGCCAACAATTCCAATCCTTATAGTAGGTTGATTACCGGCCCAAATTAACAGAATTATGACTGACCATTTATCTTACAACAGCTGATGCACCACACACCGGTGTGATTAGAAGATATGATTTCACGGTTCAAAGAGGCCAAGCATCGCCAGATGGTTATCAAAGAGATGTGATACTAGTAAACGGCGTCTTCCCCGGTCCTCTTATCGAGGCCAATTGGGGAGATACGATTGAAGTCACTGTTCACAATGAGATCAGAGGCCCTGAAGAAGGTACAGCACTTCATTGGCATGGACTTCTGCAAAAGGAAAGTCAATGGTTTGACGGTGTTCCCGGAGTTCAACAATGTCCGATCCCGCCTGGAGGAACTTTCACATATTCGTTCCTGGCCGATCTCTACGGGTCAAGTTGGTGGCATTCTCATTACTCTGCCCAGTACAATGCTGGTATATTTGGTCCTATGATCATTCATGGTCCTCCAACTGTTCCATATGATTATGGTAAGTGAACTTCCCGAAGATTGACCGAATTGTGCTAATTTTGACAAGATTTGGGACCAATACTCTTGAACGATTGGTATCACCCAGATTACTATTCATTAGTTGAGGATTCTATGTCGACCGACCTCAACAGAGTTGTAAGTAGTTTTCAAATTCCCAATTGCAAGAACATCCGCTAACAACCATCAGCTTATAAGCTCCGATAGCAATCTTATCCAAGGTAAAGGATTCTTCGATTGCTCTACAAAAGCTGCCGGTGATAACGCTACCTGCAATGTTGAGAACTACATGCCATCTACTTTCAAGCTTACAGCTGGATCAAAGCACAGACTTAGGCTCATCAACGCCGGAACTGAAGGAATGCAGAAGTTCGCAATCGATGGACACAACATGACTGTCATTGCCAATGATTTCGTCCCTATCATCCCATACACAACTCAAGTCGTAACTTTGGGAGTTGGCCAGCGTACCGATGTCATCGTCGAAGGTATCCCAACTGAAACGACAGGATCATACTGGATGCGATCAACAATTGCTGGATGTTCACTTTTCAAGAACCCTGAAGCCAAGGCACTCGTTTATTATGGTCTTGAACCAAATGTAAACTCTACCACTACTGCCTCCACCATATTCAATGACTCTGTCGCCAACGTCTGTGCAAATGACCCTCTTAGCGAAACGACTCCTTGGTACCCGATTACACCTGATCCAAACCCGCCCACAACGGAACAAATCGATATTGGATTCGGACAAAACGCTTCTGGAAACTGGCTATGGTCGATGAACAATTCCTCCTTCCGTGCAAACTATAACGAGCCAATCCTTCTCCTATCTAATCAGGGTAACAACTCATACCCAGATAGTCCCGAATGGAACGTCTACAACTTCGGTGATAACAGTTCCATCCGTATCTACATTACCAACCCCTCCACAGTTTCTCACCCCATGCATCTTCACGGCCACAACATGTTCGTTTTGAATGAAGGAGTCGGACTTTGGGACGGACGAACAGTTGTTCGACCATCCAACCCGCAGCGTCGTGATGTACAAACCCTTCAAGCCGGTGGCTACATGGTACTACAAATCACGGCTGACAATCCAGGTGTTTGGCCTTTGCATTGCCACATTGCATTCCATGTCGGCAGTGGATTGTATGTGAGTGTCTTGGAAAGACCAGCAGATATTGCGAAATTAAGAATTCCAAGTATTATGGCCCAGACTTGCAGAGATTGGGCGGCGTTCACAAATACGACAGTGGTGGATCAGATTGATTCAGGATTGTAGCTTGAGAATCTAAATGAGTTGCTCCATTTGATCTATGGCTTAATCGACTTAATATCTTCTCGCTCGTTGATGAACTTGTTCTCATTCATTCGTTCGTTTCGAGTTGAGATTTTAATAATTTGCTTCGGGATGGCATCACTTTCCTTAAGTCGGAATTAATAGAATAATGATAATTGTGGCGACAGGTGTATGCATGATAAACGTCACAGTTTGTTTTGAGCATTAAAAGCCTTTCATCCGGGTGTTCGTTTGTCTTGGGGGCATACTGTGGGCTGTGGCTTAGAGAGGAACTGGGTTTTTTAGGGAGGTTTCGGATATATATGAATAACTAATGCAATATGATTTTCTTTCGTTTCAAATCTTTGTCTGTACCATGCCTGTTCATAGTTTGTAAGTGTTTGATTGTAGCAAGTTGCACTGTGAGGTTATTACGCATTATTTCTGGTATGATCATGGAGGGTTTTCTTCATTTTAGTGAAGGAGATTGTTTGTAGTCTTACACATCTCTGGCTCAGTGTTCTTACAATTTTGAGACAATTGATTTGTTAGTTCGCAGTATAAATTCAAGTAACAACTCTGAAAGGCATAGTCTTTATTCGGTGAACATTTAGACACTACACTACATTGCGTTGTCAAATAACATGATGGAAAGCTGTTGAATCAATAACAACTTCTAATCATGACATTGCTCATGCATAATCAGACCATCACGAAACCATATCACCATATCAAGGTAGATCTGAATTTCCATTCGGTCTATAACCTACTAAGCTCTTACCGCTTAGGTCGGTGGCTACATCATCAAGACAAAATGATTTGGATTACAGAATCAGAGATCAAATCAATTTACTTTTCTACTTTACATGACCAAACTTTTTGGAATATACCGTGCAAGGGTTAAGTAAATCCCCGTTCCAACATACTCCTATCTCAACTGTTTTTTTCTCTACACTCCTGTATCATAAATAATGTTTGCTTTTGAAATCAGACCCAATATTTTCGGGGTTGTAGCCCATAACTCAAATTCCAATCGTGCCTATTTGGTGTAGAACTACTAGGCACTGTCCGAATCAGCATATACAGAGATCCTCCACAATATCAACGCCCGAAACGAATGTTGTGATGCGTGTCTGTTGAACGGATAAAATCTTATTGATCGCGTGGTGCATATCCTATTGCATAACTTGTGGACGAAAAGCAGTTGTTTCAGTGGTGAAAGATCGGCTCAGTATGTCTTGTTCGATAACCGACGTAGTAACAAGCATCCTGGACTCGAACGAATGTTCCAATTATACCGTTACAGTTTCAGTTACAGTCGAAGTTGTGTATTTTGGGGTGACAGTCTTTTTAACTGTTTGTTGTGCACCCGTAACTGTCGAGATTGAGACTCGTGTGATCTCGTATACACAGTATACTACGTAGGGATACATGGGCTTTGGAGTTAGAGATCGGAAATTGAACCTGTTAGGCACAACTCGTGGAAGAGAGATCCCGCGTGAAGCATCATCAGGGAGACTTCGAGCTTTCTTCGAGGCTTCTTCGACACCAATCACCACAGGATCTGTGGCCCTAGCTACTAATTCTGGAGGGACCGTTGTTGTTGTAGTGGTGAATATTGTTGATTTGGCAGGAAGGGTGACAGTAATCGTTGTTGGAGGAGGTCTAGTGAAAGTATTGGAAGCGTAGAAATAGTCGCCTCTGCGTGTTGTGATGGTTTTGACTACGGCAACAGATTTGGTAGAGGATTGGGTTGTACATGATGAAAGTATAGAAGTACTGGTAGCAGCAATAGCTACCTGAATACTAGCGAAGAGACATAGAATTACTGCGTTGAAAAGCTTCATAGTGTGTGTAATATCCTAGTAGATATTTCCTGTAACAGCCCATCATCCCTTGGTGATTTTACACTCGTTTTATAATTGCTGACTTTGTTTTCTTGAAAGAAACTCACCCCTTTCTGTTTTGCTCTCAAAGCTCCGTGAAGATCGTAAGGACCATCATCTTCTTTTGATTACTAGCTATGTAATATCCCGCAAAAACGTGCAATACCTTCTAGACCGAACGTCAGCCAATTAGCTCTTATAAACTGTTCCGTGAAGTCACACCTTGGGAATAATGGCTGCAGAATATTTGTACTAGAAAAAGGAGACGACATCTAGACTTCTTTATTCTAAAGTCAGCAAACATTTTTCAATCATAACACCATCGGACGTTGGCATTCCTGAATTATTTCATACTCTCGTAAGCTGACCATCTAGAGGAGGATGGTTCTTTGCCAAGCTCGGAAGGCTCATGTTCCGCAGATCAACAAAGAGTTCCATCATGATCTAGATCTCAATCGAAGACGAGTGAACTTCAATAGAAGTTCGGTAATTTTCTTTCAATGGAAGTCGTTCAAAGGAGACTAAGCGCGGGACTTCTCCTCCTCTTGAAATTTTTCCAATCAGGAACGACAAAGGCACCGCAGTGAGACTTAGATGTAGGGCTGAACAAACATCGTTTGTTCGATTTTGACGACGTTCGCTGCGGAGTGCCTTCCATGGGTTAAATTTGATTCGTAAATTGCGTGCGTTATCGGTTGAGATGATAAAATCAAGTGTTGGTTTTTCTGATTTGTGGACTTATCTATTAAGATCTTTGTTACAGAAAAAAGGTGTTCTCGAGACGAATTCCAGTAAAAACTTGTTAATCTGGTCATATCACGTGATTACATCTTTCGGAAATTTCCTCTCCTTTTCTTTTTGTTTCAGTCCGTCTCGCGCCCAATTCATCACTTGTTGTAATTCTATAAGGACGTGGATCAAAACAGACAATGAATCCACACCATTATATTGAAGTTTTACGTCTATCGTCGTTGGTAGGATAGAGACGTATTCTGACAAGGTGATGAGATTTTCACAAATTCATGTCGTGCAATCGCCTTTCTCTCTTCTCTTTGCTTTCATCCGATTCCTATACATCAGTGCATATTATTTAATGATTGCTGATCTGACTGTTGACCTTATTGGCTCTATCGGTCGAATCTGTCTTATCATTCGGCACTGGTTTGACGATTGAATCAATTGTGCAACCATGGAAGGTGGTTTCACGACCTCCAAACACTTCATCGCTATGCAATCAGCATCAAATTTACCGGTGGGGTAGTGCTTCGTCAAATGCAAGAAGACTTGTGATCTTTCAGAGCTACAGGCCATCATAAAGTCAGTGATGATACGGTTGAAGTCCTTGAACGTTTTCCTCTAAATTTTCATCCTTCATAAAGATTTTAAAGTCCTTTAGCTTGGGAGGAGTGAAAACCTTTTGCAATTTCCAGAATTGCAAGTTGATTTTGTTTTTTTAGATCACATTCGTCCAGTGCGACTTCCCAGATTTCTACTTGTATTTCAAAAAATCATTCTCAAACAGTTTATCACAGATCCGAAACTAAGTTTCGCTATGGCAATCGAGTGACAAACTCTTATGCTGTTGATTCAATGCTGACTATTAGGAAATTGCGGATTTTCCTTCCAGTGGTTGTTCATTGTTGCTATAGTGAATAGTTTCTGGCTTATGGCAACGTAAACTCTCTGGTTCAATTGCGATGTGAACAGCTAACTTTGCAGGAAAGGGAGACGTCTTGGTGTTTGGCGAGCTGCCGCGGATATTTCAGAGGCAATGAGACAGAAACCTGGACCAAATATACGGAAGTACGCCATGCAATAAAATTTTACGCAAGGCTAGATGAGATTGGCGGTCTTGAACACATAGGCTAACCTGGAATCCCCAGATTCATCTACAAAGGTAAAATTGTCTTGGGATGCGCAATATGGTAGAGGGTCATAGCCGAGCAAGTTTTCAATTTTAGGGTTCAATATGACAACATTATGTTGTTTGACTTTCTGCACCTTCCATAAAAGTTCTGGATTCAGGAAGGCACCTTCATTTTGATACGGGTTGCCTCACAAGAAGCACACTCGGTAGAGAATTAAAGGCAAGAGTAGGGGAATAATCTTCCTTGCTTTTATTTTCTTGTGACAATTTAGAAGGTGTTTACACCTTAAAGAAAACAATACGTTTCATTCATACATCAGTGCTTTCGAAATTCACCAGTCTCTCTGTATTCATAGGACGCTTATTCTCTATAATTTTGAAGTTTTACATATTGATTCTACACATCAAATTTTGCCTGGAGGCCTAGAAGAAGAACATTCTCAACGCAAAGTCCTCTCCGCAAGTAGAACTCGCATACGAATATATTTTGCCGAAATCGCGGTTTTCACTCCAGCAGATTCTAGGAAATTTTGGTAACTACTATTCGATCTAGCTTCCTCGAGTGTCATCAATTCTCGCGCAAATTCGAGGTTCGTTGAAGATTTTCAGGTAACCATAAAAGGCCTCGAAGATTTGAACAATAAACAAGGTGGTTTCGAGATCTTCATTGTTGTTTTGTAGCAACGTGAAGTATTTTGTAGACCTGGAATCGGTTGATTCAGAGGACTCGATGAGTTTCACTCGCACAGAACACGTTCCCCTCTTGCCGCAATCTGACCATGGAACTTTACCGATCGAATCGCAAACAGCGCTTCGTAGAGTAACGGAGAGACGAGTTAGTGATAATCAGAGCTACAGAAAACCTGATTCAAAGCTAAAAGAGGTAATCTTCCAACAGCTCAGTAGACTAGGTTGATAGAATTCGGATCTCCAAAGACTAATCTGTGTCAATTTGTAGGTACACAATGGAAGCTGGCACAATCTCGGAGTACCAACACAATACTCCGGCTTTTTAAAGAGGCCTACAACTCGTACGTATTACTCTCCAAATCCATCTTACATACAAGCCCTAATCTGAGGACCATAGCCAAACATGATCAAAGGTACTAAGTCATAATTCTAGCGAGTGCTCTTGTTAACGTTCCGTTAGTCTCTCAATCATTCAAGACCTGCCCATGAAGTCGGTACAATTTCAAGGATTGGATGGCACAGAGTTGGTGCCAAAGGAGAATCAAGAACAAGAATTTCGTGTCCGTAGATCCCAATGGTTGAAAAGACGATTGAGGTCTAAGAGAAGAAAGTTGTACAAGTGGTCATTTTCTAACAAGAGCATGAAATATAAAAAAGAAGCAAGAAAGTTATATCTTAAGGGCATTGCGAGGAAATTTAATCCTGCTTCTCGACCTGCGTGCCACAATGCCAAGATACGTCCTCACCGTTGTAAGCCTATTGCTCATCAAGCTTATCTGCAACTTGATGTCTAACACTCAGGTAGATCTTCAACCTTTTACAAGCTCAAGCTCGGACATGGGAAATGACAACAATTGGTCTCAAATTTTGGATGTATGTACTTCTGAAAAAGCCATATTTTAACTGACTGACCTGGAACAGGTATATATCTCGCAAAGATGTCATAGTAAAAATGACAATCTCAGTGATACTACCGAATTCACCAAGTGCTGGCCCCCACCTCCTTCTTATGCGAATATAACAGTGGATTTTCACACACCGTTAATCTCTGATCCGAATTCAGACAATAACCACAATATCGACACTGAAAGTGACACTGAAAGTGAAAACTCTTCTTCTTTTACAGTATTTGAGATAAGAAATTCTGTACCGGACGAAGAAGTCAGACATCCTGGGAGCTACGATCTTCCAAAGATGCCGGGTACCTATCCAAGATCTCCTCCGGAATATCGGCCAGGTAGTGAATCTATGTTCTTTTCGTCAGAATTGGGAGTGGCTCAATCACCTCCACAAAGCCAACTCTTCAAAAACGTATATTCTATGGATGTACCAAAGTTCCCACCAAATAATGATGTAAAGATGGATGACGCGGGTGGTGCACAGTCCGAGAAAGAGTTTTCTCCACCAAGACGCCCCAAGTACGTTTATAAACCTAGGGACTATTCGTTGCGACCTCGAGAGCCCTGGGAATTTCCAGATCCTTTTCCTCTGATGCCATCACAAGGAGTCACTGCAGCTAATCGGCCTGACTCATCACAGCGCATATTCTCTACAGCCAGAGTTCAAAACGACACCGCAGACGATTTTATAGCCAGGAGACGTCGACGCAGGCATATAATCGATGAAGAAGACTATTCAGATGAGGATTGGGACGCTCAAGGGGAACCTAGAAAGATTCTCCGTCTGCATTACCAGGAAGTGAAAAACAATGGCAATGAGTGGGAGCCGTTGACCGATGAAAAGGCCAGAGAATTAATGTCGAGAGGAAGAGTCGATAAATATGATAATGTAAAGCTGTCAGACACGACGGGAACTGAACTGTGTAAGCGAAGAGAGCTTGAAACGTATCAGCGAAGAAAGCTTGAAAATGAATCACGGGAAAATTCTCCTTCATCTTCCTCAAAGCCATGTTCAAAGCCTCACAATAATTCCAGGGCTAATCAAGGCATCGAATCGAACACAGTGGCCGTAGGTCTATCTCCAACTCCAAGACCAGAACGAAGCCGAGGACCGCGGGTGCGTGTTAACGGAAAATTAATTAGCCACGAGGAAAAGGAGAAGAGAGAAAAAGCCAGTCGTAGTCTGGTTGTCGAATTGCGTCAGTTACAGCTTGCGTCGATGGCTATCATGGAATTTCTCGGGCAGAATAGATCGAGTGATGGTGACGAAACTGTGAGAAAGCAAAAGAAGAGAGAATTACAAGACATTCGGGATAAAGCAGTTTCCATGGAAATTCCGGCAACTGAAGATGATCGACAGAGGGCGGCCCGAATCATTTTTGATATAATAGACACTAACATGCGACCTGTCGCAAATGGAATTGGGCCTGATGATGTGATGAATTCTTCGCGCTGGTTCTCTCATGACAGATTTATGAATTATAGTCGATTAATATCAGCTATAGAAATGGAGTCAGACCAGCTAGAAGATCAAATGTGTATGCTCCCCGAAGGCTCCGAGGAGTACAAAAATCTAGAAAGTCGATTTGATTTTCTGGAAACAGAACATGAAAATTTGGAAAAGAGGGAGGATTTCTACGCTGATGAGACACACGACGACAAGCAATGGTGTAAAGATTATGAAAATCATAATCCGCCCTTGATAACTGGAGACCCACGTCTTAACGCCGAATATGGTGCAGCGATAGGGAAATGGAACTCACAAGCCTCACCGCAAACACTAAAAGAAGAGGAAGATGATCTTCAAAAGGCGATAAGAATGTCATTGGGTGAGATTGAATCGGTCGAGCCGGTGGGAGAAGATACCAAGGGTAAAAATAAACAAGTCAAGCCGCAACTTGTTCTGACTATGCCCAAAGATAATGAGGGTCTGGCTGCACAAAGGCGCACGCCAATCCGCCAAAGTACCAATCTTGCAGAGGTTATGTCATCCGAAGCGCATTGGAAAGATAGTACATCACTCGCGCAGTTTCAAGATGACTCAATGAATGAGACTGCAGCGTTTGAGAAGGCCAAGGCTATATCGCGTGCACAGTATCGAAATGAGAGTCCACCACTCGACGACGATGACTATTAGTGTAGCTGAGACGATATAGGCGGAAGAGAAAGAGCTGAGAGTAAAAAGAGGCGAAAATACAGGTAATAAAGGACTTGAACTTAGTCTCATACGATGATAATAAGGAGGGTACTGCCTGGCATGTGCTCAGGAACATTGATATTTGACTCTACAGTGTTAATTTTGGCAGAACCTAATAGCTGCCCCATGGTTTGCATGGTTACTCAATTGATGACAAACAAGAGTTTTCATGAAAAGAAATTTTAACAACAAAAATGAAGTTATCATGGCAAAGAATGAACGTGATTGCTTGCTGTCAGTTATTTGTTCTACATCCCGACGTCGTGGAAGCGAAACGGGACGGGCAGTCGCAAGGGGCTGCGGATAGTTATGCCATGCAGTGCATAGATAGCGTAGAAATGTATGCAATTCGTTTGGTAAAACATGCACAAGGGTATCGGTACACATTTTATTTACGTGAGAATAGGTGTTCCCGAAAATTTGGCTCCGCCGGCGCCGGAGCCGAGACTATTCGGACCCGGTGACTTGGAACGGCTTGGAGGTTAACCTAGTGGTGGTGTGCAGAACGGAATGCTTGTTTGCCATGTGCGCGAAGGGATTGGGGATGGAATGACAGGGCTAGATAGAACGTGATTTGGAAGATGGGATGGGATTTGTTTACTGATCAATTTGATTTGTTGCATGTCGGTGAGTTAAAGTTTTTTTCCTACATTTCTGGGCAAGAAGCTTCTAGCGATTGAGGTCTAGCGGCTATGCTTCTTTTAACATGTATTCAGCTCATGTTCTAAGTAGGTTCTGTAAGGCTGAGAAATGGGATATGAATGCATGTTTATAAAGTTTAACGTCGTGTCGGTCAGGTGCAGAACTTTGATATTGTAGCACGGTCACGTTCCAGGAATTGTAGTTAAACTTTAACACTTCCTCATTTTGTCTCCAGTTAAACCCCATCTTCGGGAAAAGCTGGACGAGAGCGTCAGGACAAAGACCACGAGAGTGCCTGTGTTCGACAGTGGCATGGCATTATTTAAGTACTAAAACTCAAAAACATTCGATACATACCCCATTCTTGCCTTGAAGACGTGGGAGCGGAACCTTGATTGGCCGGAAAGCATTCCTTCTATTAGAAGTGGTAGGTGTGTGGTATGATTGGAGTTTGTAGGAGAATGGGGTATTGAGGCAGCAAACGAAGGGACAAGAGGTATATAAACTTGGGGGTCCTTCCTCATAAGCATTTGATGGATTGATAAGTTTTTATTTAGATTGTAATTCCCTGCGGACTGTCAGCAATTGGCATTTTTATTCTGGAATTTGTTTTCGTCACAATGTATATTTTTGGCACAGCGTTTTAGCGCTCGACTCGTCATGCTAATTTATGGTAGCAAAAGAGGAAGGTCGATGCCCCCAAACTCAATCGATCCATTTTGCATCGCCGGTAACAATTGCCACGCGATTCCTCCTTTAAAATCTTACCTGGAAGCAATTTGGAAGCAATTTATGGTCAGACAGCAAGGGGTTTATTACGGCAGATCATTAAGGCAAACGGCATTGGCGTCCCGACGTAGTGTCGACTTCAAATCGGGAATCATACGACATGAAGGCGCTTAGAGTTCAGGACGTAGACTATGCCCATCTAGTATGATATGCTATGGAGAAGCTCAACATCAAGTACACTTGGCGATTGTACGTTAATTATTTCCAGTTATTCCCATGGTCGGTACCAGATCGACTAAATAGCCTAGAGGAATCGAATCTTATCGGCTAAAAATCGTGCTTTGGTCCAGAAAAGGAGGTAATGTCAAAGATATCTAAAGATCAGGGCTGGACGTTCAGTGAAGTTGAAAGGCAGCCTCGAGACAGCTCGAGGCAGTCAACATCAATCATTACGCCCCACCGGAATAACATCGGAGGTTTGACAAGCTCACAAATTGCTGAGACAGTGCTAAGATAAGTCGAATCAGGTATCAGCGCTTCGTTCATATATTCCTGTCAATTAGCATGTACCATTAAGGTTCTCAAAGGCCCAGGTATCGATCCTTCCGTCTATGGCTGTGGTAATACCATGGAAATGGATCTCGTCTTCCGCACGTGGCGTTTTCATGGCTGGTGGGCTAAAGATGCGTATCCGTTGGGAAATTATTGACCTGGGGTCTTACTGGCGCTACATGGAACAGGGCTTCGAAATAAAAAGCACTGTGCAAAAACGACAAGCGCGTAAAATCAAAGACGTTTGCGTGAAACAGAAATGAAGGATTCAGGATGAGGATTACGACTTACAAGTTCGAGATGTTCAAAAGGATTGATGTGCAAAGAAGCAGCGTTTACACATGGCAGACATGGTCATTGCATGGTGATATCACATCTTATCACACACATGCATTCTAGGTGTTATTATGACCTCAAACGACGGTGAGCATTAGCTTCCACCCTGATCCTTATGACGATATCACGGAATAATATCAAAGGAAGGAAAAGGACGGGACATACGTTCATGTGACCGGTTCAAAATCCACGCTACTGTACGCTATTAGTAGTCTTGGGGGTGGACTTTCTCACATCGAAGAAAGTGGACATCGTCGGATATGACTCCCATTCCGGGCTATTATTTACCGAAGTCCTTATATCTTTCGCTGGGATATCGCCATAAATCACCAAAAGCCAAGCCCATGGAGATTGGAATTGTGAAGATCTTCCACTGCTTGGGATTGTACGTACAGAGAGTCGATCTCTATTATAACTTATGGACCCCAACGAAAGTTCCCATATTTTCCAGTCCTCCAGCCTCACGAGCCTCAAGGCAGCTGTTTTATGATATTTAGGGTGAAAGCTAAACTGCATTGGCAAGTCGTGCAGTCGGTTAGATACCCAGTTCCAGCCAGCCCTTGACTCTGTGGTTCCAGAGCTACAATAAGCGATGTCGTTAGCATCGCCAACGGCGGCACTTGATGGCCGCCGTATTTTCTCTATCAAGCTAAGTGAGTAAAACTTATGGGGATTGATTTTGATTGATTGGCGTGAATCACCGAAACGCTGTGAGGGATTTGAGTAGCGTGGAAATGTTTACATGGTGACAAGTGGTCAGGTATCTGCGATAAGAATTTTTGAGTTCATGCCCTAACTGCTTAGTAAATTCATCAACAGAGAAAATGTCGATAAGGAAGGCAATTGGCAAATACCTAGGTTAAAAAAAACCAATCCAGAAAATTAATGGATGCAGCGGCGAGCGATAAATATATACAAACATGGGTTTGCGTGGAGGGGTAACCTGGCGCCCTTTGATTTGAGAATGATTGATGGGAATTGTGGGGATGCTTGTGTACCATGTGCTTGGGGAACCAATTGTAACATCAAATAGAAAACGTTTAACAAACGTGATTGGTGGTATCGGCAAGGGAACGGCTGAGAACTACGAGGGTACTTTGTACGCATGATGCACCGGCGCCGATTCCTGATAGGTGATGGGTGTTAACGGAACAGACAACCGCACTTGCATTTGTAGAACCCGTGGTTGGAGAATCAGATAGAATAAGCATGGTTAATGCCCGAGTAATTTTTGTGCGGTATCGTCGCTATGGAAATGTTGTGTATGGGGAATGAAGCCGAATGAGGTTCGAATTTCTATTCTCGTCGTGGCTAAATGCCTATCACACAAGACATGAAGTACCAAAGGATTTGTGAGCGGATATCCTACTCAACAAGGTAGCTTCACCCATTGACAGGTCGGGGTTTGGTATGTCAATTCGTCGCAATTCGCAATTGACTAGTCTGACCTAACACCCTGTCAGTAGTGGCAGTGGAAATCTTGAATAAACTAGTTGTGGAGAGCCCTGGAGGAACCATGTATTATCATGTACGTATGTGCACCATGCCCGGTAACCGGTGTTTGAGTGGGTAAAACTTGAGAGTGTTAAATAAATGGAAATTGAGCCAGTGGTTAGATAGGATGATTGTCAGTGGAGTGAAAATTATTCCGTGACTAGATATATACCTTAGTGCTGGACCCCTCTTTTCCCCGTTCTTCGATATTTATTATATAGTCTGAACTCAATTACCAGTATTGGAATCAGGACAGCAGTCAAAGCTTGAACTTTACTCTTATCATATCACTATCGTCGACATCAACATGTCTTCACTCACAAATTCGTCAACCTCTCGCACATCTTCAATAAGTTCAACATCGAGTTCGAAAAGTTTGAATGACAGTACAAATGCAGGTATCGGGAAGAAGAAGTTTTGCTGTAGTTTCGCGGGGTGCGGAAAATCATTTTCAAGGAGTGAACATTTGCACCGTCATGCGTTAAATCACAAGGATGGAAATCATACCTGTTTGCGATGCCGTGCACATTTTCGACGTCGAGATCTTCTTGGTAGGTGACACTATTTAGCCCCCTCCCCAAATCTCATTCTAACATGTCATATAGACAGACATATGAATCGTCACAAAGAGAAGGATGATGAAGCTGGTGGCGAGGGACTAGGTGTATTGGCTACCAGAAAAAGACTTTGGAGAGACGCAGACGGAAACATTGTTGCTACAAGAAGACCATCATATGTGCAAGAAGGCACCAAACGCAGACAGACAACCACGAGAGCAGACAGAAAGATGAAAGTCAGCATTCAGTCAGATTCTCAAGACCAAGTCGGCAGTCATCAATTACTTTCTCCACCAATGAACACACCCACTATCCGATCAAGGTCGCCATCTGCAATTGTGGTGGATAACGGAAGATCATATCCGGAAGCTGAAGGCCACCAGAGATTCGAATCACATCACGCTGTTCCATGGAATGGTATGACTGCATCAATACCATCACCGCCAACCTCAGAATCTAGCATTCACTCAGCGGGTCAATCTCCAGCGCCTGAACTCGGTGATCTTGATGGGCTCTACGAAGAAACCACATGGCCTGCAATTCCAAATGGTCTACCTCAAGCTCCTTCTCTCAATCGCCAACTTCCCGAGCCTACCGAATACACCATGGGACCTTCACATCATTGGGGTTCGCAACCCTTCCAAACATTCATGGGGGCAATGCCGGAGGTTCCTGGGAGCTACGATGATATCTTCAAGCCAGATCCAGGAATGTACGAGTGGCAGATGCCGCAATGGAATAATCAGATGTTGATGTCAAGAGTGAGAGAGGAAAAGCCTGGGTACGAGGCGCAAGAAGAGCCAAAGAGGGAATGGGGTTATTCATATTCTGCGCAAGGAGGCAATTTTCATAGGACCTATGGTGTTGGAAGATGTTGAGATGGGAAATGAAATCATGAATAAATGAATCAATGGTTATGAATACATCGATCTGGTTCTGTTTAAATATTGCTGTGAAATTAGCGGTTGATACCATGGAAGTTTTGATAGTTTTAGCAATGAAAGACATTAGCTGTTGCTGCTCTCAATCTCGCGTTTGTTCCATTGGCAAAATCTGGAAGGACAATTTTGTGCGACTTGTGTTTGTCAAGCTTTGATATCACCAACATAGTCACTCAAAAAGTCACTCCCAAAGCATCAGTATAGGGGATATGAGTGCACCGCACTCAAAACTTTTCATTCAGTCCATCTAGGGAATATTAGCGAAAGGTGTCACGGCGACATTGTGCACAGTCCGGAGCCATGGTCTGAGGGCAGTTTGGGGGCAGTTTTCCCAAGATTGCCACCGGCCAAAAATAAGACACCGAGCACATGGATGAAAGCACCACTCACGATCCCCGTAACTCGTCCGTAACAACCCCTTTTGGTAGCCTGCCTTGTCTGGGAACACGAGATATCCATTGATATACATGTACCCGCCCGATATCTGTCCTCTATCATTGGCTCCAAAAGCGTGGTCCTGTCCAAGTGTTTTTTTGCCTGATGTTACACAGGCAAGCTGCAACCGCTGGCTTTCAACTATGAATAGTTGAATCCTTCACCCCTTAGCACGTTGTCGATGACTTTAGATGCATGGATAGCTTGATTTCTCGACCCAGAAATGTGGAACCTCCGATGTTATCCTTGTTCAATATACACATGCTACATCATAAACCTAGATCCATGTTTATGGAATTTTTGAGAAGACTGTTCTGTGGACCTGACGTTGGGGAAATGAGGAAGATGAACTGATAACGATTTTGGCCATACATTAGCGAGTCCGAAGAATTGTTTGGGATGGAAACCCTGTACCATTTCCAATATCAAAAGGCGCTCGAGCGAATTTCATTTCAATCAAACGCGTCTTAAAATAAAATATCAATATTAAACCCCTTAATAAATAGAGATGCAAGGTAAAAGAATCTAGATATCTGAACAATCGAAATCGAGTACCTAGGAAATCACATCAGGTTCAAGGCGTATTCATTTCGGCCATCAAACAAATGCATGGCGATCTATCTTCGTCGCCTACACACTAAAGACTTCCGTTAAGGTTTAGTTTAATGCGAACTATCGTATCAGACGCGTCGAACCTTAATCATGCTATAGTAAGCCTATATCAGCATGCAATTCTGAATTTCGCAATACGTCCGCAAGATGGAATATTGAAAGAGAAAAAAATCTTACGCATGATCGGAGAATTTCCAAGTTCTGTAAGCAGGAGATGTCTCCTTCCAAAAGGACGCGAGCCTCATGTATAACTGGCTATACAACGGTTAAACCATCGACCAACCTCTTCCGTATATGCAGCAAACGATGAGTTTGTGCGATAATTTCTTTTTCGGCCTTTGCTGGGGTACCCACTAGGATACTTCACATTGCTACTCTAACCCCAGTAGAGTTATGATCACACGCTTAGGCTCCGGGGAAATGGTGGAGACTCAAGCATGAAAGCTTGTACCACTTAGAGGTTCACCGCCTGTTTGAGGAAGGTTATCATCGGATGTTCCACAAGATGTTGATGGAGCATTGTGAAGAATGTAGTTGACATAAGAATGGAGAAATCTTCCGTCTGATGATTGAAAGATAACAGTGACGCGACGCTGCAGTGTAACAGGGAGAACAGAATTGACGGCTTACTGGTCGCGGCACTTTAAGAGAGCCATCGGGGGTAAAAGATGCACACGTGATCACAGTAAGAACTTTTCAACGATTTCCGTTCATGTTTGGCCGAAGCACATTTGAGGAGATCGTGCTTGAGTAGAGAGCGACGGAAAAAATGAACCTGCGATATATTGCCATGATCATGTTTAATATTAAGGCCGCTCTTCTTTCTTGGCTATAAATCTTCACTCCTCAGGGATTGCACAATACCAGACCAACAAAGCCAATAATACTGCGATTGTTAGTACATCCGATGCTTTATCATGCAACGTCAGAACCTGCTCGATATGGCTCTTATCGACGGATCTTCGATGTTCGGTCAATTCGGTGATGTAGTGGCTTGATTCTTGACTTCCCAAATGCTAGGCGGGAATTTTTACAAAGAGCTTGTTCCGCATAGGAACAAAAGTAAATCTCATAAATTTAGTAAAAACATACTAGGTACGTGCCAGTAGTTGGTTTCCTGTTATAAGCCTGATTTAGCCTCTCCCCTGGTGGTGCATCTTCTTGCAAGATATACAATGCTCATCCCTATAAAAATGGCAACTCTCGGTGCAAATTATGTCTGGGTTAGAGAGAGAGCCAGTCGCGATGTAAGTATTCCAACATATCACCGCCCATAAAGGGGTCACATTATTTCCTGCTGGATCGCTCTCAGTTGTCATTACAACTGTCGATAACTTTTCCTGGAGCTCATATATCGAGTATAAGTACGCCCTTCGTTATGTCCATTTAGCTAGGGCTGTTGCGAACCCTTCGACAGACGGGAGTAGACATAAGAATTGGGATCTTCGGTACAAATAGCGCAAAATTTCATCAACTCTGTCGGCAAATTCGAGTGAATATAGTCCGGCAGCGTCACTTCACATGAGAAGCGTAACGATGGTTTGAACTCCCCGTCGATTAAATAGTTCCAGGTTCCGACAATGTGGTTCAGGCGGCAGCTACATCTTACATCTCCCAACTTGTGGCTTTGGCTCTCGATAAATATGGTTTCAAGGATGTCCGCAATTTCCAATATATAGACAGAGCATGGAAGAACGAGATCATCATTCTCCCTTCAAATTTGATTTCATTATTAACGTTTAACAAATAACCTTTCTCTGCATAGAATCGGAAGTCTTCTGCCTCTGGTTTGATCTCGTGCCAACAGCAATGTTCGTTCCGGATCAGCATTGCGTTTTTACATTCATGACTATTCCCAACTGCATACCAACAACAACTGTATGGCTATATTCCGCTTTTCAAATGTGAATCACCCGGCTAAGCATCATTTTCCAATCTCGATCGGAACTTTCGGTCCTTGAACCAACAGTAGAGATGTTGGTCGACACAAATGAGGTTTACTCGTGTTTTGGTCAAGCAACATTCTTGTTATCGTTTTTAACATATTTGTATTGAATGACATACTCTTATATCGCCTCCTTCGTTCTCTACAATATACTACTGTTAGGATTCCAATAAAGACATTGCGAAAACTAAATAAGTCATGGCAGAATTTCAAGCATCTGCAAGTAACTAAAACATAATCTCATCAATAATCTGACTAACAGCAGAATCAGATTACAGCATTGCGCGATTCCTTGCAAGGAAAAGTTGCAGCTCATAATGATCCAGACTATCTGTTGGCACAGAACTCTTATTTCTCAGCCCAAGCCCGGTCATTATTTCCAGGATGCATAGCAACACCGACTACAAATACTGAAGTTGCAACGATAGTGAAAATGCTCGTAGAGGGCGGAGTAAAATTCGCCATCCGAGGCGGCGGTCACTCATTGAATGCCGGAGCTGCGAATATTGAAAGCGGAGTCACCATCAACCTTCGAGCTTTGAATAAGGTAGAAGTCAATAAAGAATAGACATTAGTTTCATTGGAGGCGGCGCAAAATGGGGCGAGGTTTACTCTGTCTTATATGGTTTGGGATTAGCTACGATCGGCGGGAGAGTCGCCGATGTTGGGGTTGGAGGATTGACTACCGGTGGTATGAGATAAATAAACCTTCAAACTATTGTTGAGACTTCTTATGACTTATTGAATGGTTTGCTAGGAGGTATTCATTTTTCAGTGCCAGGAGGGTTTAGTGTGCGACAACGTCGAAAACTACGAAGTGGTCCTCGCCGATGGAAGTCTTGTAAATGCCAATCACTTCGAAAATCGCAATCTCTGGCAAGCCCTGAAAGGTGGCTCCAATAACTATGGCATCGTCACTCGCTTTGATATTCGAACTTTTCCGCAAGAGAATTTTCTTGGTGGTTACATCGTCCACGATATTTCGACACTTGACTCACAATTGAAAGGGTTTACGGATCTTCTTGAGAACTTTGATCCCTATGCTGCAATGAGTATATCATGGAATCAAAAACGAAATGGATATTCGATTTTCAATAATCTCGAGTATACAAAAAATGACACGAACCCGAGGGCGTTGAAACCGTTTCTTGATGCGAAACCTCAATATTTGAATACCATGCGTCTTTCTAATCTCGCTGACTTCTCTACGGAGGCAGGAAAATATGCTGCGCCTGGCTTACGGCTTGTTCCCATCTGATGTAATTGGCGTTTTGAACAATGAAATGCTGAATGTGAATCAGCAATCAATTCGCAACTACCACCTTCGGCGGAAGCTTAGAATTTCTTCAGAACGTCCATTCGATCCGGCGATCAAGCATCCATGCTATCTCCTCTATCGTTGGAGTAAACTGGGCCATGACAATCCAACCCCTTCCCATTGCTGCAATGAATCAATCCGAGAAAGTTAATTCTCTTGGCCTCTCATCTTCATCAGGTCCTCTTACTCTATTTCTCCTTTCTTACAATTGGGAGAATATTGAAGATGATGAAGAGATAACGTTGGCCGCGAAGAAATTGATTTCAGATATCGATGAAGCGGCAAGGGAAAGGGGTGTAGGCAGTGATTTCAAATATTTGAATTATGCGGCAAGTTGGCAGAATCCATTAGGAGGGTATGGGGAGCTCGAGGAGACATTGAAGAAATTAAGAGACACTGGTGAAATTTACGACCCGGGAGGTGTATTTCAGACGTTATGTGAAGGAGGATTCAAGATTTCTAAAGCTTAGAAATGTCGGGAGGGAGAGTGAAATTAGTTGCGACGAGTACCTTTGAATGTTTTCATTTTCTAGGTGCTCGGTGCAAAATAATGCTAGTGAATATGAACGCGATCCTACAATGTCCTATTTAAAAGAGGCTTCATTCATACTATTCTCACTTGTCTATATAGAAATGCCCTAGAGAAGAGTACCCGGAATGTTCAACACAAAGTTGAAAATTGACATACTCTTTTTGTCTCGTGTGACTTTTCTCGTGCCTAAAAGATCCAGCTTGGCAATCTTACACAAGTCTGAACAATACTGAGTTCTAGAGATGATTGTCCATTCCTTTCTCGCAATCACCATTCAGCTGCGATGAGAAGTCGGCGGTAGATGGCGATTATGGGGAAGAAGCAAAATTTACACCTAATCTCACGTCTCTCACACAAAAGTTGAATTTCGTTGAATGTTCCGCACGAATCATACAAGTCGATGATAATTACATTGACTAAAGTTGTCTTTTCTAGGCGAAAAGCCAGAAATCCTTGAAGATATTTCTGAATGAGAGAAGGTTTAGGCTTGCCTTGTTAAAAGAATATTACTTCAACGATATCATCTGGGACTCTGTAATGAACAATGTGTCGTGGTGACCAAAGATCCTTAGAATTTGTTACTAAATTGTGATAATACAGAAACTGGATGCCATTCAAGCAAATCACTCCTCTGAAATGAATTGAAACCCCAAGCCACCCAACGAAACCCCCGTCCCCAAATCAAAGTGCACCTCCGAACAAAAAATAACCCTCGCAGAAAGACGACAGTTTCAGACTCGGAGCGATCCTACGGCACAAGTTAGTCTCAATTCGAAAGACTCCTCAGAGAATAACTCACCTTCTACCTCCGTAGTTCTACTTCTTCGCTCTCTTCTTATAACTTTCATAACTTCCATAAACTCCATAATTACCATATTCTCCATACGCACCGTAAGGGTTAGCCGTCGTGGATGTTTTGACAGTCGCCGTACTAGCACTTGAAGACGTTGCGCTCGAGGTCGGATTCAAAGTCCCAGTACCACTTGCACTAGCATCTAAAGCACCGGCCGCCACGCCAGCAGCCATGGCCAGCGCCAATGTAAGTTCAGGGAGGAACTTCATGGTATGAGTATACTGGGGAGTCGAGAGAGTGAGTATAGAAATTTGGACGCGAAGGTGGGTGAAGAAGGATCGGATGTGAATGATGAGATGGGGAGGATGAGAGAGATGGAATTTGACGAGAACATATATATATCCAGACAAAGAGGACGATGATGATCATGCAGACAATAGAAACCAGAATTAGTATGCTGGTGATGAAGTTGGTTTCATCGTACATAACGGGAAGGGAGATTAGAGAAGGTTATGTGACTGCCGATGGGGTACAGTTGTACTGGCTGAGCGATGGAAGTTGAGTGTTATGATTGGGAAAATATGTTCAAGTGTAATTGTATATGGGTCGGAAAATGATGGAATTTCACTTAGAATAAAGTAGTAGTGATAGAGATCGAATTGAACAGCAATGGATACGCCCCTCAGCCAGCTATCATTCGCGGTAGTACGCAACACAAAGAGAGTTTGACTGACTCTATGGATTGAGTATCCCACATGTACGAGTCTGAGTAAAAGCATCTCGCATATGAGGTACCTCCATGTCTTGATAGGAAAATCCATCAGAAAATATCTTGGTTTATGATAATTTTCAGAACACCCATCACATAAGCATTGTGTAAGGATGTTCCGTCCCATGTTCCATAATACGAAGTGGTACTTTAATCCGATGTAGCACTGTGGTGCACAAGCTTATTATAAAGCGAGCATATCGCCAGCGTCGTGATACAAGCATAGATATTGGCTTGTAAGAATATCACCCCAGGACAAGATACTGCATTTCCAGGATCTATTAAAGAGCAGAAGGATGAAGATGGGGTATCTATAGTTGAAACCCTCAGGTTCGATATGTCGTGATTGAAAGGATATAATGAACAAACAAAATACTGTTTCTCACATGTGACATAAAGACGATGATCTGAAAAAAAAAAATCCACTCTTAATTATCGATATAATAGCTTACTTGAGTTGTACAAATGTTTCATACCTCTGAAGACATTGTTTTGGAGAGAATGATTACTAGATCAAGCGGCGGGACAGACCAATACTGACTTCAGATCATTGCTTCACGATAGATTCGACCTCATTATCTCAGACATGAATCATACACTGGTAGATTACTAACTATCGAGAAACATCATCCATCCTTCTGAAGTCCCAGCATGCCGTTATCCTCAAAGCCATCCTGATACCAAACACCACGTACCTTCATCTTCTCAATAGCAAATATCCTCTTTATTAAACAGTCGATAATTAAGTTTCAAAATGAGAACCAGGCTCACAGACAAAATTTATGTTTTCGAAGAGATTCCTCGTCAAGCGGGGCCAACAATTCGAACACCTCTTTTGGCACCCGAATATAGAAGGCAAGAAGAAGAGGAGAAAAGTCTTTGTTCGCAGATTCTCCTAGTCTTGGTCTTTTTCATCTTTTTCATTAGTATCTGCTTAATTGGCCTCTGGGTTGGTGGGCGTTGGGGTCGCAGCACTGAAAGACTATGCACGGGTCATAATTCACAATACTGTAAGTTCACCGTTCTGTATGATTGTTTGCCGAAGGAAGCAATAGCTAACAATATCATCACAGCCCCAATTCTCGAAGACTTGAGCCTTTCGTATACCACGATGAGTTTTAATGGGTCACTTCCACAATCCAATGAGTATCGCCAAGATGCAGGTCGGGAAGTCGATGCGGCCTGGAATGATTTGGGAATTAACTATCGTGACATCGTCATTCCTGCAAAATTTGCAGCGAGATCCGGAATCACTACTGATCATGTAACAATCAGTGAGAAATATGGTGGCGGCTACCCAGCTAATGTTGAAGGTTTGACCCATCTTCATTGTTTAAATCTGCTTAGACAAGGATTGTGGTATAACTATGACTATTATCAAAAGAAAGGAGAAGGCGCTTTCGAGAATGACATTCCAATATTAAAGCTCCACGTCTGTAAGTTAACCGTGTGGAAGAACCAAAAGAAAAGCTAACCTTTGCGGCTTCGATAGCTCGTTGCCTTGATATTCTTCGTCAGCAACTGATGTGTACAGTTGACATTGGCGTTATGGGTAAAATCTGGGTTCATCCAGAAGCCCCAGAGGCGTATCAAGATTTTAATACAAAACATAAGTGTCGAGATTTTGATGCTGTGAAAAATTGGGCTGAACAGCGACAAATTCCCGTGGACGTACCGGTCGACTTTTTCCAGAAACCAGAGGAAGGAGAGATTGTGTATTCGACATATCCATGAGCTACAATGTCAGATCCAGGGGCGCGACGTTGTTTGTAAAAGATTTCAAATGTTGGGCATACTGTGCCGCGAGTGCTTTCATGCTGTCTGGGGTGAAGAAGTGAAGATCAGGTGGATCATATGTGGAATATTAACTCTCGGGCTATCCAGTTGGTTGTATCAAGAATGTCAATTTACTGAAGATATCTGACTTTTTTGAAATAATTCTGATTGGGTGTGGAAATTTCTGACATCTGTTAATTATATGACCGAGTTTCGTGATCAATCTTTATTAGTCAGCGGAATATCAAAATGCCAAGTCTTCCATTCATTCATAACGCGTTTGCATTTTTAGAAACAAATAAAGGTCGTGAATCGTGATCATGATAGAATCCTCACAATTCATCATGTCATCCTTTCAATAGCACATAATTCTCATAATTAAACATCTATAGGTTCCTATGTAACCTGTGTGTCATTGACCAACCTCAATCAGAAATATGGCAAAACTCTTTCCCATGGAAAATTAATGAATGGAATTCATGTTTATCTTTTTTTTCAAAAACCTAATACCGACCCTCCTCAGATAAACCATCATGGCATTCTTCCTTATGTCGCCTTCTCTTAATACTGAACACCGCTAGACAATCCTTCAGCCTCGAGCCTTTCCCTTTCTCTCTTCGCCCTCTGGATATCAAGGGACATCTTCACTGGTCTGACGCCTGGTGTCTCAAACACAGTATCAATTTCCTCCAAAGTCAATTCCGAGGTCTCTGGGAATACGAAATATGAGAGGACCAGTTGTATGAGATTATACCCAACATACACGACCCAAATCTTGTATCCAATTTTTTGAATGCCAACCGAGATGCCGTAATTCTGGACTGTTCCAGCTGCACCTTGTACGAGAGCATACAAACCCATACCTTTCGCTCTCATATCAAGCGACAAGACTTCAACAGGGTAAAGATTATGCATCGTTGCGATTAGCAAAGAGGAGCAAGTTTGGAACAAGAAAAGCCAGGTCACAACGAGTCCAGCATCCACTTTGCTCTCGTTCAATGTGTATTGCCAGGAGGTTATTGTAGCGGCTGTTTGTAAGAGAATAAAACTGATTAATCCAGCAAAGATTAAAGTCCTTCTCCGAAATCTGTCGACTATAAAGGAGCCACAAACAGTAAACACCAAATAAGTCGCATTTAGTCCGAAGTTCATACCCAGCTGCTCGGTGGTTCCTGTAATTCCGACAGTGTCTAGAGCGGGTACGAGATACTGCCCAATAATGCCGCCACCGTTCCACTGTTGAAAGATTGAGTACAGTACAAGAACGAACACTCTATACTGTGCTGGTCTACCATGGAATAGCACACGGTAGTCCCACCAAGCATGGTTACTTTGTCTCTCATTCTGCAGGGATTCTTCAATCTGATTTGCAACAATAGTGACTAAAGGATGATCCACGTTATTGCCTTCTGTGGTTTGCATCTTGGCGATAACCCTCTTCGCCTTTTCCATTTGTCCTCTCATGATGAGATAACGTGGTGATTCTGGTGTTAAGGGGTAGATGAGCAAGCACACAATCAATGGAAACAATCCTTCCAGAACTAGAGGAATTCTCCAGCACCAATCTGATTCGATGTGAGCCAATCCTATCAATCCGGCGTTCATACATAAGCTTCCGACTTGAAAGCAAGCTCCAAATATCCCAACAAGTCGACCTCTGAGATGGGTTGGGGCTACTTCCGCGACGTACTGGGGACTGGACATCAGTGCTGATCCAAATCCCAAAAAGAAACGGCCAGCCATAAACATTGGCATGTTTACCGAAAACGCTTGCAGAAGAGATGCAACTAGAACAATAAAATTTCCTGCGAAATTGATGCCCCGTCGTCCGATAATATCAGCAAATGCCATGAATGGAGCGCCACAGATTGTTCCGATAGTCATCAAGGCGTTCAAAGTACCATAAGTCACACCGCTCGTGCCAAATCCGAAGTAGGTGTGCCAAGGTTTGAAGGCATTGATTCCAGAAATGACGGCCCAATCGATACCGTATCCAGCGGCACCGCAGCCTTGTACGAACATCATCAAGAAGACCCGAAACGAAGTCCATGATTTGAATTGCAGCGATTCTTGAGATAGTAAGAATAAGTCCTCTTCAGTTAGACGAGCAATAGTAACTTCCTCCACATTTTCTTCGGCATGTTTGAAGTCGCCTAGGCCTTCTGAGACGACTGGCTCCAGCTTATTATCGTACCCAGGTGACATTGCGTTCCTGATTCAGATAGCGAACTCCTTCGAGGTAAAGGCCAGATTTGCGTGCTCAGGGAATTTTACGAAGACAATCGGAGAGTTTTCTTCTTCTTATTTGGAGGCTTTGCTTCAGATGAAGATATATCTTTCTAGGTGTCCCTGATGGGCAACGGAGGTGAGTGGGGAGTGTAAGAGGAAATTTGCAAATACCACCACTCCACAATAATCGTATGACTCCTGTGTTCTCTCTTGAAAAATTGACTTCGATATTCACTTTGGTTATATAAGAAAATTCATATGGATTCCAGCCAATCATGTCACATGTCCCATGCGGGACAACGGCCCTTGCTACCACCCGGTGTCACCTCACTTTCCCCCGCATTATCTCTTCTCCGCAACCCCAACAGTTGATAATTATCATTGAACAAACAGTTTCTATTGATGGATTTACAGACATTCGTTCAGGCTGTTGTCTATGCGTGAAGAAGCTTCCTGGTTAAATTGATCCCTGCCATCAGATTCAAAGCGATTGGATGAAAAGCGAATTTTTGCGGAAGAGAATGCGCCGAGACTGGCCGCATTCGTCTTTGGACAGCATTGGCCACCATGGAAAATTGATATCTAGAGCATGTCTCAGTATTAGAGTACTGAATAACACGCTTTGAACATCCAAGATGGCCCCCTCTAACCTGGAAGAAACTCTCCATTACACGTCACCTGCGAAGGACTGGTCGGAAAGTTTGCCTATAGGCAATGGCCGATTGGGTGCAATGGTTTATGGTGGCACGTCTAGGGAAACGCTTCAGTTGAATGAGAATTCAATCTGGTATGGCGGTCCCCAAGATCGTACGCCGAAAGACGCGTTCAGAAACCTAGACCGTCTGCGACATTTTATCCGGATCGGCGACCATGCAGGAGCGGAAAAATTGGCTGAGCAGGCATTTTTTGCCACTCCTCACAGTCAACGTCATTATGAACCACTCGGAACGCTGACCTTGGATCTTGGACACGACGAAGCAAAAGTGAGCAACTATTGGAGAGGACTGGAACTGTCAACAGCGAATGTGACCACGGAGTATGAGTATCTTGGAGTTAGTTACAAACGCACAGTCTTCGCTAGTTATCCTGACGATGTATTGGTCGTCGAATTGGAGTCGTCCGAGAAAGTCGAGTTCACCATCCGACTATCAAGATATAGCGATCGAGAATTTGCTACTGATGAGTTCGTCGACTCTATTGAAGCGCAAGATGGGACTATAGTGATGCACGGGACACCAGGTGGACGAAAAAGCAACAATTTTTGTTGCGTTGTCAGTGTTCAGGACTTAGCTGGTGATGGTAACGTCGAAACTGTGGGGAACTGTGTTATTGTGAACTCCTCAAAGGCTATAATCATTGTTTCTGCTCAGACGACATTTCGCCATGCGGATATAGAAGCTAAATCCCTGGATCAAACAAGGAAGGCCCTCTATAGCCATGCTGATCTTTTCAAAAGACATGTTCAGGATTACAATTCACTGTATGGGCGATTCAAACTTCGACTCTTTCCCGATGCTGCTCACATGCCTACAAATGAGAGGCTGCTTATCACTCCAGATCCTGGCTTGGTAGCTTTGTATGCTAACTATGGTCGCTATCTTCTTATATCTTGTAGTCGATCAGGAGATAAAGCTCTTCCTGCGACTTTGCAAGGGCTATGGAATCCATCATTCCAGCCTGCGTGGGGCTCTAAATACACGATTAACATCAATACACAGATGAATTACTGGCCAGCTAATGTCTGTAATTTGGAAGAATGTGAAGAACCATTATTTGATCTGCTTGAACGGATGGCGCATCGTGGAGAGAAAACCGCTAGAATTATGTACGGGTGTCGTGGTTGGACATCCCATAGCTGTACAGACATCTGGGCTGATACAGATCCTCAGGATCGTTGGATGCCAGGCACACGTGAGTCGCCTCTAATTCTTAGTTTCGATGATCTACTTGACTAAAGCGATCTTAGTGTGGCCCATGAGTGGCGCTTGGCTTTGTACTCATGTTTGGCAGAGACAATTGTTTGGAGGCGATCATAATCTAAAGTTCCTCCAAAGAATGTTTCCTGTACTACGTGGAAGTGTTCAATTCATCTTGGATTTTCTTATCAAGGATTCAACAGGAGAATATCTAATAACTAGTCCATCTTTGTCCCCGGAAAACTCTTACATCGACCTTAAAGGTCAAAAGGGTGTTTTGTGTGAAGGGTCTGCTATCGATATACAGATCATCAAATCTCTCTTCGAGGCATTCCTATCATCTGTAGATTCGCTACAGATAAACGATGAACTGACTGAACCTTTGAGATTAGCTCGAAGCAAACTACCGCCTTCCAAAATCGGCGAATTCGGACAACTACAAGAGTGGCTTCAAGACTTCAAAGAATATGAGCCGGGCCACCGCCACACATCGCATCTTTGGTCTCTTTATCCAGGGGACTCGATTCACCCCTTAAAAACACCAGACTTTGCTTCTGTTGCTGAGGTTACGCTGCGTCGTCGAGCTGAGAATGGTGGAGGTCACACAGGATGGAGTCGAGCCTGGCTCATCTGTCTTCATGCCAGGTTACATGATGCGGATAGCTCTTTGGGGCATATTTTTAGATTGTTGAAGGATAGTACATTACCCAACTTACTAGATGTACATCCCCCCTTCCAGATTGATGGTAATTTTGGTGGATGCGCTGGTATTGTCGAAATGCTAATACAGTCACATCAAATGGATACCATTCAAGTCTTGCCAGCCTGCCCTAAAGAGTGGAGATCAGGGGAGTTGAGTGGTGTTAAGGCAAGAACTGGATTTGAACTTGATATTGCTTGGGATAAAGGCGTATTAACGAAGGTCCTGGTACACTCGCGACTTGGTCGTATGACGAAAGTCGTACTCCCGGACAAGACTGTGATTATAAATGGCATTGGAGACCACTGGCTAGTTTGATGCGTAATTCTATATACGTTCATATATACACTCAGTTCTCATGCCATACCCCATTCATATTTTCCTTCAATCATATAGGTAAAGAGGTCCTTGATAACAGTTGCAGACTTTTTGGGGTATCTTTTCTTTTCTTTCGACTCAAAGTCTATGAAGGTCACTCCAAATCTATCAGTAAATCCGGCAGCCCACTCTGTATTTCCAGTCAGTCACTTGTAATTATTGGAGATCGCGAAGTCTTACCCCAGTTATCCGTAAAGGTCCATGCAAAGTAAGATCTGATGTCTACTCCATCTTCTTTCACAGCTCTTGCTAGTGCACCAATATATCCCTCAAAAAAATCAATTCGGAACTTGTCATTCAAAACTTCGTCAGTCGGTGCTGTTTCACCCTTCGCAGTAGTTCCGTTCTCGGTAATGAAGATGGGAACTCCATACCGAGCCCAGATCCAATTCAAGAGCTTTCGGAATCCATCCGGACATGTTCTCAACCAATAAGTATCACTCTCAGGTCCTCTTATCACTCCTTTGGAATTAGTATCCAGCTTATCGATGTTTCCCGAATGATCATTGATATCAGCCGGACCGTCTCGATGTTTCACAAAGAAGGTCGTATAACTATTCATTCCATAGAAATCCGAACTGCCTAAAACCAGTTTTGATTCCTCTTCCGTGAATTTTGGCAATCGATCCCCAAGTTGCGCGCGCATACTAGCCGGATAATCACCCGTCTTATATACCGGATCTGCAAACCACGCAATCTCAAATTCTCTCGCTCTTTCTGCGGCTTCCACATCCAAGGGATCCTCCTCATCCCATGGCTCCGAGTAATTTCCATGTAAAGTGATCATGATAGTTCCACCTTGCTTTTCCTTGAATTCCTCTCGATACATCTTCACCACATGAGCATGGCTTACCAACTCCGTATGGCCAACGGTAAACGGCTCGGTGCTCGAGTCTCCCTCCTCACTCAACTCCCGATTTGATGACCGTCCAGGCGCATGTACACCAGCTGCATATCCCGCCAATGTGTAAACACCCGGCTCATTATAGGTAATCCAATTCTTAACCCTATCACCTAACGCTTCAAAACAGACCCTCGCATACCTTACAAAATCAGGAGTATACTTTTCCTTATTCAACATACCGCCATATCTGTCCTCCAATGCTTGAGGTATATCCCAGTGAAAGAGAGTCACAAAGGGTGTAATTCCATTTTTCAGTAATTCATCCACAAGCTCACTGTAATATTCCAATCCCTTTTCATTGACTGGATCATCCTTTCCTCCTAGAGGGATGATTCGCGACCACGAAAGCGAAAATCGATATCCAGTCACACCGTAAGACTTCATGAGGGCGACATCCTCGGCAGTTTTGTAGTAGGAGAGCACAGCATCGTCGCAGGTACTAGAATCTTTCACTTTTCCAGGTGTGTGGCCGAACTTGTCCCAAATGGAGATTCCTTTGCCGTCGACATTCCACGCGCCTTCCACTTGCGGCGCAGCGGTTGCGTAACCGAAGTGAAAGTCGGGACGAAGGACGTCTTTGAGATCTTTGAGATTTTCTGGGACTGGCATTGTGAGCAGCAAGGTATCGAGATTTTTAATTCAGATGGTTTCGAAGATGGCTTGCTTAAACAGCTTTGAGTTATGTTATCTGGACTTCCTGCATCACGTTACAATGAATATTATCCAACAGTCACTCTGGTCATTCACCCCCACCTTCCTCCAATCGCCTTTTATTATCAGCCTCTTCTCGTCTGACCCGCGCCCTCCATAACGAAGGCGGGGTAGTCCCGCCCCCACATCATTTTATTGGTGGAAGTTCATACACAAGGATTAGTACAGGCTAAATTGATATAGTCCCAAATACAATTTATCATTTCATTTTTTGGTTAAAACGGTCCCATGGTTCGTTGTCAGAGCAGGGAGCGGCTCGTTTATGCATTTGTGAGCTGTGCCTTTTTGGAGGTGGAAATTTCTCTCAAATTTTCGGTCCCGAAGTATCTTGTTGATTTGTTCGACTCTTGAGATACTCTGTTCTAGTTCCGCTCACTAGGGAATTGAACAACCCGCTCGTAGAAGACTTGAAAGATAGAGATGGTGAGTGCTTTCTGAGAAAAAGGAAAATCACATGATGAGCGTATTCTGATAGACAATACAGGCACCTTATGATCAATTTATCCTGTTTGGTTGGTAGCAAGAAGATGCTTCGGCTATGATGTTCAACACTGATTTGGTATACCAGGTGATAGTATCACTCAGTGCTCAAATGAACCAAACGGATTCTCATTTGCATCTGCAATCCAAAATGGTATGATTTGAAGTCTTTCGTATTGCCCAGATCTGGTGATAAATTGAAGAGTCCTGTTTCAACATTCATTCAAGAAGCACTCCCTAATATTTCCAAATCATTCAGCATATGCCAGAAAACTCGACGTCATAAATAGAGGCTTCAGGTACATTCCCACGCATCTTACCTATGAATATCCAAAACATCTACTAACACACCTGGAAAGTGGCTATACTACCAACCATGCACTCGAAATACTCCCAAAATTCTTTCCTTCCCCTTCTCAAGCCAAAGTCCGTTTTCTTGTATGTCTCACTCCCATCTTCGATAGTCACATCCAGAACAAAAAGCTTACCTAGATCAGCTCATCTTCTTCGGTGCAAATGATCTCAACCGTGGCCCCTCTACAAAGCAATATGTGCCTCTTCCGCAATTTGTTATTAATCTCAAAGCCATTATCTCCCACCCTCTCATTCGAGCTCACTCTCCGAAGATTATTCTTGTGACGCCGGGACCTGTTGATGAGGCAACATCTAGAATTATGAATATTGAGTGGGCAAATTCGGATGAACCTAGACGGGTTAGTTGGACGAGAGAATACAGGGATGCGGTGAAGAAAGTTGGAGAGGAAGAGGGACTAGGTGTTGTTGATATTTGGAGTGCATTTATGGGGGCTTGTGGGTAAGTCAAGGGTCGGCTGGTTTTCCTTGGAAACTCAAGAAGGTTTTCAAGACTAGGGGAAACAAGATTTGTGAACTGACATTGATCTCTTGACAGGTGGAAAGAAGGAGATGACCCAGCGGAGATGCCAGGTCTAGAAGAAAATGGCAAGGACAAAAAGCTCACGAAACTGCTATACGATGGTAAGTAACCCACCAACACCCGCAATCAAATTATCGAAGAAATACTCGAGTGGACTGATTCATGTTATAGGTCTACATTTCAGCGGCGAGGGCTATAAGATTCTGTTTGATGAGGTGACGAAGTTGATTGCCGAGAAGTATCCAGATGAGACTCCTGAGAGCATTAAGAATCCCATTAAGATGCAGTGGGAAATAGATATAGGCTGGTAGATTATAAGGCTTCGATCTAGAGTAGAATCATTGGAAGCATCAGAAAACAAGAGATCAATACGATTATTCGTAGCGTATTTTGTTCTGGTCCCCAATTGACTAATGTTAGAATCTAGCGAGATTCTCGCCTATCGTCATCAAACAATTATAAACTTGCTGCAGAATGCAACAAAACAACCAAATCTGCCTATCCAAGCGAGCTCCTAAAGTCATTTCCTATGCAGTGGTCATACCAAGCTCAGCTGATATGTCTCGCTTCGTTCAAGCCATGTTGACTCAGCAGATGACACCCGGTGTAACCTCGGCTCAGCCGTGTTATTGTTGCAACTCAGCTCAACATTGAGATGTCTACCTAATCTTGATATCTATAACTGATCCAAGAAGTTGATACAGCTAGCTAGATCTTTACAACTGTGTCTATACTTGAACATGGCTTTGAAAACGCCTTGGCCAATATGCACAACTTGTCAAGCGATTCCTTATACAATATTCCAGAATGGAACAATCAACGACCCTCACCTGTTTTGGCCGAGCTTCTCTGAATTTGCTACTTCTGCTTCGAGAGGCTGCCATACATGTACTTTGCTATACGAAGCTGTCCGAGAGCCTTTCAAACATCGATTGGAAGATCAACCAATATTTCTGGAACGCGGAACTATTGATAGTGGTGATACCGAAGCTGTAGCCTTGACAGTGGATCTTACCTCTCTACCCGATCATAGTACTTGGCCAGACGAGTTCTTACGGAGGCATGCTGAAGATAAACTTTCTGGCTTCAAATATCTACCCATAGCTGATGTTAAGCATGTCTTAGATGCTGGAGATGTGCCTGAAGATGCACGAAATTTCAAGGGTAAGATTTCACACAGAGATTGAGATTCGGCATACTGATTAACATCATAAGATCTTATCAGCTTGTATGAAGAGAGCGAAGGGGCGGTTAGATATATCAAGCAATCCATGAGTCGCTGTTTAGAAAACCACAAATTGACATGCGATCGGGTGATGTTTCCAATCTCTTCCGCTGCGTCACAGCGACACAATGTAGTCAACATTGTGTCCGGACGCAATGGAATGGTAATGGCGCCAACTCGCCTTATTTATGTAGGTTCCCAGGATGCCGGCGATTTGCCAAAACTCGTCGATGGGCAGGAATGTCTTTATAAAGGCGGATATTTGATTCTCAGCTATTGCTGGGGAATGACTCCCAAAGATGCACCATGGCAACTGACCACTACAACTATGCCGCTATTTGCGACAGAGATTCCACTTAGCATTCTTCCACAGACGCTTCATGATGCGATTGTGTTGACTCGCAAGCTGGGAGAGCTTTACATTTGGATCGATAGTATGTGTATTCTTCAGGACTCGACAGAGGATTGGCAATTTGAGGCTTCTAATATGGCGTCCATCTATGGAAGTGCTATTATGACTCTCGTAGCTGCATCTAGTTCAGTATATGGTGGTATGACGGATCGCCGAAACCCATTACGAAACAGTGCTGCTAGTCTCGATTTACAAGATGGTCACTCGAAATCAACCGTCTACATATTGCCAAACGGACAGCCTCGGAATGTACCACTACTTCCACCGACTGACAGTCGAGGCTGGTGCTATCAGGAAGATTTGCTTTCCAGCAGACTGGTAAAGTTGACGCAGAAATCTATAATATGGCAATGTCTAGGCGACAAAAGCAACCCCAACACCCGATCACAGGGTCTCGAACAACTCATTCAGCATTCTCCTTACAGATGGTACACACTTTGGTACCGCTTGATAGAGCAATACTCCAACAAAAGCCTAACATACCCAAAAGACAGACTCCTCGCATTCTACGGTATCGCATGCGATAAAGCAGCCGATGCATATCTTGCCGGACTTCTCAAAACTGATCCTTGGGCAAGTCTACTTTGGTGTCGCGATGAAAACCAAATACAGCGACGGCCAGGCCATAGATATAAGGAATATGTTGCGCCTTCGTGGTCTTGGGCTGGTATTGATGCACCTGTACTTTTCTATGAGGCAAATGCACGACATTGGAGAAAACCACAACTCGGTACCACGCTCCGAGATCCAGAGCTCATTCATGCGGAGGCACAGCCTGCTTTTAATTCCAAAACTGGTGCGGTAAGAAGTGGGAGTGTTGAGATATCAGCCTATGTTGTCATGGCTTGCACAGCACCTGTCGAACCGTTTTTATTTAATACCAGGCAGGGCTCTCATACATACGGGAGACGAAATTGTGTGGATCCGCTTACCGGTGATGCGCTTGGATTAATTGTTTTCGATATTGCGCTTGAAGCAAAGGATGATTTGTTACTATGCTGTGCGCTTTTGCAGACGGGGAATATGGATTTGTGGGAGAAGAACGGGACTTCTGGGCTTGGCTTGGCATTGAGAGTGGAAGGAGCGACTGCGAAACACTGGAAGTGCACTCGAGTGGGATATGTCCAGTTCACATCTGCATTTGGGAAGTATGCGCAGAAGTTTCGTGTGAAAATTTCGTAGACTTTAGACTCAATATGTAATGGATTGGTGTTTCTTTACAGCTTGTAGTCCTGGAGAGTTGAGATACCATGATTCGCAACAATATTTGATCTAGACAGCTTCACTTTGTAATCAACTTACAGAGATCATAGTCGTTCCAGTCCAGCTCCGTCACTGTAGTATTCACTCAAGCCACGTCCTTTTGTAATAAATATATTCTAAGCGAGCAGGCCGATTGAGCATCGGATGAATATCAAGAATAGCCCAAAGGTCAGTGGAATGGTGGTGTAAATTTAGCTGGAGAATTGGGATGGACTGAGCAGGCGTAAGCTTTTTCAGCAGTGCAATTACTTGCAGACTTGCAACCAAATCAGCATAAATGAAAGGAAAAGGGAAGCTTAGATGAATAGGTACTGAGGATTTGAGGCTTCAAATAAGAGTTCCAATACTTGGAGTGTCCCAAAGGAGAATTATCAACTATCGTTCGGTCGCCTGGGAACAAATGCTGATGCCCTCAATTTTCTAGCAGACAATGAGAGGAGAGTATCTTGAACTTTATCATTAAACATCATTCTATTAGAAGTAATTCCACCCAGTCATTACTTCCTTGATTCATGCATTCCGATATCCTCGTTTTCAATCCATAATGTACACGCTGGACCTGCCATCTCCCAATGTTCAGATGCCCAGGCCACCTCGATCCGACCTGCACGTACTTCTTTCATGCAACAAGCCTGCCAAATGCCGCATTATGTATATATCTATAACCATACAGATGCCTTCTATCAATTCCCCTTCTCCAATCAAGGCACACTAGTCCTCAACTGTACACCATGCCATCCCTTGATCTCTTCTCCCAGTACTTTATTAACCAACCTCTGTTGCTTCAACATATTCAACCCCCTAAACTTTTCGCTAACAATCTCAATCCCATACATACTTCCACATCCACCACTTATATCCTGCACCTGCAGTTTCGTGGGCGCAAGTTCGTTGTATAATAAGCCCCAAATCTTCTTTTCAGCTTCATCTAGATGAGATGGAACCTCGAGTTTATCTGCCGCAGCTCCGTCTGCACCTTCACCTACGGTACCTTTGATTGTGGATGGAGAGGATTCACTGCTGTAGAACCTGAGGCGGGCGAAAGATGATGAGGGGCAAGGACCTCTGCTTCGTGCGAGAGTGCGGGGTAAATTGGCTGTGGGAGTAGAGTAGGAACGTGTGTTCTGTGCAGCGCGGGTGGTAGAGATATAGAGGTTTGAGCATCTTGAAATCGAGGTGTGTTGAAGAAGGGTTCTTGTTCGCAGACAACGTAGGCCGGAAAGGACGGGGTTTTCCATGGTGTGAGGGGTTATGGTTGTTTGGATTCAATCAGAGATCCGCACTGGCTTTGAACGCGTCGATTGTAGGAATTTTTGAAACGAGAATATTACGGAAGATTGTGAACTATCAATTGTAAATTATTGCAGTATACAGTAGAATTGTTGTTATCGTTGTATGATACTATTGCTATGTTCAGATATTTACGATTATATTTTTCCGAGGTTCATGATTGATCAGCGTCATGGATCTTGATTAGTCATTATGACCCATACTCATCATGTACCAATAGGAATTCTTGAAATGTAAGCACGTCAAAATATTCGTTTAATTGAACTACATACGATATCCACACGACTGGAACGCGTTCTCACGCTCACAATCTATCATGATTCTTTGGTCAATTTGAACTCCGAAAATTTTCAGGAAGATTAAGCTAGTGCTTTAACATTTGATGGTTGGCATGGTCTTGGTGCTTATTTCAACGTATTCATCATGTCATCATGGGAATTTGCGTCTAGTTCAAGTCCGGTTCACCTAGCATCTGTCTAGTGGCACCAATTCCCCCTAAGTCTTTCGCCTTACAGTTTTAAGTGCAGATATTCACTACACCAGTTTTCTAGATGAGCTTCATGAAGACCTTTAAATGTACGATTCACAAACAATGATTCTGGAATCCTCTTGCTCGACAAGGGGATAGACACAGGGGAAGTCTAGACCTTTCATTCCCTCTCTGTGGGTAGCCAAAGTTTATCCGCACATTTCTATTCTTTCGTATGCTTTATGTCCCTCCACATTTATCGTGGAAGAATGGGGCCCCCTAGAGGCAGGGGATTAGATCTTGCCTGATGTTGGAATAGAAAATCCCTGAAACATATCTATCCATCAAATAAAATTGAAGGTTCGAATCTGAAAAATTTGAGAGCCAATAGAAACCTCATGATTTAGCCCCTTGAAATTTTCAATCTGAAGCTTTCAAAGGAAGATCATGTATGGCTTTCATCAATGATCGATGAATTGTATCAAGAGTAAATTTCATCAAATTCCAGGTAAATCATAAAGTGCTCTTTTTTATCATCTGTTCCTTTATTTGAACGTGTTCAAAGCTTTAGAGCTATGAATCTCGAAGTAATGTGAATGGTTTTGATATTCAGGTCATGGAATCATGATTTTTGGTAGAAATGACAATCACTCAAATCACCTGATCTTACGTCAAGAAAGACCTGGAATCGTAGAGGGGGTGTAGGTCAAACTCTATCGAAATCTCATATCAAATTTTGTAGCTGGTCAACCTAGTTTATAACTAGCTTCAATTTATTCCAAATTCTCGACAAGCTACCTCTTTGGATGCTCGCGTTACAGGATTGCTCTATGCCAAAATCACCTAATCAAACAAAATGTCAATTATAAGCCTACTCTAGAAGTCACAAATGGTTTGTAGGAAAGTGTAGCCCCTGCACATCATTACTTCTTCCTTAGCCAGACCGTTACATCAATGGCAGCAGATCTTATGGTAGGAAGGCTTGACTTTCTCGTAGTATAGAGTTCTGTAGAAGCCAATGCCCAGATTCTTACCCTAGGAAATTGATCCGCACAACGGCTGCTCAATTGAGCAAGAGAGATATTGGCATACTTCCCTTAAAACTAGCTCACTTTCAGGTATTGGTGATCTAAAGGTGCAACCACTTTCCAATTCGCCAGATTGCCGCTCAAAATGCCCTGGATGTTGTACGAAGAGGACTACGATTGTCTAGGGCGTGCAAGTTATTCTTCAAACCTTTGTATTAACCAATTTTTACACTTTTAGACCCATCTAGATGAAGCTAGGTGATGTATGTAACGTCATTTTCTCGACCAAATTTTAGCCCAAACTTTCCCGGATTTTCATTTGTACTAAAGAAAAGTCTATAAAGTCACGGCCATCTCCAAAAGTTTTCATACCTTTTTCGATGCTGTATCAAAACATCATTTCCACATCACAATATTTCAAGTACCAGTAATCAAAAGCCAATTATCTTGATTGGCATTATTTCTGAAGTCCCTGGATTCAAAACAAACATCCATCATGACGAACTCGAATGATATGTCGCCAAACAACCAATCGACGGACCAAAGTCGCGAAATGCCTTTGGAGGCCATCATCAACAATGCATTTAGGGATTACATCAGCATGACTGGCGTAAGTATATCAATCTTGTATTTACTTTTCAACTGCTTGGATATCAATATTGATGATCTTTACACAGGGATCTTCTTCTCCTCAACAGCCTTCGATGACCAGCTCAATGTTTCAATTTAAAGCAAACATTAATCCTTCTAAAGGAGGTTCCGCTAATACCCCTCAATCTCTTGCTCGAGGGCACTTGCGCCGCCGCCTTTTTTTCCAAAATGTTTGGAATCGCCCCACCGCCCCTCCTACTCCTACCCGAGGGTTCTCAGCCCACCGCTCTTTCATTAAAAGTGTTTGGGATCGCGCCGGAGCGACCAGTAAGAACTCTGGTGCAGAAACCTCTGCCACTATCCTTAACCCCAACATTCAGTCCTTCACTCCATTCCCATATTTCCGTCTTAGAAGACTCGAATCGGAGGATGTTGTTGAGGATGACTGTGGTTTTCCATATTGTGGAGGGTTCTGTGCGCTTTATCCCCCCCGCGCTGCCAATGACGACAATAATGAGGCTGGGCAGCAAGTGAGCTCTTCCGCTGTCCAACATGGGAGTGGAGCGATCATTACCCCAAGCCAAAACATTCGGCTCAGTGATGAAGAGGAGTCTGATCTAGAGGCTGGCTACAAAGTCGATTGGATTTCAGAAGACGGTTTTCTAGATCATGATGCTATTGACTCGGCTTATTCTTCAATGTAAGATGCAAAATTCTGTTGGAGCAAGCCATTCTCTTGCAGCAGATCTTGCTGAAGGTAGAAAAAGACGGCTTGCTTCTGGCTTTTGTATCATGGGTACATTTGGATGGTTTTCTCATTGCAGTATGTTTTTTTTGTACCATCATCGACGGTTGAATGATTTCTCATTGCCGTATATACTATGTTTATCTGTTTTCCGTGTAATATTGGTGGCGGTTGAATGATTTCTCATTACCGTGTATAATTTTTAATTTCTCCTTTTCATATAGCACCAGTGACGGTTGAATGATTCTTTTATTACCGTATATACTATCTATGTTTTTCCATGTAAAGTTGGTGACGGTTGAATGATTTCTCATTACCGTGTATGTTTTTTTTTGTTTTCTCCTTTTCATGTAATATTGATGACGGTTGAATGATTCTCTCATTACCGTATGCATTTATGTAGTAGTAGTAATAGTAGTAATAGTAGTAAATTCATAATCGATTCAGTCTATCAATGCTAATGCTACGCTGAGCTATATTGTCTCTTATGTGATCCGAATTCTAGAATTTTTTACATGCTGAGGTCTCTGTGAGACTTATCATCTCATCTTCCAGCTATTATCACCATCTATTTGATGTCCGGTAATCCAATCATCTAGTCCGGCGCTCGCTGACATAGATACTGTTGTGAATGTTTATTTCTCGGAAAGGTCACCTGATTTCTCTAAGAGTTATCTGAGTAAGTAATTCATCCAGCGAGTCATTGGCTGGTCTTGCATGTCCCCGTGATATGAATGCAGTGATACAAGTGCAAAAGGTTCAGGTTAAACAACATACGGATCGACAACGGCAGTCTTCAGCCATAACACATACTAACGGGCCCTTGAAATTAAAGGCAGATGTACATCTCGCATAGCTAATGTCTCATTATTGGAACCGAACCGACCAAGTGTTATTGATTTAGTTGAGTAGACTTGAGGCAAAAATGCTTAGGTCAGATTCCTACATAGGAAGGTTCATTGAGGCTTATAAACACGTCAGGGTCAGGGTCTTTCTTGAGATCTACATATATGCAAGTGTTGTATGCCAGAGTCACCTGCCTACTTCAATGCATGCAGGTGAGTCTACTTCTTTCCCGGATGATCGACGGTTTACGACTGGCAGTCAAGCTGCCAGATAGTATGCGACTTCGCCACTAAGAATACCAGGTTAGTCCTCTTGTAGTTTACTATTGTGTGATATGTGCATCTGGCTTCGGAGTTGCATACTCATTACTTTCTACCCGCACGAGTATGTGGAGAACTAAGGGCCTCTGTATCTCCCAATATTTTATGTATGCAGGGTGCAATAGCTAGACGCAGCGAATTCATGCTAGCCGATTTTATTTAAGAGGAAGGAAGGGGGGGTATTGTAGACCGCATATCTTGACCTTACTTGATAGCAAGTATGTTTCAAATCTTTATGGACTTATATCAATACCTACACAGTCTAGCTTCCTGCTGTAATGCAAAAGTACAACGTGCATATTTTTCATGTAGAATTCGTCAAATCGTATCATCTAGACCATCTCATCTCACCATATCATGTGGGTACTATCACCTTCTAGGCTTCCCAAAACACACTTTTTATTCATTGCAGGTAGCATAAAAATGGCTATTGCTTCCCAATACAACATAATATTGCAGAATCCGTCTAGTCGCATATGTACGACTAGGGTACGTACATAGTGGGGCTCGCATAGTATTTCAAAATCGTAACCCAACTCCCTTCTCAAACTTGTAAAAGCCCAGAATAGCATAAATTTTTTCATTCTCTCGCATTCAAATATTGAATGCGGAGAGACGAATCAAGAGATTCATATCTCACAATAAACACGAGTTTGGTTAGAAATGAATAGATGAACATGTGGGGTCCTACGTGGCTGCACATAGTTCACGCCTGGTTACGTGGCTCACCGAGCACGATCACGCGTCTGCACGTGAGCGAGGGGTGCAGTGCAGATAGGTGGAGATAGAGATACGTGGTACTGTATATTGCTCATGAATTATTGACAAAGTGGTAGTACCGTAGTTTGGTAATATGTGCGTTGGGGATTTCATCGAGAACAGTGGTTTGGGCATGAAGAACTTTCTGGAAATGCTGGGTGCATATCGATGCAGAATCTGGAGTCTGGAGTTCTGGGGAAGTAAGACATACGGGGAATGTGGTCGAGTGATGAGGAGCTGCAAGATTTGAATCTGTAACTAATCTAGATGAGTCACAATTGGCGGGTTGACAATACACATCTATTGGTATACCAGAACTCCACGCTCAATACACTGCTATCACTGTACCGTGTTTCGTTATAAGTTAACAATTTACGTTGTGTACTTGGTATCGTGACCCAACACTGGTAATATCCAAGATTGAATACTGACTCGAACCATAAGTATTATTCTCAGGTTGGAGTAGTACTGCATCGCACCTATAAGCTTGTTGTGTGCCAATTCCCTTATGCCTGTAGACGTTTTTGAACAGCAGATAAACCTGTAGGATAATTAGCGTAAATAAAAATTTCGTGTCCGGGCAGCAAGACATATTGAACCAAGAAAGAGAATTTTTGCTACTCCGTACAGACCAGTAGTTTGAAGTAAAGCTTGTTTGGATGTAATGGCGGCGAAAGGGGCAAGGGAGATGATTCCTTTCCCGGCATAGAACTCAACAAGAATTCATCCCTCTTTAGGACACCAACAAGTCACTGAAGATCGATGCCCTCTTCGTTCATAGGAAACTATCCTACTATATTCATTGCCCGTTAAGATGTACTTGGCGAGCGGGATGTTTTCTTTGCTAAGTCCATAGCAATAAATATGTCGATTGGATATACTTTTCCCCATAGACCCTCCTTGCATCCGAGCCAAGACCCTGAATAGAAACCCTATGCAGTCAAATCTCTCAAACCCCTCAATTTTCATTCCCACAAAGTCGTGATTCAACCCCGGTACATATTTCCCTTCCATTCATCCATTCCTATCCACCAATAATACCCAAACAAGGAAGATCCTGACATCATCACTGAAACTGCGATTCGGGCTCGCTTCCATTCATGTCCACATCTCCTTTGATCAAGACTGAGTGACATCATACACCACTTCCTCCTGCATCCACTCAAAAGAGGATGAGATTGTAAGGGCCACAGACCACAAATTGATCAAATTGTGATATGCTCATACTGCCTAATGTAATACATCAACCAATCAGTTCGGTTCCGAAACCCCGATACTCAGCTCCCCCCAAAGTCCGGAGTTTGATCATGACGCAATTCCTTCAGTGGAGCCACGGAGAAGGTAGAAGCATGTTGGTTCCGCGCGGATTTCGCTTGATGAATATAATTAACCCGCGCGGAGATTGATCTGAGATAGTAGGGTAGTATTGGTACACATCATAATATTATCGCTTCTAAAAATTAAGAGAATTTGAAAAGGCCGGAGCACTCGGGCTCCAGAAAGCTTTTCCAAGACCCCGTAAGGTCTCTGAGAACGCAGCGGGTTTTGAGTAAGAAGTATTAGGAGATGATATTGTCTTTGCTAGCACCCCTCTCGGTCTTCTGGGGTATCAAACTGAATATTGATTATGATGATGATGATGATAATGGTTATAATGATAATGATAATGATAATGAAAGAAACATCTTGCTTTTGTGATAAATGCGCTACATAAAATCAAAACTCGTTTTTATGCTTATCGATCTAAGTACACAGTCTAATTTCCCCGCTCGACTAGTACCACCACGTTCACAAATGAGTTTCACGGTACTATCAAGAATGAATCAATATTATAATACTCAAGCAGACACAGCATAATGCGATTCTCCTAACAAAAGATATTGTATCAATAGATCTTTGAATAATGACCTGTGAATAACTTTCCTAAATTTCGAGTTTGAATTCTTGAACATTGCATTCCAAAATGCCAATAACCCAAGGATTTTCGATGCAGATCTTCACGGAGAGAATCATACTAGTAACTACATTATATTCCCCACCTCCTCTCAAGTTATTTCTTCTAATTGGCGACTACAATTGTCAATATCATACTATTCAATGGAATAAAACAATGCTTTAAATAAACAAACCACGATCAACAAGTTGTGTGCGTTTCTTTCTTTCCTAGTGTTCACTCCAACTAAGAGCAAAGTACTGGTCTGATTTGAATTAAATCGGTTCGAGAAAATGAAAGCAGTTGACAATTTGATAGTAACTTTAGAATAAAACAAAAGAATAAGATACTGCGAACGTTACTGACAAAAACTGAAACACGTCTTAAGCACGCGAGGAATGTATTATAGGAAGTCTTCTTACAGAAAGTTCTATATAACGGAACTGAACATTCTTTTCGCTTTTTAATGGCTATACATCTAACTGATAAGATAAATTTTTCATCTTGAGAGCTTTTGATACTAGGGAGGGTAGTCTGGGGATAAGTGTCTCGTCTGACCTTAGTGATTCAGTGAAAAAAAAGGGGGAGAAGTAATTGGGACCCTAAGACACGCTTTATAATAATGTGTACAATGGTATATAGTTATTGGAGTTTCGAATCGATTATTACATCTATTAATTTAAATTATAACAGTCGATCTATTGAAGCACTTGTTACTCCTCTAGAGCATAAAGATCTATCGTCTCGAAGTAATTAACATGTCGGATCAATCCACGTATTGAAAAAGCAGTAGTCAAGACTATAAACTAGAGAGCTCTAGCTTCGACATTAAATTATCAGATTGAATTTATTCAACTTAACGATTCCGCTTTCTAAATGGAAACCCAGAGTCGAGATAGTGTATCGACAACTCATACGGATATAGGCGTGAGATCGACAGCAGTCAGATGTTATGTAGAATGGAATTAAGATACTCTCAGAGTGGGGAGTAAGTAATTCAGAGTCGATCTATTGAATGTTCTCATATTTTTGAACGATTTAGGACATAGGGGGGAGGCTCAAACGGGGTAGAATAATCGTTTAGACAAGCGATTCTCGGTAAACAGAGGCATTATCTTAGAAACTCATTTTATTCGAAGAGCAGATAGATGATGTAAAATCAAATTTCTATAAATCACCAAAAGCGAATATATAATAGTCAAAGGAGATTACGGTAGAACTATTTCTCATTTCCTATTACCTTATCCCGAGAGCTTCCACATCCAGATATAGATACAGTTGAAATCTTCAAAGGTGTACCGAATGACTTTCCGGGATGTTCCATCAGTTGCTATTGCAAAGGATGTTGTTGAGAGGCAATTTGAAGTCGCCCGATCATCCTACTAAGGAATTATTGATAATTCATCATCATATACTGCCAGTTGTTCTCTGATATTTGTTGCACTAGCAACTGAAAACAATGATTGCACGAAGAAGCCTTCAACTTCTTATTCATATAGGAGAACAGTTCGTCTCAAAGCCACTCGGCACTTCTCTCCAAACTAAAAATTATTTTGACTCTTCACTCAGATCCACTCTTATCTTAACATCCTTCTCTTATGATATTCGGTCCTTTCCCCATGATCCTCCATCTTCTGCAAGTTTGTGAGCCCAACATTCACGACACCCCGCCGGCTCCGCTCCCACTGTACAATGCCGTATGTCCGTCTTGACATATCCACCCAAATCGGCCCTTTCCCCGACTCATCCACTATTCCGCTTCTCGGTCCTGCAAGAATATCCGCTCCGCATGCCTATCTCACAAATGCCAAAATATGACACACGGAAACATACATCTACCTGGGGAAAGAACTATATCGGTCCTTTCCCTAAAACACTCAATCCCCAACCTAATCTCTACGGCGCGTACGCCCAACTGTTGAAATCCTCTATACCCACCGGAGTCGGTCCTTTCCCCAATACTTCTGTCATACATAAGACCGTTTTATCTCCAAACCGACTCAATCCGAGTCCAACCGTGAAGGTTGTACAGCCCGTGCCCATTGCGGGTGGAAATCGGACCTATCCCCTGTCCCCAATCCCCGATCCCCAATTCCCTCTTCCACACGCTTCATATTCATGTAAGGAGCACATGTCAAACTCTCATTCTATTGTCTAGGAAAGAATAGGGTTAGGAGTTGAGGGCATGCATCATTCAACATTCCAGCCCTAACAGAATTTTCACCCAAAGCTTGTTGTGTCTCGCAAAATTTTCCACGCTACAACCTTATCCCACTTTTGAGCCCTGGAATCTGAGGACTAGACAATGTTGAGTACCTCAAATTGCGTGGCTCCCGCCCTCAACCCATTTGCCAAGTGATTTCCAACAATCACAGTTGCCGGAAGTTCATCTCTAAGTTCCCAGTCGAACGTACTGGCCGCTTTACGGCGTACGCGCGATAAGTGGTTTGAAAATTGATAGTAGTTTGAAGTCCGAGCGGGAAGCTTCAAAGTTGGTTGAACAGTGCACCGTCGATCTCTCAGCCCGCAAACTTTATTTCAAGCCTTAGATTAAGTCCACAATAGAAAATCAATAAGACATTCATATCCATCACATTGCGAGCTTAGTGTCATCGTTAGTGTTACAACCATAAGAGGTGCATTGAATGAATTCATTAGCGAATTCAAATAGAGTTTCTGCACGCCCGTAGCTTGCACCTTTTCGTGGCTCACCGAATACCAAACATTCGGTCGGGACCGCCACTCTCCTTTGAAAATCAGCATTTTCAGGGTCCATGTTTTCTTGGTAATCCGATTGTTTCCTTGCGATTGTCTGGGCTGCTCTGTTTGGGAAGTTTTATGCCACGGCTGTTTCTTTGGTGTCGAGGATTGGTTTACGATTGTTGGTAATTTATTACCTAGTTAACGGTGCAATCTACTTTGACGCAGACGGGTGAAAGTTAAGAAATCTAGTCGATTTATCTATGCTGGACTCGTTTCAATGACGCCCGAACCCTTAGAGCCCAGTTCCATAGCCCAAGACTCTTTTGGGAGGGTTGGCTCGGTGTCAACATCAATATGGTTATGTTGACTCAATATACTAAATCTGTGGAACAAAATCGACTCGCCAAAACTGTTTTGCGAATGGTGGTTGTACCCAGTGCCCCTAACTAGAGGCGAGGTCACAGCCTACTATCTCCGGTGCAATACACCGCAATTCAAACATCAATGTGACAAAACAAAGCTTTAGGAGACATTTCTTTGTCAGACCGTTCAGGGTCTAATCTGCAAATAGAAAATGTATCCGCCTCCTATATTTTTTGTTCTCTTTGTAAAGCTATAATGAAGATCTTAGTGAAAGTACTATTCTCATGCGCCCCGAGATCTTCAACTCAGCCTCACCAGATCAAAAAATAGATATCAAAAGCTTCTCAGATCGCAATCAATTCTGAACACAGACTTCTCTAGCGTTGAAGATCAGTACTTACTACTCACCGTTGCGTTGAATTTCACAGAGATAAGAAATGTTTCACGACATTGTTTGACATATTGAATTGACTCTACGGTATCAAAGTTCTATTGCACAACATCCTTGACAGCGAAACTGTATCACTCATAGTTTTCTCCAAATCCTGCAAAATGCATGTGTAAGCAGTGGTACTAGATTTATCATATATGCAATTTCAAGGTTGCGCTTGTGTACACCGCGAAAATGCCATTCATTTTCTATGCTGCTTGTTGCTTGGTTATATTCGTCGCGATAAGAGAGTTTCACCACATGCAGAGCGTTTAACCTTCCGTTTTGAAGTTTGTTTGCAGGACTAGAGCGTTTACACCTATTGAAATTGAATAGTGATGAATTTGATATCGATTTTTGAGGATATTAAAGGGGACAACATGATATCGGAACATTAAAGCCTGGTTAAAGGGCTAAGATGTGGTTGTACGTGTCATACAGCAACGGGGTTACACAAAAGGCGTGATCACAAGATCAGCTTCTTTTTCTGATATATTTTCATGGTGAGCACTTGGGGGTAAGAGGTGGGGGAAGGGATGATGATGATGATGATGAGAAAATACTTTAGAGTCAAGAAGAGCGAGTCGCTGAGTGGAGAGGAGATGGTTTCCCCAGATTATCACATATCCGATTCCTATTATCCAGACTGCAGCGGTGGTAAGTTATCAAGTAAGAAAAGACCCCACCATCCCTCCTCTCCCCACTTCTCATCAAAGGGGACAAGAGAAAGTTTATCAGCCGTGCTTCTCGAATAAGAAAAAAATGAAGATATATTGTTTTAGCGTCATGTAGACTAGTATACAAGTGAACATTAATATGACCCTACTTCCTCATTAGGTCACACAAAGAGGTATCTTCGATGCCCCAACAGATTGCCCTTCGGGGCTGACAATTAAAGGGTCCTCGAACCTAGTTGCTATATCAGAGAGATTATATGAACACTCGGGTCCAAACTCAGTACCACGCCTTTGAAAAGTGATAAGAAATTGATACTATACCAATAAGGCCCTGAGAATCATCGGATGGTTTCTTGAGATTTGCTCTTTATTCTCTAGAATTGATAGTGACAGCAGTAGTGGAAGGCAAACCCTTCGTATTTCATGCCCGATGTTATCTTGAGGAAAATCAATATCCATAATGATTATCAATATATCAGTCCATCAATCACCCCATGCCAATGATTGCCAATTAAAGCCCACAATAATTCGTGCAGATGTGCAGATCCAATCACATGCGACATGACTAGTCACTTGGAAATATGCACGTTTGTTAAAATCACTGGATATAAGCCTGTTCTAGATGCATGGCCAAGTTCCTAGGTATTTGATCTAATGAAACGCCATGATAAGAATTTCAGAGATTTTGGTACCGTGACTTTATAAAGTCACGGTACTCGGGGTACACGAGAACGTGACCTTCATCTCATCATGACGAGGACTGACATCTTACGATGTTCCGGTGAGATTCCTACTGGAATAGGGTTTCTCCGTGTCATTCGGATCGGTAGAGAGCTGAAGTTGAAGATAAACTATGTACCGGTACTTCCGGTACCAAGATGCGGCATGGAAATGGGGATATTGTCCGAGATCGTCATATCTCTTCAATGTATATTTAAAGTTTGAACTGGGATGCCAGGTAAACAGGTCCCTACTTACATACCCTCATGTATCATGTACCATGATGATGTATCTTTGTCTCTTGGTCTTTTTGGCAAGATTTGTCAGTTCTGTATGACCCGAGTATGTCACCCCGCATCCTCAATGTAAATTATTGTCCTCTACAGCCAGCAAGATAGTTCGAGGGTTCAAACCGCTTGATAAGTAAAATTACATCATATCAACTAGTAAATAAACGGACTTCCAGATCAGACACTATCTCGACTACACTCTCACGAGTCATGACATTATATCTGACAGCTGCACATCCCTTACTTGGAAGCTACCCCGCATTATCTTGGCACAACTATTCACCACAGAAGTGAAACAGAGGCTTGAAGATATAAAATCTCAGCCAATCAATTCTCCATCCCGTTATTGTACGACGCTGTGTGAAATGACCAGTCATATCTCATATCTCATCTATATCCACATGTCTTACACCATCAGAAACAAGGAGGGGGTGACATGTGAAAATAACGTCTTCCAACGCCACCAAGTAGGACGTCTCAAACGCCTTTGAGAAATTCTCCTAATTCTCCTAATTATCACACCATTTCGTTTTTCTCAAGAGGGGCAAGCGAAAACGCCCTCTACGCCTCTAACCCAACGAAATGGATACGAAAAGCCCGTGGCAATTGTGTTACATAACCCCTTCGTACTACCATGGGGGAAACTCCTCGGGCAATATTCGGAATGGCATGTTATAATTGATGTGCATGTAAAAAAAGCGTGGGATGTGGTATACTTCGTATTAGAATCCTAAACATTGAAAATTTTTCTCCTTGGACATGCGATATGTGTTACTTGAAAATTATATAATTATAGTGGAATGAGATGGGATAGAGATGGAGAAAACCGAGGGACCAATAACCTATCAAACATAATGAACCCCTAAATTTACCGAACACACAGGACGAGACGGGAACATACCAAGCATTTTTCTCTGCCTTCTCATTTCCAAATTCGGGGTTCGCGAAGTCTAGATCGTCTAAAAACAGTCTCTATCAAGAGACCCCCGATATAATCCCGAACTCTCTCAATGATTGTTTACCTATCAAAATCTCTTTCCAAATGCATCTCTTTCCCATCTGCGCCGTTTTTGCATACATAAGATGCGAACTATTGAGAAGCAATTCTTTGCAATGTGCATGCAGATAGATAGCCCATTTCATGCGAGCTGCTCAAAACGAAAAAACAATATATCATATCATCGTACGAGTAATGTAACGGTCAAGACGAATTTAGAATCCGATACCAAGGTATGAAATGGGAGGGAGCGCTTTCGCTCTTCTTGGCTCGTTTTCCGTTCGCCTCTTCGTCGCATTCGTTTTGCCTATCAAAATTCCGACATCGTACATATATCTATAGCAAAGCTATCGGGTATTTGCCACTGCGTATGCAGATATGTCACGCTATTGTTGTTACACGGCGCGTGATATGGCATTAGTACATGCGAGTTTGAATTTGTTTGTAGACGGTTAGTAAGTGGGATGATGAAGTGCAGAGTGTGTGTTACACAACATGAAGAAGATATTGAGCAGGCAAACTTGCATGCAATTCAATGGTTTGGATTGGCATGCACTGGAAGATTCTCGAAAATGTGAAGATATACTCTTCTTGGTATGACACAAACCAAACTTTGGTTAAATATGGATAATGTATAGGTATGACTTGCAGTTAGGTTATACATGTCTGTATGCACTGCGATCATGTCAATAGAGTGCACCGAATTTAGCTATTCTTCTTAGGATCATCTAAAATGCGCTTCCATCTCTGGAGAAACGTCAGCTTTACCCGGTAGAGCACCCCGAAACTCGATCAACCTATACGAGATGAAATCAGAACCGGCAAGTAAGATGAGAGAGTCAACGACATTCTGAAATCGATCCCAACCACAGCCTACAGACTCCATCAATCGCTCCCGTATTGACCCATCCATCAAAATCATCGCCTACATTTCCAATTTTGCCCCACGCTCCTAGTCTCCCGCGCGCAAACCCACACACAAGAAGAGTTTCGAACCTCATTTTATTTCATCCTATTCTGTACCAAGAGGCTGAGCTTCCATATATGTTTCATCACTCATATTTCATTCAATTGTGGATCAAGGCCAAGAATAGGCGCTTGACATCCTTCCACGAGTAACGTTCTCGGGCCACCAGTAGGCGGCAACACAACCACCCATGAAGAGTGGTGTTTTTGTACGAAAAATCCCCGACGCAACCTGTATGCGGCCGGCCTCGGAGTGATTCTATGTTCCGCAGTATCAGGAATGATGGTAAGTAGTACGATGGTACCTGTTGGTATGTACAACAGTCGAATGGATGTGATGTGATGTACATTGTCATGTAATTTCAAACCGTGCACGGTTATCGAATTTTTGGATCGATCAATAGAGAGGAGGTCTAAAAGGACGAAGAGATTTTCTTTTACAATATCGCTTTGGACGAGTGCCAATGTCAGAGATTTCCGAATCCATGACTGCTCTCTGAAAGTCTGTCAACCGTACCTAGATAACGTGACATCGAAGGCCTTCTCATTGCCGGGTTGTCTATGGCCCATCCCAAGTGCACCTCAAATCTTCACCAAGCCCATGCAGCTCTTCTTCTCCACCGCGCGGAAGCTCAAAATGAAATTACCTGCCGTAATCACGTCACGGTTCCTCCAATTTCATCCTCAAGTTTCTTTCATTTGATATCCCACTTATCGCTTATCTCTAGACGAATCTAGATCTAAAGAATTAGGTTGTTGTCTCATAACGGCGCTTAACTTTCTTCTTCTCCCTTTGTCAAATACTATCAAGTAAATATAAATACGTACCTAACACAGTTCTATAATAAGTGTTTCGGGTTTCAGATGATGGGGAAAGTACTAAGTTAGTGTATGAGGCGCTTAGGGAATTCTGTGTTGAAGATTTGATGATGGATTTTGATCGATTGCGGCGTGTTTATGTACAATAGATTTTGAATGTAAAAATGTAAAAATTTGCCTTAAGAAATGCATCTTGTGAACAGTATGAATACCGAGACACCAATGATATTATCATAACAATGCCATCCAGACCTCTCGGACCAGAGGTCATCGTGGCCTCTTTCCTCACTCCCGGAGGTCAAGATCCGTACCGTAGACTCGTCACTCCTTCATCAACCTCACCAAGAACTCTATACATCATACCCACAATCCCATAACCATCCAGCATGCTCGAACCCGTGACCATCTCCGTGACCCAAATACCAAATAAGCTATAATATTGATCCTTAGATCCATATGGCGGCTATCTCCTCCGGGCGGGTTCTAACCGCAAAATCTGGGGTAAAATTAACTGGCAACCTGGATACTTCCTTTTCTTCCATCTTCCTTCCTCCTACCATCAATCCTATGATCTTTAATGCCCCAAAAATTGTTTCCCGTTATAGAAATCACGGTCAAAATTTTAAAATCTATTCAACAAAGATATACTTTCAGTGCTAAGATACTAAACTGAGCGCTTGAATGATACCGAGAATGTACGTGAATTAGTGTCTGAGCTCAAAGAACGGTACATTGATGCCAACATGCGGGGTATGGATCTTTTTCGAGTCTAGAGAAGGAAAAGGTATCTTTATGCAGAAATGAAACGGGAAATGTCTGAGGGACGTGGCAGTGTAAGAGGAAATATCAATTGAGTTTGAAGATACGATCTTTTGCCGTGGGGGTCATGAAGTTTTAGAATGTTGATCTCAACTTTCGTGATAGTTTAGTGAGGATTAACCTCTCAGTGGTACCGGTACGATGGTAACCCCCCTTTGCCACTAGTAACGGTATGACAGATACCAGATTGATAACGAAAAAAGCTGTTTCTGGATTGGTTTGACATATTGATAAGATGAAAGTAAATATCAACAATCAGTATAGCCAATTACTTAGTCAGAGAGTGTGTGGCAATTACAAGACCATAGCTTCTGAACCGCGCCAGAAGCATACTACACTAACTCCAATATTCATCAATGCTGAGGCCACTTACTTTATTTTCGCCTCCTGTTCTCCATGTAATCTTCAACCAACCAAGTTAACCTACCTGTGGCCCACTTGTACCCTCTGACGGTTCTCGGAATAGGAACAAAAGCCAAAGCCCGAGCAAAGCTAATCAACAACTGTTCAACAATAGTGTTATCTGCAATACTACCAGCTACTAACTAGTATAGAAATCAATGCTGAAAATCTTGCCAGTGGCAATGATATCCAGTCTGCTTTCGTGCTAAAGTACCCCGAGTAGCCAAGGAACGATCAAAAAAAAGTCGAAATTCGGGGTCCTCCATTCTCCGCTCTCCATATTGATATCTTCAACTTTGACCACTGGTTATTGATATCAGTTTGTAACCCTATTCAAGGTGGATGCCTTGACGATGCAGAAAGGTACTTCCTTTCCTCATCCATCTGGACAATGGAAAACCCGGGGGCTCGAGGAATAATCAACCGATATGTATTCTCGGTGACTAGTAGCCATCTACAAGCAAGTAAGCAAACATACACACAAGTTTCAAGATTTCAAATCTGCAAGAAGCAAAAAGGAAATCTTTTTGGAGTAAGGGAGATCAACAATACCTATACTCTCTTCGTACCTATCGTAATGTCGATCCGATCTCGACCAAAAGAACCACTGGTACCGACGTCAATATCCCTATAAAAATTAGGACAAAGATTTCCATCCCGCACTCTAAGTCACGACGCAAAAATGGATCGGTAGTCCCGGATACTTGGTCCCTCTACCTAGTTTTTGCTAACTCGCGGCTGTGATCTTGGCAGGGACGTTTCCCGTTTGAATTCTTATTTATGTATTTCTAATTACTATTACAATTATTTGAAGATCAATCAACAGCTTAGAACAAATCACCACCAACCCAAGATCAATCATTACTCTACTGAGTGTGTTCTCTCCCTGTCCTGACCGTCGATCTCTAAGATCGGTATCCGTTTCCCATCAAAAATCGATGGAAAAAGAAAAGAAATTAAACATGGGATTAACTTTCCATAACTCCTGAAGATCTGATCTACCGAATTTTAGAATTTCCCACATGTTCATGATGTTTCCCGTCTTTGATGTTCTCATCGAATTTTGATATTTGGACTTTGCGATGAGCTGATACATCGGTACACATGGTAGACATTCATCGATTTGATTGAATGATTCGATACAAGATGATAATGACATCATTTTTCTTAATTCCTTCAATTCCAAACCCCCACCTACCAGATATAAAAAGAGAAGCTCGGAACCCGGCGGTCATGACCTGACCACCTGGAACAAGCCTCACCCACAATACTCGTTTCGTCTGAGTACCTGTGGCGTTGAACAAAGCTTCAGGGGTTAAGACCTTTTAGACACCTCATCAATTTTTGAAGGATGATTGAGGAGAGACGATTTAGACTTGATTTATAGATCGTTCAATTATCTCAAACCCTCTTTTTGATGCTGTCAAAAAGCTTCATCATCTTTATCAGATCCCTTTATGTTCTCCAATCCACTCCATCTTTCCCTCCCTTCCACATGTAGCAAGTAACACTTGATTAGAGATATAATTTTTTATCTATTACGAGGATACGATCATACGAATGCACGATATCTCCACCTAGACTAAGTCAGGATCTCACTGGCCAACATTGACTGCATAAATCCCAACTAGTCTCGCTCATCCATGTCCAATCAAACCCAATCCATGCACCAAGAAAAGAAAAAAAAAGAAAAATCAAGGAAATCGCACGTTCTCGTATGCTGAAATAGGCGAGAATTTGGATAGGACTAGAGATATGGATGGGATTCTAGAATTAGCCAATCATTTCTATTATGGGAATTGTGAGAGGTCTAGAGCGAATCGATCGAGGGAATGATAGGATTGGTATGTTGATAATTTTAAAGAGGGAAATTTACGAGATGGAAGAGAAGAATTCGAAGAATTTTTTCCATAAACAATGCCCAGTAATTGAACGGCTGGATACTTCCAGAGAGCTCATTCATATTGATGCAGTACATATCACGAGATAGTTGAGCAATGCTAGTTGGTTGAGACATCAGAATAGAAAGCGGTTTAACATCGTATCAAGGTGCTTCCAACACTTCTTTAACCTCACCGCCATAAAGGCAAATTCGCAACGCAACGCAGAGTACACAGATCATAAAACCTATACCAAGTAACCAAGGTTTCATGTGTATGTACGGAGCATGTATGTGTATGTATGTATGAGAGTTGGGAACTTGGGGTAGAACAATAAATACCGTTGAGAATTCTCATCACGATGATAATAATTCTGCTGAACCGTGCATTTTCTTTTGGATGATACCCCACGATGATCTTTCCTATAATTAATTTCTTCATCTCCATCTCGATTCTCCTTCTCCATCTCCTTCTCCATCCACTCCACTCCACTCCACTCCCGTCGTCTTAGACTTTTTCGGAGAAAAACTCCTCTCCCGTCGAAACTCGAATGATGAATCTGTCTCTCTCCTCTTCCAACTTCCAACCCACTCCAACCCCTAAATTTCAACTTCAAAAAAATAAGCAATCGAAACGAAATTACAGCGTCGTATGCTCATTGCCCGTCCCAAAAGTGCTCACATACCCATCATCCCGATGCATCGCTATCAAACCAGCACCAGCACGCACACCAACAACCAAACGTGCCTTGGAACATTCAACTCGAGACTCGCCCTCGCGTAAACTTTCTTTTTGCTACACCACGCTTTTCCGCTCCCAGCCAGTGCCAGCCGCCAGCCCGTCCGGAAATCCGCGCATGGACGAACTTTGAAGGAAGCCCACGTTGCGCTACTTCCCTAGACATCCAGCATTACAATTGACAACAGCCATTGCAAATTATAAGACTACACTCACGATGTAGTACATATAAGACAGTAACCAGCCCTCCCCCCAAAAAATGAGGTCATGGTGACTCGTGCACGCGTTACCATTCTAATACCTATGCCACGAACTAAGCATCCCAGCAATTTCTTAACTTCACGAGGTTATCTCTCGATATCGTCTCAGCGTCTCCAAATGTCTTACTCTCATACTTCCCAGTGCGAGCCTAAAGATGGAGACTGCTTGTTCTCACCACGAAAAAAAAAAAAGGGCTGTGCTGAGTGAGACATTACAATACATACACACATAATCAAAAATTGGAGACGAAGATTGCGAAATCCAGAGTATGTACTGCACCGCTTGAGAATCGAGATATACTCCGTACAGGGATGGATATCATTTGCATGCTTGAATCGTAGAATTGGGGAATTTATAGGCTGGGCTAGGCTGGGCTGGGGGGAGAGATGGATATGGATCTGGTTATGGATGTTCCAGAGTACATACAGGGTAGGTAGGTAGGTCTAGGGATGAGGTGAGGTGAGGTGATTACAGAGTCGTAATTAGATGTGTAGCTAGGGTAGCTATTGAACTTTATGAAATCCATGCTCATGGAGTCATGGTGAGCTAGCTTCCCTCCTTACCAATCGATCAATTGATCAATTGATCCATCTATCGTGTAACCACGGAGCCAGACGGGCTGGGCTCACATAGTATCAAAAGTTTCATTTTACAGTATTTCCAAAGAAAAATAAAAATCGCATTGAAGATAATTATAATACGATAGAATCTTACAGGTAGTTGAATATCCCTACATAATCAAATCGTACATACTACGTACAGCATCTTCTATGACTACTTATATACATACATACATACTGCAGGTCTTCCTCGCATCACTACAGGATCGATAGATAAATGACCATCGAATAGAGATTCAATATCACGAATGAATAGGAACTACCTATATCACACATCACATATAGCATAGCATTTCAAAACTCAAGATAAGAACCCCTCCCATCACATCTCGGAGATGAAGGTTCAAAATCAGGTAGGTTGAAACGTCGCAAAAACGGGAGAAAACCTACTAGTATTATCTCGTATATCCATACCTATCTACATCTATCACGGTTTTTCTCCTTCCTTTCTTGCTTAGAAATCCCATACTTTATTCAATATTTCCATTTCCATACAATCCCCGTTTCCATACCTATCTAAATCCCAATCCCAATCCCAATCTAAAATGAAAATTTCATCTACCCGCCCGCTTACCTACCATACCATACCAATTATTCAATCCCTCTTGGCGGCGTTTTTTCCACACTATACATGATAGATACTAAACATACCATACCACACCACCGCAAACCATGCATACCTCCTCGTACTACCTCCCAAATTCCAAGCTACCACCCACCCATCACATCACATCACGGCATCTCCTATCCGTGCCAATGCCGATACGATGATATGCTATGGTATGTATGGTATGGTGTGATGAATGTCGTGCTAGTATAGTATGTATGTACTACCGATATGAAACTGCGCGGGCTGGATAAATCTATTCCGGGTTCCGGGTGCGGTTGGTGGATTTTTGGGGTTTGTTTTTTGGGGGGGGGGGGGGCGGGGGGGAGGTGGTATGCGTAGTCAGCATGTAAATACATCCATAACAATTATTATTGTTATTATAATGATTACTATCTTTATTTTTCTTGCTCGGGATCGGACTGTGGTAGGAGATCAAGAGTTAGCTAGTCAACTATCTATTCAACTATCTATTCAACTATCTATTCAACTATCTATTCAACTATCTATTCAACTATCTATTCAACTATCTATTCAACTATCTATTCAACTATCTATCTAAGTATCCAAATCCAAGTATCTACAATAACCTCCTCCCTCTACTCCCCTCTACCAACACAGCTATCCACTCTCGTTAACTCTCATTAACTTCCGTCAACTCGGGTTTACTCCATAGCTGAGAGGATATACATTTCTTTACCTTTCCGTTTCGGCTTGGGGTTCGGCTTCAGGTTCGCTTTGCTTCCGTAAAACGTAATGCGGCTCCCCAAGCAGAGAGAGAGAGAGAGAGAGAGAGAGAGAGATTCGCGAAACTTCTTGATGCGTAGTCGAGTCGCTTGTATATCGGGGCCCTAGGAGTATGCAATTTGTAATTTGGGGAGGGAGGGGAAGGGGAGGGGAAGGGTGGATGTATGTATGTGATTACTACATGTTAGATATACTACTACATATCTATTGCTTGGTTACATATGCGTATGTTGAATTTTGAGATGAAGGGGGGGGGGGGGGGGGGGGTTGTATACAGATTATTTACCTACCTACCTACATATATACATGTATACATGTATACAAATATATGTATAAAAAAATTCTCTATTTCCCATCCATCTCATCCGCGCCTCACCCGCACCTCCGCGTTCAAGGATTTCCCTATCTCTCATTCTCATTCTCATTCTCACTCTCATTCACTCACTGCGAAGTATGTTTTTCATTAACAACTAACACTAGCCGCCTACCTACCCATCCCCACTATCTGATCCCAACCCATTGAAGTTGAGACTCCGAAGTTTCCGAGTTGGGATAGGATATGATATGGGATAGGAATTAAGTTTAGACTTTTGCGTAAGATGCGTAAGAAAGTAATGAATACCTACCTACCTACCTACCTACTCTCGAGCTACTCTCCAAAAAAGAAGAAAAAACTCATTCTCAATTCTCAATTCTCAATAGAGATAGGAGATAGATACTCGAGTAACCTTACTACGCCGGGACTCGGGTCCTCGGGTCCCGTGATATACTAGTAATCATAATCATAATCATAATCATTCTCGAAATTTGAGGTTGAGATGTAAATGTGGAGGTGAAGGTCTGGTGGGTGTGTAAATGTGATTAAGTAAGTAAGTAATGATCCACCCATCTATCCATCTATCCATCCATCTGTCGTCAAAACCTAGAGCTCAAATCAAGCGCTCGCTTTTGTGTTGGATACCTAGGTAGGTATTTGATGTCTGAAATTTGATGAGTGATTGAGCGATTGAGCAAGCGATTGATTGAGGATCCACTATTTTTCGTTACCTAGGTACTTACTGTGTAAATATGGTGTATGGGTAGGTGGAAAGCTTGGATGGGATGGATGGATGGATGAGATGGATGGGATGGGAAATAGATGATGATTATGATGTGAGTGAGTGAGTGAATAGAGTAGTGAAGTTGAGTTCAGTGGGTGAATTTGAGTGAAGGAGGAAGGTCTTCTGCTGAGGAGGTGGATAGGCAGATGAAGAGTTGGAGAGTTGGAGAGGTGGAGAGAGGATGGGGATGGGGATGGGGATTATTTGGATAGGGTTTGATATGGAGTATGGAGTATGTATGATGGCGTATATATGACTGGAGTCATATATGCTGGAGTATATATGATGGAGTATATATGATGTGTAGTCAGATGGTAGGATATGTAGATTGAATGAAGAGAGATACCTGGGCTACTTGTAATCTACACTCTGATTTTATTAGAAGATATATATAAAGATATAATGATATATATCATCACATAAACATAGCAACTATTCGAAACTCTAATACTCACCTATTCACCTATCTATCTATCTGTTTATCTTCCTTATATATTCTTCTCCTATTTAAATCATTATCTATATATCTATCTATTATAAAAACAAAATATATCCCATAAACTAAATCATTCATTTAACTATTACTACTACTATTACTACTACTATCTAAAACATAGTATTATATTACATTATATTTCTTTCGCTATATAAATTTCGGAGCGTTTAATATTTTCGATTATTTCTATTATTCTATTATTCTTATCTTAATAATTAATAGAAATTATAAAAGTAATAATAATTTTCTTTTATAATCTTTCTATATTTTCATTTAGATTATTATTTAAGTTTTTATAAGATTTTTTATAAGGTCTTTTTTTAGTTTTTTATCTAATTTAGTTTTAGATTGTAGTTTAAATTATTTAGATTATTTCAAATTTCAAATAGAAAATAAGAACAAAAAAAATTGAATTTGAATTAGAATTAAAGTTTAAATAGAATAATGATAATAATAAGCTTTTAGCAAGTCTTTAATAATTCTTTATTTTTCTAATTCTATATATATATATAGAAAATATTATATAATTATATATAAATTGAATTCCTAAGTATTAAGAATATAATTAATATATATTATACAAACCGCATGGTCTTAGTATAGCTATATAGACCGAATCGATTATGAATTTACTACTACTACTACTGCTATACAAAAATCCCGTAAAATCTGATGTATAAGTTTCTTTTGCTACACTCCGAAACAAATCATTACCTACCTATATCTATCTATCATAGAAACAAAACCTATCCCACAAACCAAACCGCTACCTAACTCCCACTCCCACTCCCACTCCCACTCCCACTACCACCATCCAAAACACAGCATTACATTACATTTCGATACATTTCGCTACCTACACAAATACTCCCCCTCCCCCCTTCAAAAAAAACCATTACTATCACTATCACCATCAAAGACTCAAAGACTCAAAAACTCAAGCTCTTCCCTGCTCATCCCTCCCTCACCCTCCTCTACAATATACCTACGCCAAGCAAGAAAACAAAAACAAGCCACAATGGGACACGAAAATCAAGGATTTGCTATGCATGAGCTGGGGTTGTGACAGGGAAGGTTGGGGTTGATTGATGAGGGTTTTGGTAGGGAGAGAGAATGGATTGTGTGTTTGTTTGGTGGTCTTGAGTTTGGATTATGGATTATGGATTATGGATTATGGATTATGGATTATGGATTATGGATGGATGGATGGGGTATTGAATGGGGTATTAAAGTAAGAGAACAAATACAGCAGAAGAGAGAAAGAAAAGATAAGAAAGATAAATAAAAAGAGAAATCGAAAATAGTTTTTTATATATTTATTTTATTTTATTTTATGGATATGTAAGATTACATACTTGATATATATTCCATTTATATTGCAGAGAGGAGAGAAGGGAGATAGACAGACAGATAGATAGTTTCATTTATTTATTTATTATTAGTTATGTATTTATTTATTTTATTTATTTATTTATTTATTCATTCATCATTCATTCATTTCATTCATTCATTCATTCATTCATTCTTTTTTTTCTCGAGAAAATTATGGAAAGGGAATGAATGAACGGGTTTACAGTTCATTTTTGCATATTGAAGTTTTTTTGTACGCACAGGGTAGGAATGGAAGTACAGTATCGATGCATGTGTGTTTTTTGTAGAGATAAGATAGAAAGTTTATATATATGGTGGGAGGTGTGTGTAGGTATTAAAGGGTTTGAGAGTATGTATGTATGTTTCATTGTGTGTTTTTTTGGATCTGTTTAGTGGAGGTTTGAGGTTTGAGGTTTGAGGTGGGAGTGATGGATGGATGGAGGGAGGATGGATGGGGCCATGGAGAAGAGACAACGGAGATATTGGGTTGGGGATGTGATTGATTGATTGATTGATTGATTGATTGATTGATTGATTGATTGATTGATTGATTGATTGATTGATTGATTGATTGATTGATTGATTGATTGATTGATTGATTGATTGATTGATTGATTGATTGATTGATTGATTGATTGATTGATTGATTGATTGATTGATTGATTGTTGATTACTACTTGATTTGTAATGATGGGATGTGATGATATGGATGAAGTGTGGAATCTATCAGAAATGAGAGTTGTTCTTCAAGTGATGGATAGATGAATGGATGGACATCAAGATAGATGAAGAGGTTAGATGAACCGGTTCATACGCCATTGGAAGAATAGGTAGATAGATATCGTAGATGGATGAACAGAAAGATAGATATCCCACGCCACTCACTCACGACCCATCCAAACGACAGCTTGTGAAGAAAATGGCGAACGAGAAATGTTCGCACGGAAATGTGCATGGTGGATTGGGTATGGGATGGAGAATGGATACGTCCCTTTCGACTTCGTACTGACCTACTTCGTCAGGCTTTCCCCTCTTTTTGCCAACTCGTCGAATGGAGTCGAGATATCCTCTTTCGCGCATGGAAAGGGAGGGGATTGATCCAATGAGTGAGTGACAGAACAGTGGTTTTCATACAGTAGTTTGGGTAGAGATACTGCTGTCTATAAGGTTTGCTTTCTGATGTGGGGATTTGGGGGGTGGAAGGGAAGGGAAGGAAGGGAGAGAGGATTGTGGCGATGAGTTTTGATGGTTGATGATGGTTGATGATGATGTTTTGATTGAGGATTGGATGGATGGATAGATGGATAGATGGGTGGGTGGACTTGGTTGAGTCTGACTGAGTTTCTCAATATGTTCAGGCAGGGTAGGTTTGGTTCGTGGACGATGGACGGGAAGAGGTGGTAATCATACATCGTACATTAATTGATGTAGCATACATACATACACATATACATACATGCGCAGTCTATACATCCGCAGTCCATACATCCATCTTACATATCCTCTTCAACGAAATTCATCCTCTGTCCAATGTATTTGTTCAAGGATGGGCTCCACATATTCAAGGGCGATTAAATGCCTGCTTGCTTCACAGTGCGAGTCGGCGTCAAATTTGTGCAAGATGGATCGAGGGAGGGTAATCTTCAATGCCCTCGTTTCCACAAGGAGTTTGAGGTCGATGTTGAGAGTGATCGTGCCCTTGAATCCATCCGCTTGCCGCACTCGTCCTCTGGTTTGATTTGGAGGAGGCATTGTTTTGTTGATTAAGTGGAGTGTAACATGATGGCCAAGATATCAATGCTACGGATAGATAAAGTCAAATTGGACGAATGAAGAGATGGGAGAGAGGATAAGGAAAGATTTTATCATTCGATATTACTGAAATGGTCTTGCGGACACGACAGGATTTCGCTTTGGCTCATTTGGGTATTGAAGAAGCATCTCCGACATCTCCAATATCTATCGACCCTGTGTCTATACCTACATGGTAATCTGTGCCGACTCGACTCTTTAGTCGCTCCCAGATTCTCCGGATTCTTTTCTACTCTTTTTATTATTGTGTAAGTGTATCTGTCTGTGTACGTGTATCTGTCCAAGTCCATCTCTCGTGCCAAAATAGTTCCTCCAAATAGTTTCTCGACCAAGAAAGTATCAAATATCAGTGCACCACACCAACAGAATCAAAGCTCTCCAACTCCAGATCCAATGGCAATATCCAATTCAACCCCCCATCTAGGAAAATGATAAGATGCCAGCATCCAGCATCCAGCATCCAGCATCAAGCGTCAAGCGTCAAGCATTAAAATATTCCCACCATGTTACCTGATTTGATTATATTATAATCAAGGTTTAAACTTAATAAATCAAAATCATGATCAATGACTATCTGGTGGTAGTGAGCAGTGAGTGCCAGTAACCAGTAGCAGTAACCAGTAGCAGTAACCAGTACCAGTCTCGAGCCAGTAATGGTACCATATCCATCTATTTTATCCCACCCCCCTCTTTCCTTCCCCTCCTCTCTCTCTTTTTGTCTCTCGAGTCTCTTTCTATCTATACCAATTCCAGACTGGGGTATCGTATATCTGGAGATCAATATTTATTTAGATAGGTATGCATTCATAAAAATAATACTAAACTAACATAACACTAAAATAACAACAAAATAAAATAAAATAAAAATAAAAATAAAAACCAATTCACCTCAATCTAACCCAGCCAAGCATTAAATTCATCATAACCTTGACCCGCCTATCCGCCAACATCACATCCATCCAACTAAGAAACTCTCCACCCACTTCAGATTCAAGGTTTCGGCTCGCTGGGATCCTGGTTCAACAAACATTTTTTGAGTTTCTTATTATTTTTGTGATTTTTACAGCCCAGCCAGCCAGACAGCCAGACAGCCAGCCTGCCTGCCTGCCTGCCTGCCTGCCTGCCCGCCCGCCTGCGTAGTATTCCTCCTCGTCTTCCTCCTCCTTCTCCTCCTCCTTCAATGCTCAAGTGGTTAAGTGCTCAAGTGGTTAAGTGCTCAAGTGGTTAAGTGCTCAAGTGGTTTAACTTGAAGCTGGTTAAGACGATTGATTAGCTTCCTCTTTCTCCTTGCCTTCTTTTTAAACCTGGTCGTGCTTGTAACTTGTCTACTTCTTGCCGGCTTGTCGACTTGTCTTGACTAAACTTAGTCTTTCATCCAATTCAGTTATCACTCCCACCCCATCCCGTTTTATCCTCTCTCTCTCCACACACACACATATACATACATACATACACCCTCCTACCCACTCATCACCCACCATCCACCACCCTACCACCTACTTATCTAACTCAATCTATCCTCCACCCATCCCATTAAATTCCAAATCTAGGCCAACGCCAGCCTTTTCGACTAGATAGACCATCATCCTACCTACTTACTACCATCCATCCACCATCTATCTATCTATCCATCTATCCATCTATCCATCTATCCATCTATCCATCCATCGATTTCCTTCCTCCAACCATTATCAACATCAACATCAACATCACCCACCAACTGATTTCCGAGGATTCTACTTTCTTTATTCTCTCAAGAAATCCATCAATTAAATCCACCTCCAGTTTTTTATTTTGATTTTCTTCTTGGAAGGAGAGTGCAAGAGAGAGCGAGAGAGATATCCACACGAATCCCATCGGAACCCGGGAACAGCAAGAAAGCAAGAAAAATAAAAGACGAAGAAGTTTGAATGAATCATCTCATAATCAATTTGTTATTTGCTTAATTTGATTGATTGATTGATTCATTCATTCATTCATTCGTATTCTTCTGCATACAATTAATAATTCTTGCAAGATCGTCCATTCAATCATTCCCATACACCATAGCATCTCCGTACAAATCACCGCATAACCCTACTTCCCGTTCCTCCTCAAATATCCATCACCCCATACCACAAAAGCACACCACTTTCCAACTGCATTCAACAACATCAAGCACAATCACAATCACAACCACAACCGCAACTACAACCGCCACCGTTTACCTCGAGAAAGAAACGGATTGTTAAAAAGTCACCATCGAATTTGAGACTTTTCACATCTGAGACCTTGGACGAAGATTTAAACATTACCTACAGCCACTCAACATTCCCATTCGAGACACTCAGTGAATAAACTTTTAACGCCTCCAAATCAAAGCTTCGCCGCTTTCCTCATCAAGACTGACTTGGATTACGAACCGAAACCGGACAATAATTTCTCTACGCAATCAATAAAATCTTTCCCATCTTCCGGATATTTTTGGGGGGAGAGAACGAAAAGCTTCTCGAGTAGTTGCTTCCATCAATCGAAAAAAGATTTCATCCATCAGATTTAGACAAGAACGAAATAGCTGGAATACGCATTTGTTCTTTCTGATCCGACTCTTTCTTGCAATCCCGGAGGTATTCTTTTTTGGGGCATTCTGGGGTATTGAAGAAAATATCCCATTTTCTAAATATGTAAGTTCACATAAAAAAAATCCCCCCCCCCCTCCCATATCCTATATCAACAACATCACCACGCAGTAGTACCAGTTCGATTGCATCAAATCTGTCTGCGAAAAAATTACCTACATGACACATGCACTCTCTCCACTTCATCCATACATTCATACCACGTTTCTTAAATATCCTCTTTTTTTTCTTCCTTCCCTTCGCTCATGCAAGAGTGAGAATGTAGCTGACCATTACTTTGCCCCAACCAACAGTCCACAATTGTTAAGGATTCATTGGAATTACTTTTCAATACTTAATGATAAGCAGAAACTAGGATTGCTACCTTCGACAAACACCCCTTCACATCGCTCAGTCGAATAGTCTTTTACCCAACCTATCCATTATCTTGCCCGAGCAAGATCAGAACGAAATCAAGGTTATCCAACAAACCTTTACACGTCGTAGGATGCCTTACACTCCACCTTCCCAACGGTCTCCTGCCACCTCTACCACTCACTCCCCTGCCGTCTCGAGACGCTCTTCATATCAACTTAACCACCCAACCCCATCTCCCAGACCAGAGTTGCCCAGATCCACTTCCTACCTGACTAGACACAGACGTACGCCTTCGGTTAAGTCGACAGCTTTCGCACCAACACTAGAGCCAACCCCCCCTGGTACAGCAGATGGGGAGAAGGGTCCCAGCCATGATACAAATAGCAGCTTGATTGCCTCGAGCAGTCTTCGAAAATCACCCCCACCTGTAACGGACGAAACCAAGATGCCTATCGGAGTAGTCATGTCACCACCAGATTCCACTCAGAACTCTGATGAAGAGGATAATGGGTTGAGAGGGAGGAAGTTGGAGAACCTCGAGGAGTTGCAAGCTGCCATTAGAGTTATCGAACAGCACCGAGAGAGCTCACCCAAGAGAGCGTCATCGGAGATTCAAAAGCTTACCCAAGCCATATCACTTCTACCTATCAAGGATACAAAGGATCTGAAAGATAAGCCAACGTCGGAACACGTCGAGACCACTCAACCTCCGAGGAAACTTCAACATCAAAGATCGAGCACTGAAACAGTCTTCCTCGACTTTAGAAACAACCCCAACAATCAGTCAGCACCAGAAACACCCACCACAGGATCTGATGATGAAATGAGTGAAGATGAAGAGGCAATGATTAGAAGGAAACCTCAGATGCTCAGAAAGAAATCCGGAGAACTCGTTCGACCAGCTCTTCGACCATCTTCTGCCAGAAGACGTCCATCATCCATGCCTGGTACCCCTACCTTCTCCAAGGCGGTTCACTTTGATTCACATCTTGAACACGTCCGTCATTTCCTTCAAGTCGATCGACCTCTCGCGGTCAGTGCTGGCTCCTCTCCTGTCGAGGCATACGAAAGTGATTCCGAATTCCCATTCGGTCATGAGGAGGACTCCAACAACAGAGGACCACCATTCGAATGGGAGATTGTTATCTCTAACTTTCCTCCAATGACCCCACAAAGAGCTGCTATGCCCATCAGAGTTGAGAGAGTCTTCTTATCGGCAGACAACAAGAACTTGATCGGAACTGTCGCTGTTACCAACTTGGCTTTCAACAAAATGGTTGTTGCTAGATTTACATTGGATTACTGGAAGACCACATCGGAAGTCGTTGCTGAATACAACAATGACATCCGTCAACCAAAACACAATGACGGATGTGATCGTTTCAACTTCAACATCAAACTTGCTGACCAAGCAAACCTTGAAGCAAAGACCATGTTCTTTTGTGTAAAGTATTGTGTCAACGGTGTGGAGTACTGGGACAACAACAACTCTACCAACTTCCAGATTGATTTCCGAAAGAAGGCAAAGCCACAAAATGGAAAGAGAGGCTCACCAGCAGCAGCATCAAGATCGGCCAACTCATTACCGAGAAGTAACAAGAAGTCGCCGCCAGCTTCTTCAAAGAAGACGCCAACCTTTGACGACTTCTCTAATGACTTTGATTCGAAATATTTGAGTACCAACTTCAAACTGCCTGTCGCAGATTACCTTGGAGATTCAAATACAGTAAGATTGAAGGGAGTCAAATCTGCTGTTACCTTGGCATCTGATAACCGCAGCCGACGTGCACCAATGAACACGAACGCAGCTGGTGGTCAAGCTTTTGGTCACAGATACGACTTCGGTGCTTCACTTAATGCTGCCATTAGTGCTGCCAACTCTTCCCTCGGTGACAAGAGTGGTATTACGATGAAGTCAAAGAGACCTGCACCAATAAGTGAACCGAGAAAGTTTATTGATCACGATGAACAAGTATCACCACTTTCAATGCAAGCTCCCAAGACTTTTCACAATACCACCCCATCCAAGCCTTTACCTTCAGCAAAGACAAACAGCAGTGGAACAGATTCGCCAAGACCCGTTGGTACTGAGAAGCCTGTACTGGCATCACAATCATACAATGAACTTCTCGACAAGTATTGCTTCGTACGTACCAACGAACACCACTGGGCCAACTAAAGGATTGAAGCTAATTGAATATTGTATTATAGTTTGGGTCAGTGAAGAACTCGCCACAATTGAAGGATGGTACTGCGAGGTCTGGTCAATATGATGGAAACAATGATGATGGTTACCTTTTTGGTTCTGCCGAGTCTACTGCGAGCAACTCACCAATCACCATGGCACACATTGATAGTCGACCTTCGCCTCATTCATCTGGAGTAAGCCCTCAAGGTACTCGTTCTACATCGCCTGCTCCTATGACAGGCTTTGTTTCGGGTACGTCTTCGATGTATCCTTACCACATGCATGGTGGTTTTTCTTTCAACGACGCTCATGCAGCAACAGCAATCCGAGGTTGAACAATTTTCTATGATGATTCAAATCACTGAGTCGATGAAAACGATAAAATGCCCCTATTTACGATGACGATCATGAGAATTCTGATCATGAAACGAAAATCTAATTCTTTCCCAAGATACTTGTATCATTGATGGATCAAATGAATCACCTCTTAATTGAGTTGTGATTCTTTTGTCTCATTACAAACCTTTTCCCCTCTCGACTGTTAATATATCTCTCTCTCCTTACGAATACGACCTTCTCAATTCATATTTGTTTAGCATTTTTGCAAAGGGAGATATTTGGGCAGCATGCGAATGAAGGGAAAGTGGGTCATACTTTTATGATCCTCTTGCTTTAACATTTTGCTTTTGTACTTTTTAGCGTTCCTACTTTTTCATTGGGTGGTTGCGTTTTTTTCGTTTCTTGCATGTCCTTTATTTTCGATGCGCTGCTACCTACTACTGGTTCACATTGGTCTTGGTCTGTTCTAATCTTTCGGACGGACCCGGTTATCTTAGACTTTGGAGTTTATTTGCTTTGGGAATTTGGTCGGTAAATTGTTCTTTCTCCAATCGTTTGATTGAGGGATATCAAAGAGATTATCACTTTCACCGTCTCGAATGAGAAATGATGAAAATGATTGATCCTTTGGTTATTATATCGCTCGCATGGACTGAAGTGGTAGCAGAAAGCAAGAGGATGAATCAAGGACCATAAAAGTTTATTTTTTATTGGGTGGGTGAATGGAAAGGGGAACCCTGGCATATACGAAAAGGGTTGGGGGAATTGGGGAGGGAATACTCTTTGTGCATACAAAATGATGGTCATTTCTTTCTTTATGTGTTTGGTGAGGAAATTGTGAAGACCGTTGGCGAGGCAAAACCGCATAGCGAATTTCATGAATGGAAAGGTGGTGGATGATCAAGACTGGATTGCAATGGATTGGGAATAAATGCATATGTGCATGAATTGGAGAGAGAATGGAATGATATTAAGAAGTCAAAAGGCTCTGACCAAAGTGAAAAGGTTGAAGGGAGGCGAAAGGAAAGATCATATGAGAATGAGATGATAAATGAATGAGATTAAATCCATCATAATTTGTAAAGGAAGAAAAAAATGAATTCATGAACTGATTTGATTTGATTGCTTTGTGGGTGATTTTTATATGTATGTGAGAGATACTGTGACATGGTGATGTTATGTGATGTGATGTGATGCGATATGAGGTATGATGTCAGATGTCAGATGTGTGATGAGATGAGATGAGATGAGAAGATAAGTGCCGAATGAATGGACCGAAAGAACGGGTGTTTGTGGAATAGGAATGGGAAATTGGAAAATACTTGGATTTGGTGGATTGGGAAGGAGAAAGATTTTCGTATGAGGTCACTTTTTGAGGGGTAGTAGGGGTAGTAGGGGTAGTAGGGGGGTTTTTTGTGGAGGGTGGAGAGGGGGGGTGGAGAGGGGTGTGGAGGGGTTTTTGTGGAGGGTTTGGGGGGGAGAAAATGAGGAGGGTTTGGAAGGTTTGAAGGGGAGTGGAAGGGGAAGAGATGGAGGGTTTGAGGGGGAGGGGTTTGAAGGTTTGAAGGTTTGGAGGGTTTGGAGGGTTTGATAGGATGTGGGAGTGGAAGGGGAAGGGATGTTTTGTGGAGGGATATAAAGGGTCTCAAGGGTAGTGTGGGGGGAAGAGAGAGAGAAGGGAGAAAGGGGGGGGGGGGGGGGGAGAGTAGAGTATGTGGTATGATGATATGGGTAGGGTATTTATGGGGAGAGGGGAGAGGGAGAGAATATGATGATATGATTGATATGACAGGGGACAAGAAAGAGAGTAGGAATTCGAAGAGGGTAGAAATTTGGAACAGTGAGTAATGGTATATGAAAAGGGGGGTTGATTTAAGAGAAGGGGGGTGCTTTGTTAATTGGGATGGTGATTTATCGAAGGAGTAAGTGAGTAGTTAGATAGGGGGAGATGGGTGGTGAGTGAGTGGATTGGTTGGATAGGTAGTTATTAGATAGATAGTTATTAGATAGGTAAATAGTTATTATAAGAGTGAGGGTGATTAGTTAGATGGATAGGGGAAAATGAAGGAGAGGAGAGGAGGATGGGAAATGGATAAGTAGGGAGGTAGGTAGATAATGGGGAAATTTTTGAAGAGGGTATAAGGGATGTGAAGATTTATTGATGGGGATTTTGGATGATAGATAAATGGCTGGATGGATGAATGGATGGATGTTTAGGTTTGTGGAGATGGAGAGGGGGGTGGATGGGTAGGTAGGTAGATCGGTAGGTGAATAGATAGATAGGTAGCTGAGGAAATAGGTGAGGAAATAGGTGAGGAATAGGTGAGGAAATAGGTGAAGGAAATAGGTGAGGAAATAGAGAGGTTGATGGATATATAGAAAGATTGAATTGGATTAGATGGGATTGGAGGGGATTGGATATATTTTTTGAAATATGATAAGAGGGGGGTAGAGAGAGCTATGGGAGATTAGGTTTTGGGTTTTGGGTTTTGGGGATTGAGATGGGGATTGAGATAAGAAAGAAGAAAAGAAAGAAAATTAAAGAGTAATTGAATATAGGGGTTGAAGACTATATGGTTTGTGAGTTATAGTTTGTAGGTTGTGTGGATAGATAGAGATATAGGGAATCGGAATAGATGGATAGGAATGAGAAGGGAATTATTAGGGCTTGATAAATTGAAAGGAATAGGGAATGGGAGGAGGGGGAGGAGAGAGCGAGAGGAAGAGGAGAATAGAGGTAAGGGATTATGGGTTTAGGGGATAGGGAGGGGAAGGGGAAGGGGAATGGGGAAGATAAAGAGTTTGGATATTGGGGGATGGTGATGGTGATGGTGATGGTGATGGAATGTTATAGAGTAAGTATAAAGTTTTGTTATATAGTTTGTGTTTTTTTTTGTGTGTGTGATTATCTCGATGTTTTGATAGTATAGTAAGATTATAATGTTAAAATTGTTAGTTGAGTTTGTATAGGGGATAGGGAACTCGGGATTAGAGATTATGTGAGGGATTTGAGGTTGAGATGAGTAGTGAAGTGTGGTGATTTGAGGGTGTGGATAATGATATTGATGGATTTGGGAAATAAGTATATTGTAGGGGAGGGAGGATTTGAAGAGATGAGGGGGGGAAGGGGGGCGGAGAGGAGAGAAAGGGGAGAGTTTGGTTGGATGGTTGGCTGATTGGAGTTTTCTTTGGGAATTTGGGAGAGGGGGAGTGAGTGAGTTTTTGGTGTTTATATTAAGCAGGATGTGAAGTATTTAGGTAGATGGGTTAATTGGTTGATTGTAAGTTGATTAGGTTGTTAAATATAGAGATTTTGTTTGTTTTCTTTATTCTTGTTTTTTTGTTTCTTGGTTTCTTTGTTTCGGTTTTATTTTGGGGTATGGATATTTAGGAGTTGGGAATTAGAAGGAGAGGGGTAGAGGGGTTGATGATTGAATGTTTGGATGAGTAGTTTGAGTATTGAGGGAAGGAAGGGAGGGGGGAGAGTAGAGATAGGGAGAGGAAGAGGAGAGGAGAGGAGGAAGAGGAGAGGAAGAGGAAGAGGAAGAGGAAGAGGAAAGAGGAAGAGGAAGAGGAAGAGGAAGCGGAAGAGGAAGAGGAAGAGGAAGAGGAAGAGGAAGAAGGATATTTTTTTTTAGTATTGGATGGTGGATGTTGGATGATAGATATGAGATCTTTGAATTTGAGGTGAATATTTGGAAATAGGGATAAGAGGGAATGAGATTTTTGGATTAGTTGGAGTAGGATATGAGTTTGAATTGGGTGTGAAGTGATGGGTTTGAAGTGATAGGTCTTGGGTGATAGATATCAGGTGATGGATATTGATCTATCAGAATCAAGAGGTTATGGATGTAATAAACGGTGAAGCGAGAGGGAAGGAAAAGGAGGAGATGAATGGTAGTAGATAGACGGTTAGGTAGACAGATAAATGGCGATAGGATTAATAAGTTGATAAGTTGATAAAGGGGAGAAAGGGAAGAAGGGAAAGAGAGCCAAAGTAGATAGATAAATTGATATATGTATAGCTTAGTGTAAAAATAGTTTGAGATATAAAAAGATTGTTTATTTGAAATGAGATGTTTGAGCGAAGGAAACTAGGAAGGAGAGAAGATGAAGAGTTGGAAGGGGAGTTGGAAGGGGAGTTGGAATGATGGGAGGAGTGGTTGGTATGATATGAACCGGATGAACAGACGATCGTATGATCAATACGTAGTGTACTATATATAAGGATAATAGAAGAGAGAAAGAAGTACGGGAGAGATAAAAACTTACTATAGTATCGATTCTCTTTCTCTATTCCTTAGCAGAGAGAATTGTAGACTATATTATAGTCTTTCTGTTCTACTATATACTATATACTATCTTCGTAATATTACTTATGTTATATTACTACCCAAGTAATAATCGTGGTGTTATCTATGATATAAACAAGAGAGCTCTAATTCCTTCTCCTTTTACTACTCGAATATTGATTGATTGTACTTTATAACAAGGAAGAAAAACCATCATTACAATCTCATCTATCTTATCTTTATCTTATCTCCCTCTCCATCTATCCATTTCATTAACATTTTCATTTATTCTAGCAATTACTCCATGCATGGAAGGTATAAATATGACCATACTCACCTACCTGCGCAATCATTCATGGAAATTCATAAAATTGCATACCAGGTTGTGAAAAGCGGTGTGAGATTCGATTCAAATTTTCACGTTCATTCCGGTATTCATGCACAACACGATGAAGCAGATAAACGGAGAACAGATTCGCAATTCGCCTGGCGAGGCGAGAGGTATATATCCTTTGGGATGAAGCATGTGTATGGAATGCAGGGGTGTATGCTATTGTGATGAGGCTAGAAGGAAGGAGATTCATTTGATAGGGATTTTACGGAGAGAAATTTAGAAGGGAGGGGGTTAGCTTAGCTTGGGTTAGGGTTTGAGTTGGAGGTTTGAATGAGGTTTGAGATGAGATGAGGTGAAGTGAAGTGATGGAGTGATGGAGTGATATGATGTCAAACCCCATTAATCTACTCCTTCGAAAGTTAAAAGATTTAAACAAGTATCTAAAAAAGGATATGAAAACATGTCAAGAAGGAGAAAAACAAGAAAATCCATGCAGCTCATTAGTTGTCCAGCAAAATTTCTGTTGCGAATTTTCGATGCAAATGTGAATTCTCGCTCAAGATGCCATGGGGGTGGAGAAAGTGGAGTTTTTCATGTACCTTTTTTCCCTCTGCTTTTTCTTTTGCGTATGAGATTGTGGGGCGAGTTCGTAGAGTGGTCTGTGGGATGTGAGGTATATAATGTGGATTCCTCTGGAATGTGGAACTTGGATGGGGAAGTTTTTGAGACGACAGGGAATTTGGGAAAGAGCAAGATAAAATCGATGAAGGGTGGAGAACTAATAGGTGGAGTTATGGAGAAAGATGATAGATAGATGGATAGGTGGGATACGGGGATTGTGGTTAGAGAGATAGAGGAGAGGTGGAGAAGATGACGAAAGATTTCATAAATTGGATGTATGAGAGCGGAGTATGCACATACGCCAAGCGAAGTAGGTATGTGTGTATGTATGTATGTGGGTGTGCTGAATACACTCTGTGCTACAGTGTGAAATAAGCGATGAGAGGTTTGGGAATAGGTTGTTCAGACAGCGAGCTACTTACTTGATTGATTGATTGATGGAGAGATTGAAATGTGTTGTAACTTGCCAGTGCAGTGAGACACAAGAGATATTCTTTGGATGATGGATGTCAAAAATACAATGTGTGATGCTTATGCATACTGATTGGTATGCACCAAGTATGTATGTACCATGCGTATCAAATCTCCACGCAGCAAAGCCACGTTCTAAGAAGTCAACCCCCAGAATATGTATGTATGAGTGGAGTAGCATGGGGAATAGAAAGAGGGATAGATTTGGAAGATCTTTGGGCTTAAGACAATTTTCAGAAACTAGTGAGTGATTCGATTGGGGGTGTTTCTAAGTGGCAGATATCAAAAGTTAGAGTCATGTATTGTGGAAGGTGGTGAAATGATGTGGAGAAGAAAAGACGAGACTTCTTCTGGTGAAGATTTCATTCTCTTATGCGCAATCTCTTCTTGCTTAAGATTGAATTGTGAGGAGGAAGTTTTATTGAAAAGGGGAAGTCGATTAGGGTATCGTTGGTATTACATCGATGGTGATTATAATTCTTCATAATATTCCAGCATAGTTATATTCTATATTGTATGATTCATTAAAACTTTTCAGTGTTGAACGCTTATATGCCGTAGTATGCTCATGTAACGAAATGATCATATTTACTATATCGATCAACACCCGAAAAAATCACATCGTCTAACTAAGGATGTCAAGACAATGTTCCATTATGTACCATATCATGCGAATCCGCACTTCAAAGTCTAGAGCATATGATTACCCCTGAGTCCGGAAGCTAGGCTGAAGAACTCTTCTGTCATTTGAGATGAATAGAAGAGGGAAGATAGATACCTAGATAGATTTGGAAAACCTCAACTGGATATTAGATTGATGTTTAATGCGCTGCTGTCGAATTAGGTTTGCGGAAGCTAGATTGAATTGTCTTCTCTGCTTTTATGCGAAGTTAAGAAAAACTTTATCGGATAGAAACAAGAACTAGCAAGCGAAGATGAATTGTTAACATAATATCAATATAGTCAATGTAGGTACCTCAGGATCAAGTCAGAAGGAACAGTTCACAAAAACCAATTTTTTGTTGCGAGAGAATGTTTTTTTTTTTTGCTAGGGATATATTTCCAGAAACGCAGTTAGAATACACCGTAAGTGAATGCAGATTTAATTAGTGAGGGAGTTCTGTTTCGTGTGAATATACTCTCCTTTTTTCAGGTTCGCTTGTTGTTACTGGGGGTTGATCTTGAGTTAACTGTTTACAAATGACTTATTCAATCAGCCAAATATCGATATGAATTATTGAAATCTGCCTAATATCACATACAGCATTATTCTTCAAGAAATGACCTTGTAAGAAATTGAAAAAGAAAATCTTCCAGGTCCTTCTCGAGAAAGTTTAATCTTCGATTCGGGATGGATTCTCGAAAAGTATATAATCTCTTGAATCAACAGACATGAATTGACAACAATATCTAGTTCTAGTCGAAATTTATACAATAATTTATATACTATATAACACGTGAATGAAACTACTCTCTAACAATAGCTTCTATGATTCCATCCGCATCCGGCTCATCTTGTCCCATTGACATTGTCAGTAACTCACTCATGAAAAAAAGAAAAGAAAGACCTTGAAAGAATTTCCCGAATAAAACAAAATTCCCACCCATTACACCCTCAACACAAAGCATTACAGAAACCTTCAGCTCACCTCCGGAACCCAAGTCCCCATGACTTCAAACCCAGATTTTACAAGCAATTCTCTCCATTCTTTCCCCGTCCTCTCGATCCCCCCATTAAAAGCCATCATTGTCAAATCCAAAAGCGCGTGATATGTTGACGCCCCTGATTCCGGTACGATCATCTCATGGATAATGAGTTTTGAGTAGTTTGGTTTCATTGCACTCTTAAGAACGCGGAGGATTTCGAGACATTTGTAGTCGGACCAGTCGTGGAGAATGTGGTGATAGAAATAAATTCTAGAGTCTAGAAGGAAAGGGGTGTGTGTTAGTTCAGAGAGATGGGGACTGGGAGAGAATGTAAGGTTTGAAGATATGAGGAAAGATTAGGAAGAAATGGTTGAAGAAAAAAGTACTCTTAACAGGCTGCTCTGTAAAAAAATCATATCCGCATTTCTGTACCCCTTTGCCTAATTCACCTTCGCCAATCTCCTCCAAAACATGCGGTTGATCTAGCAAAACCAATCTCCCCATCCCCCCTTCCCTCAAACTTCTCCTTAAAAGCCATAACATCATGACCCTTCCTTCCACCCACATCCACCAACGGCGCATTATCTGCCCCTTCCACCCCCTCGAAAACCTCTCCTCGACTAGCCACCAATCCAACCAATATTTCCGCGCTCCCATCGTATTTCCCATACATGTATTAAAATCTCCAAGCATATTTCTAGGCATGGTACTAAAATAATCGAAAATTTGGAGCTTAGTTCCGTACGCCTATTGCATGAGGCCATCATTGGGGTTTGTGGGCGAGGTGTGGCTCGTTTCGAGGAAATAGCGAGGAGAGTGCAGGGCGGCTAGCATGGAGTTTGCGAATCTGATGGTTTTTGATGTTTAGTGAAGGATGGAGAGGGAAAGGGAAACGGAAAGCGAGGAGAGAATGAGGGGAGACAGACAACATGCGATGACCAGCCGCAATACCCTTCTGCATCATAGCTCTCGTAACAGGAGTAGCCCCCCAAGTTTCCTCATCTACTTCCTTGACAAAATTTGTAGAAGAGAGAGGTCTCAATATTATTTCTGCTCTCTTATTAGTTCCATCAGTTTTCTTTATATTCAACGTACAAATATAAAAAGTGTATAAATACTTAACAACAACTCTTCCGCACCCGAAAACTCCGCCAATTTCACTACGTTAACAGGCTCATATTTCACAATATGTTCGAAAAGATTTAAATCTACTGCGATTCGGGCGCTCATGGGTATGAATGTCTACATCTCATTCAAAACTATTAGACTCATATCACTCATACCCCTCGTACCTCCAACTCGATAAGTCCCAGGAAGAATAAGACGTACCGAAAAAGCAAGTTCCATAGCAACATTTTCCGGCGCCTCAATCGCTGCCGTAAGCGTCTTACTCAACCTAACAGCTTCTTGTTGACTTTTCGGAGAACTTCCATATGAAGTGTCTGACGGTAGTGTACTCAGATTTTTCAGAATTTCTTGGGCTTCTGGATTTGCCATTTTAGGATAGATATATGCGATTCAATTGTTGAGATGTTACAACGTGATTAAGCGACGCAAAATTCACTGACGAAAAGAAATAAACATATCAAATGGAATTCTAGGTTGACGCGTCTTTATACCTTCTAGCTTCTAAAATTATGTAGAACGTCATGCTTTCATTTCAGCTCACCTCAAATATGCTATACCGGAAATCACAAGAATTGCGGTTGTGTAACGCCAAAAAGGTATCGCTCGAGATGGGTTAAATTGAATCCTTGCTCAGGGTGCATATGTCATGCGGTGTTTTTGCGATTAGGGTACATTTGGCTATTGTGCCGCGGTTCTTCTGACTCGACTCTTTGGCACGATGATTCTTGATTGGATGATCAATAGGTATAGGAGAGCCTATAATTGATAGCTATCGGTTGGGGGCCTTGAGAGAAATGCAAAGTGTGGTGATATCAATTACGCTGCAGTTGTTGGTTTATGTGAGGTTTCAGTATAGAGAGAATTGGAATATTATAGTTTGATTTCTTTGGAAGATTGTAAGTATATCAAAACTAAAGTTGCGAATGCTATTACGTTGTTGTATGTTGGTACTCGCATATACAATAGTTGAATACAATTCTTGTCGAATGAACAACGTCTTCAATACCTCATTAGAAATACACCCACAAAAAATCCAAGGTCCCAAGTCACTTTTACCCTCGAAAATCTGCTTCTTCTACTCTCCATATACACTTGAAATCCAAGTAATAAATATGCGCAGTAACCTTCATAAAAAGTTGCACTATCTCCCCACTTTGCTTGGAGACACCAGACGAATAATAATTCGCACTTGAATTTCAAAGACTCTCTAAGACTTAGGAGCGATGGTTATAGACAGTCCTTCAAATCAAGATATGTTCCGAAACAGGAATCATGAAAGAAGTCGATTCTCACAACTACATTAATAAATCTTCCGTAAAAGACCACTTGGTCCTTATTTTCGACCAGCAACAGTCGACATGATCCAGTGGTATATGTTATACGGTGATACTGAGGTTAGCCCAAAAGACCAGTATATTATAGAGCTAAAGTTTGATATAAATGTATGCGCTATCGTATGCACAACCATGATGACCTCTTCTCAAAGATTAGGCATTTGAACATTGATAAATATCTTCTCGGCTGTCAAGATGAATAGCTAATATAATCAAAGAATCTATGTTTGGCAATTACGTAGACGTATCAGATTCGGATCTGGAAATTGTGATTTGGGCCACTAGAATAGATATTTTTCGTGCTTGAAATCCCTTCTTATCCGGTATATCACCTGTCTCCAGATCCTCCACATGAAATCTTGAAGCAAAGGGATGATTTGCTCAAGGTAGAGTTCATCTTCAGACATGCTCTTAAAAACGCCCATTAGTGATCACTGGAAAGCGTAATTGCTTTGCCGACGTCATCTAGAAAGTAGAGCGACCTTATACCACAGTTCAGGGGCGACTGCATGTATGTATACAAATATATCTCTATATTGAAGACCCTCTTTATGGCTCATGACTTATTAACAACAGGTCGATGGAAGAAATTGCAGGCCTAGTCGAAATAATCCACTAGATTATCATTGCGATAATTGTCCCTTTACGGTAGAGCAAAGTATTAATCACCCTGATGACTCTGATTTACCTTTTACTTCAGTTCCCCCACGATAACTCATCCAGGCCCGATTCAGGTATTCGGTAAAGAAAGCCAACAACCAAAAAATGTTAAACTCACTGCTCCATCATACACTTCTCATTCCGCCAAATATTTATTCCTTCAACTTTCCAACTTAATTGATGGCCTGATCTGTTTTCTTACTGCAGTCCTCTGTATGGCATGATTGCAGCACATTTAACAGCAAGACGTGGAGTCGTTCTGGAACCTGGGTTGAGTGCATGACTACGGCACCTTGCGTTATGTTGATAGCCAAGCGGAATAATTATAGCAACAGGTAATGAATGCTCGGTGGAACCGAAAGATAATTTTTTTTATCTGAATTCAACAATACGTCGCTAGCTCTTTACCGATAGTCTATTTTAATTGTCGGATTTCTTATCCACCTACTCGGTCGATTCTTATCGACCGGCTACAGGCTTGAGATCCGGCAAAATCCCGTGAACAAGAGCGTATGGTATTATGGATTCTCCAAGTTTATGACTTCTTGCCTTGTCAGAGTTGGCCATGTTGCTTTGAAGAATATGGGATCGGTATTGCCCATTTGTCTGACAATTGTGGTCTCAAAGTACTATGGGAAGAGTTCAAGAAGTGCACTCGTACTTTGAAAGTTTATAGAACGCAGCCATTTTGAGGTTTCCTCATCTGTCTATGTTCTGTCGTTTCGGCTACTATCAGAGCTACAACTTCGTGTAGCTATAAAGTCTATTTTTTTTTTATAGATCGATGTATCTAGAAGCGTCAGTAAGAGTAGCTATATCCAAACACAATATTGCTCAGGTAGGCCACCTACCGCTTTCGAAATTTAATCTGAACTTGAGATATTGGATATCTGTTCAAGTTCACTTCTTTCTCCCATCATCTTCTTCTCAATCTCTATAAGTCCATGCTTTATGCTATATTCCCAACCCTCCAATCAACAAAACCATCAAAGCAGTTCCTCAAAAACTAGTCTCTTCTCACCTCTTCCACTCCTCCATTTATTAGTACTCATTAACAACTCCTCACACCCCTCTAACAACCACTTCCACTTCCTCGCAAAGGTTTCCTCTACCTCCCAGCTTCCTGGTATCCATGGATCACCCCAAACAATGAGTCCCGTTCTTCCTCCTCCACCCTCTAACCCATACATAATATCCCTACAAAACTCTATATCATCCCATTCTTCACCTCTTGAGAGCGCCGAAAGAATGAGATCTCTACATCTTGGAAATGGGAAAACATCAATCTCAGGATGATGTTCTATTTCGATTTGTAGGTTTGTAGGTTTTAGCGCCAGTGGAAGATTTGATAAATCTGGTATACCCTGCGGATACTGTGTCGATGATGATGTGTTGAATGGAGAAAGAATATCATCATCCATACGATCAATAGGTAGTTTGAGGATTTCCACATTGATAGATAAAGCACGGATGATATTGAAATGAAGAAGAGTGAGTAAGTAGGAGTCTGCTGGGATAGAAGTATCGGTGATATAGGAATTGAATGATCTGGAAGCGACAATACGTTTGACATCTATGTGATTGATACACATACATTCTTTTGCAGGAGGTGTTGTGGGATCAAGGATTACGGGACCTTGTGATTCTACGACTTTGGTTATTGCTTTGAGTTTTTTCGAGTCGGCTTTTCTACGTTTTCCTAATCTTGAGATTAATACAAACGATGAATTGGATCATAAAAGACTAGGGTTACAAACGAGAAGCCCGTTGATTCAACCGATTTTGCAATTTCCTCCTCATAATCGTACTACTGGTACCCGTCCAATCTTCTTCCAGATTCTGAATCTGTGACCTTTGCTTCATAGGCAGGATTTCGACCCGCGGTATCTCAATACACGATGCTTCAATCATGGGGCTAATCATATTTCCGGATTGCGGCGGTGTTGGCTTAGTAGTATAAACCACTTGAAAGTAAAGGCAAGTGAAGTGAAAGTTTGCGAAGAGAAATGCTGATCTAACCTTATATTTATCCCCTAGAGGGTGACAAATGAGCTCCGAAAGTGGTCCGTGCAACATATCTTATATAATAACTCTTTTTAATAGTTTTTTAATTAACGTGTTTATCATTGGGTCACCACTTTTTTCATTATTTAATCACTTCAATTCCAATTCGCGATATCTTAATGAATTATTATGGAAATATAATCAAAAGAAGCCCGAATTATCTTAGCTATTAAAGTTATTCGAAAGTCTAAAAATTTGATAATTATGAAAGCTGCAAAAGTTTATTCAGTACCTCGATCTATATTATACAATAGAATCAATAATCGAAATAATCAAATAGAAACTTAAGTAAATGAATATAAAATAATTGAATTAAAAGAGAAAATGCTTTTTCAATATATAATTGATATGGATAATAAAGAGTTTATATTTATATTGAATAGTATAAAAGATATAACAAATCATATTCTTGAATCATAAGGGGCAAAAAAGGTTGGAAAGCTTTGAGCTTATCAATTCGTAAAGTATTATATAGAATTAAAGATATATTTTAATTACATTTATAATTTTCAAAGAGCTTTTTATAAAGATTCTAAGCTTATTGAAAAATGGTTTCAAGTAATAATGAATATACAAGCGAATATAATATTCAAGATTGTAATTTCTATAATTTCAATAAAACAGATTTTATAATAGGGATTATAATTGTTTGTATGATTATAATTAATACTAAATAAAATGGCAAAAGCAAGGCAATATAGTTAGATAATCGAGAATGGGCTATAGCATTATATATAGTAATAAAGAAAATAAAACTATACCTCCATTTCTAATAGTTCAAGAATAAATCCATTTTTCGAATTGATATACCGAAACCAATCTTTCTGCAGATTGAGTTATTAAATCTATTTCCAATAAATAAACAAATAATGAGATAGGATTAGAATAATTAAAGTATTTTGATAAATATACTATTTATCGAAAAAAAGAGCAAATATCGAATATTAGTATTAAATGAATACGAAAGTTATAAATCAATGTCTTTTTAATTATATTATAAAGCAAATGATATAGTATATATAAAGCTATTAGCACATTCTAATTATTTAATTCAATTATTCGATATTGGATATTTTAGTATCCTAAAATACTCGTATAATAATCAAATTGATGGATTTATCAAAATATATATTAATTATATCTTTAAGATTGAATTCTTTATAGTTTTTAAAACTATATATTAATAATCAATTATATCTCAGAATATAAAAGCTAGGTTTCAGGAAACTGAATTAATATTATTTAATTCTAAAGCATACTCTCAAAGTTAGATATTCGAATTTATATATCTATTTTCTTTTCTTTCGATTCAGATTTTGAATCTCTTAAATCCTTCACAATTTAATTAAAGCTCTTTTTCAATCAACTTTAATAAAATCTCAAATAGATCAATATCAATTAAACTCTTCTATACCTATATTCGAAACCATATTAGCTTTAGCTAAAGGTATAAAGAGATAGCTTATAAGAATATACTTCTAAATACAGAAAATCATATATTTCGAAAAGCAAATAAAGTATTAAGTAAATATTGATACACAAAAAAGATTTAATTATATTAAAGAGGAGTGTTTATTAAATAAAAGACTCTTAATATATTATTTCAATAAGAGATTGATATTCAGATTTAATGAATAAGTATAAAAAAAGGAGGAATTCTAATAAGAAAGTATTTTCTAGTCAATATTGTAGTATATATGAAAAGAACTAGTTATAATTCAAGAACTTATTAAAATAGTATAATTGTCAAGGTACGGATAAAGACTTATATTGTATTATAAGGATAGAAAGCTATGGAAAAGTGAAGCCCTACTTATAGAAAATAGAGCGTACTAGTATGCTGTACCTGAGACACAAAAGACAACTACAGATCATGTAGTTGGCGCCGTGATAGTACTCCCCGTTCAAAGCGATCGATCTACAATTGTAATATTAATTGACCTTTTAGAAAACAAAATAATATTAAAATACTCTAATTTCTATTATTAAATTAAAATGAACTTTCTTAGGAGTAATAATCAATTACCAGAGCTTTTTAGATCTACTTCAGCCTCGATTCGGAAATGCATTTAATATAAATACTAATAGGGGATCAGAAGTAATAGATCTTTTGAAGTCTATCTAAACAGACGGTTTTGGCTTATTTGGATTTGCTAAATGGAAAGTGATGATCATATCTTCTTAACCGCAAAGGTTGTCAGCAGATTGCTAAAATACTGGGTGATATTTCTATTTGATTTGATAGTGAAATCCATTCTCGTTATAATAATCAAATAGTTATCAAATTCCTATTACCTCGATTTCCTTATTCGTTTCGTCATCTCTTTTTAGCATATAACCTTAGTTTCAACAAGATTCGACTTCGTTGATTACTTCTTGACCAGCTAATTCAGATGAACAATAGAGTGATCGGAATAATGAATTATAAAATACTAGAAAGATCTTAAAACTAGTAGGGAGCTAAATAGACAGATCGTTTATAAACTTTAGAATCTTATAGAAACCATCCCATTTGTTATTACCTTTTTTTATTAAACAATTGGTTTTCATATTCTTAGTACTAATTTATACTTTGTTATTTTCTTTATATAAAGAAATATCGATGCAAATCTTGTTAGTATAATCTTTATATCTTTTAATAAATTGAGTGGTTAGGGCTTTCAATTTTATTAGGATAATATTAAATCGGTCTGCAATCTTGTTGGCTTTTAGGAACTTGTGTTTGTATTGATATAATAGGTTTGGGGGAATAGATGAAAAGGGCTCAATGCTAAGGTATGGGTGAAAATTGTAGTTAGTAAAGAATAGGGATATACCAATAGTCTTTGAGGTAGTATTATTAAGTGCAAACTCTATAAATAAAAGCCAATTATATTAATCATCTTAATGGAAGTTTATAAAAGTCCAAAGATATTGTTCTATCATAACATTAATCCTTTCTGTTTATTCATTGAATTTGGGGTAGAATAAAAAGAATTATTTCAAAATGATTAATAGATATTCGGATAAATACTTTTAGAATTCTAATATAAATTATGAACCTTTATCAAATACTATATTATCAGGTGCACTATATAGACAATAGACTTTTTCAACAAACCAATCGGTGAGCTCCTCTGCGGATAATTCTATAATCAGAATGAAATGATATATTTTCATTAGGCAATAAATAATTATAACAATATATTAATACTTTTTATTATAATTTGCTGATTGATAGTAATATAATATAATTATGAAGATATTAAACTAGAGATGGAATAGTACTAGCAGGGGTTCTAGGAATCCAAATGCAGCAAGACAGAAGACTTTAGTTCGAAAATAGAGTTAACAGGCTTATATATAAGTTTCGATTTCCCTTAACATATTGGACTACCAGTATATACAAGAGACAAATCAATAGTTTTAATTCAACCAGAATATCCTGCCAGATCAGTGAAGTGCATTCAGTATATAATCTGGGTGCAAAGTTTAGCAAAAAAAAGGAACAAAAAGATGGTTACAATAGAAATTTTATTATTGATTAATCTATAATCTTGAAAAGCGATTCAAAGATCTTTTCGAATCGATAGCGCTAATAGCGAGCAGTTGGATTCTAAAGTGTTTTATATATAATAATAATCAATTCAAATGATTGTATACTTTATTAATAAGATTATCAATCGGCTTCTCAGTATTGGGAATGATTATACCTATAGCATTACAATAAGATCGATATTATTATTTGTTTATTGAATAAGATTCTTGAATATAGTAATATCAATACGTCTTTTTAGAAGAACTATTTGTAAGCGATTCTTAATTCGGTTATTAGTAGGGTCGGTGTGTACAGAGCGATCTTCTGTTTTCCTAGTCATATATTAGGGCGAATTGCTTTAAGACCCTGTCTGTATATAATACAAAATTTGAAACCAGCCAGGAATTCAGCTTATCTAGCTTATCTTTGATTTAACATTTTTGTTGATATAAAGTACTCTATATTCTGATAATTAATAATAATCTCGAATAGCTCTTGAGTTTTATATAGTTCGGGTTTCCATTCTTTTAAGGATTTAATGATAACTAGTAGTTGTCCTTATTATAGATTTTGTAGTTTTATTTAGCAGTACTATAGTTTGAGGAGAAGTAAGCAATCGGGTATAGTCGGTCCTTATCGTTATACTGAAAGAATACTCCGCTCGCAGTTTAATTGAAAGTATCTGTCCTTGATAACATATTAATGATGGTAATCAAATATTATAAGGACTGGAACAAAGGCAAGATATATTTTAGGTTTTCAAAGGCATTCTCTTAATCAGTAAATCCAATTCCATATATTCTCTTTTTCAGTAGGTGGTTTAAAGGTTCCATAATTTTAGAAAAGTTGTGAATAAAGTATTAGTAGAAGTTAACGAACCCTAGAAAATATTAGAGATCTTTTAACTTAGTTAACGATTTCTATTCGAGAATAATCTTAACCTTGTTAGGGTTCATCTCAATATCACTAGAAGTAATGATTAGGTTGAGGTATTTTGTTTTTCTTGTTTCGAACTTGTATTTATTAATATCAATTTATAATTTAGTGTTAATGAGTCTCTATACGATTTTGCAAACTTGTTTTCAATAATCTATAACATTCTCAAAGTAAATTAAGATATCATTTAGATATACTATATAATTCTTATCCAAAAAATTAAAAAGAATATAATTGATATAGTTCTGAAATGAGACAAGAGTATTACAAAGGCCGAAAGGTATTATCAAAGATTTGAATAAGCCGAAATGAATTATAAAAGTAATCTTCCATTTATGATCTTCCACAATCCATAATTTATTGAATATAGTAATAATATTCAATTTAGTATAAACTTTAGTATAAT